CCAGTCTCATCCCACTGTAGCTTCTCAAGACATTACAGCAGAACCAGATTCCCCATCATCATCCATGGACATTGATCCTCCAAGTGTCGTTCCCACTGTTGAACGCTCTCCCTCACCCGAGGTTCCGCAGTACTGTCAACTAGAAAAGGCTCAGTCAGTCATTGCCGAAAGACTAGCACAAGTTCAGTGGCGTTCGGGGGAATCCTTTCAACCTCTCATCTCCGTCAGCACATTTCACGATGTTGATAGCCTTTCGGACGATCTCCTTGAGGACCTGTGCGACCAGATGGAAGCTATGTTTCATGACATGGCCGAAGATGAGCATAAGGGCTTGAAGATGCAGGGTGTAGACTCCACATTCGGGTCAAAAACGTTGCGTAAGTTCTACGGAAGGAATGAGTGGTACACCAATTTCGGAATCGATGATATCTTGCTTTCGGTGTCAGCTTTCATCCGAAATTGTGTGAATCTGGGGATTGGAATGTCTGACCCCATACCAAACTCGTTTGTTTACCGAACCCTAGCTGCTGGTGACAACTGGAACCCATACATACCTGGAGGTACGCCATGGCCTTCTCTGGGCAAGGACGGGCAATGGAGGAAAGAGAACACAGTTGGGGTTCTGATGTCGAGCTCCCATTTTGAGACACTGGTAATCTTTGGGCCACAGAAGCTGGTGTTGATGTATGATGGGGCAGGGGGGACTTATGATTCGGGAGAACAGAAGAAGGTAAGTTGGTCATTCAAAATTACTTCAATGAGGTGCAGCGTCACTGATCAATAGCAATGGTCACGCCTGCTAGAACGCCGTTTGTCCTGGGAAGTCAGAAAAGGCATAGCAACAGAGGCTGAAGCTATGGGTTGGTTGATTGCTCCAAATTCTCAGGTGAGTACAGTACTACTCCCAAGCTCAATAATGACGTTCAGGCTACCAGGGATAACCTGGACTGGGTTACACAAGTGGACTCACACAGCTGTGGTCCTCTAGCATGTGCCGCTGCATGTCTTCTTCTCCAGGGAATCAGACCGACTGCTTCTGTGCTTGGGGTGAAATCATCAACTCTGGCTAGAGGTGAGAGTAGAAAACTACGAACAAGTGTGCTTCAACTGGTGCTTGCAATGGCTGCACGGGATCCAGCAAATGAGTCTATATTCAGTCCGAAAGTGAAAAAATTGATGGACAAGTCTGTACCTTCCATGACTTACTACATAGATCGCCTGTAGAGAGGTATCACAGCTGGTTGTGCATGAATATAATGACTAATATACCTCTGGATGTAAAAATACACTTGGTTTGATGCAGATTGGGGCTTGATTATCTTTCCCAAGTGAGTCCGAAGGCACTCCCGAAACACCGAAAACCCCTCCGAAAGCACATCTGACCATCTCATGTATTCCAATATTGTACTGCTTAGGGTCACTAGTCATTGTGTCTACCCAGTGCTTATTTGGATAGTCATAAGCTCTCTTGCAGTGATATATGCAGCCATGACTGTCCGAAATTGGTCAAGGCTGTCCGAAGTCGGTCCGAATTTTGGGGACAATTAATCCTACTACAAGGATCTCTCGCTCACTGACACAAGAAACAGTGAAGTATCTCTTGCAGGGATGTATGCAACATGAGCCAGGCTGGAAGAGTTCAGACATGGAATGCATTACACAGGCTAGTTCACACACAGATGAGACATTTGGACCCCAAACATAGAAAGACCGAAACATGAAATGAAAACACCGAAACGGAAACTCGGCAAAATGAACAAGTGACAGTACATACAAGGGAACTGTAACACGGATTTGATTGGCTACATTTAATCTTGAGAAGAATGGAGATCTGCATTTGTGGGGATTGTGGGAATGGCATCATGAGGTGTTGGTCCTGAAGAAAGTACATTTTCGGAGTTGGAAGGGTCATTTTCGGGATTCGGTGCGGTATTTTCGGAGTTTCGAGCGGTGATCTTGGTGGAAGGGAGATCAAGACTGTGAGCTCTTCTTCGGTCAGAGTACTCGTTCGGCTTCGCAGGGGAGGTCCTAAGGTCAAAGCGGAATTGTTGCCGAGCCTTTTCTTGTTTGGCCTCTTGGAGTTCTGACTCAAGTTGCCTGATGGTGTAGTTGGCCGATTCCCACTCCTCTTGATCCACTTGAAGGTCCGCCCGTAACTTCTCATTTGCTCCCTCCAACTGCGCTTTGAGTTCCTTCAACCCTACATTCTCCATCTCAGTCTCATTTTGCAGGGCAGCGGTAATTTGCACAAACTGCAATGCCTCGTCGATTTGCTGTTGCATTACTCCCTTAGCTGCTTCAGCCTCCGAAAGACGAGCTCGGAGAGTTTCCAATTCGGTGTTTTCCTTCTCAGCCATCTGTCTGGCCAGATCTGAACACCGCTGTTCAGCAAACTGACGAGCCTGAGCCTCCTTTTCCTTATCCCCCATTGCACTAGCGAACCTCTGGCTCATAGTCTTGAGCCCTTCCTGAGTCTCCTCCAACTGCTTTCGGATTGAAGCAATTTCGGCGTCCTTTTCGGCGGTGACTCGGGCAACAGCATGATCTCTCTCCTCATTCTTATCAATCTGCTCTTTGTACAGCCGGTCCAGTGTCTTTACCTCTCCTTGAGCCACATCTCTTTCAGAAACCACCGAGTCATACCGCGCTTTGAATTCACTCCATGTCCCATTGATAGCTCTCACACCCGAAAGTGATTGTGTGACACTTTCGGAGAAGGCTTGATGACGTCCTCGGTTGATTTCTCGGTAATAGTCTATCATTTCGGAAACTTGAGCAACCATTCGGGAAGAGAATTGCTCCTCAAACTGAGCCTGAGTCTCTTGAAACTCACTCATACGATGCAGACACTGTTCAACTTCGGGCATGGTAGACGGTGGAGCCGGGATGTAAGGGACAACCTTTTCGGGTGCAGGCTGGTCCAAGGAAGGGACAGTGGGCCTTTGGGTCCGAAATTCGGGCTGGAGTGGTGGGTTCATTTGAGGGAGTTTACTGACCACATTGACCGAAGTGACAGGAATGGAGGGTATCTGACCTGGCGAAGCTGTGGGACCAGAGCCAACGAATTCTGAATGAGAACGAATGAGAGAAGTGGGAGGTGGAGTCTGAGGGGGAGCCGATTGGGAAGCAAAGAGTGGAGGAACTATGGGCTTCGGAGCCATCGTGGGTTTCGGAACATTGGTTGATGGGTTTGGACCAGGAAGACTCTGCACACCTGATCGACCCAGCGCTTCTGCTGTAGCCACTGCTTTACCTCTGCAAACGTATGCAGTGAGGTAGGTAGTGGGGAGATTTGGGGAGGGCCAGAGACGAGAGAAGAAGACCCAGGTTGAAGGTTTGGAGGAGGGCCTGCTTTCGGAGCAGGGGAGGGGCTGGGGAAGGGGGCCGGTGTGACACTTTTAGCTTGGTGAGGCGAAGGGATTGTTGGTGATTCTTGCAATGTAACACCCAAAACCGATTGTGTTTGTGCTATAAATGGGTCTAGAGCAGAGGGAACGGCCTGTTGTCGAACAGATACGGCAGGAGAAGGAACAGGACCAACAGGGGACATTGTGGGCACCTTTTCGGAGGTAAGATCCATTTCGGGCTGGGGAGGACCTTGTTCAATGGAGAACGGACGAGCCCGTTTCGGTTCGGCCTGGGACTCTTCTACATCCTCCAGGGCACGCTTGTTCACAGGAGGATGAACAGGACTACTTCGGACAAGTATCGGAGAAACCCCAGCTGGCAAACCTGCAGAGAAAACGGGGGGGGCGGTTTCGGAGGGTTCCTTTTTGGGAACAACATCGGCAAATTTTGGAGGGCGGGGAGGGAATCGTGGCCTCTCATTTCGGGCTGTAGATGGTTCCGGTTGAGGTCCTTCTTCCCCATCATCTTGACCCAAGCTGGAATCTTGAACAAGAATAGGACCAGCTGGAGAAGACAGTTCTGTTTCTCCCTAAAAGTCAGCTGCTGAGACTTGCTTTCAGTTCGGAACCTAGAAAACTCACCTCCGAACGAGGTTGCTCTCTAGCAGACGTAGGCGCTTCGGTGAGAGGTTTCGGAGAAGGTCTGACAACCCATTTCGGACCGGGTTTTGCAGCATCCCCAGCTGCGACAGTGCCTCCCCTAGCAGTCCTACGCTTGTCCTTCGGTCCTACCGGTTGCTGCAGTGGCGCATTTGAGAACCCAATCGCCGTGGAAGCTGCAGGGGGAGCTTTTTCTTTTCCCTTTCCTTTTCCTTTTTCGGGAGGGGGGGGAGAAACCGATTTCTTGGGAGCCGAAGCTCTTGTGGAGCGTGTTGTGGTGGCTGGCCGGCGAGGTTTCGGAGGGGAGGGATGTGGTGAATGTTCAGAGTCCGATGAGTCCGAATCAGAATCCGAGCTGTCCTCAGGCTTGTCCTGACCTTGTGATGACTTTTTCGGTCGTTTTTCACTTTCGGAGGACTCTTCGACAAGGAAATTGGTCGGCTTGCCCTTGAGGGAGCAGGTGAGAGGGGGCTTTGTGGAGTTATAACAGTGCACACAGACACGAAACTTTCCTTCGTCCCAACGGTTGAGAAACACTGGTCGACCATCAGGTACATTGACACATTTCACTTCGGGATGTCTGAGATCAGCATTGAGTTTCGTTAATTTCTCCCGAATTCGGGAGCCATATTTGATAAACCAATACTCACGTGTAATTGAAAGCCGAAACACAAAACTGGACATGACAGTTTGGCTTTGTGGCCGACTCATCCGCCGAATAACATCGTGACCCTCTAGTAATCGCCCGAATACCCTCTTCCTTCATTTGTTTCGGGGTAGCTTCCCGAAGTCCTAGCTTTTCAGCAAGCTGAGGAAGATACTTCGGCTCTGCATGCCACCAGGGCTGGAGGTAGAACCCTATCTCAGCTTGAAAAGAACGAAGTGATTTCTCATTCTTCCAAATGGGGTGTTGTGGCTGAAGATACTTTTGGAAGTGAACATGGTCGGGGTGTAATTTGTAACCCTTCGGAGGGTTTACACTGGATTTATCTGTTTTTGGGTCGAAGGGGTTCGGCATTTTGAGAAAGAGGTCAAAGAGGTCAGAGAGATTGGGAGGAAGGGGGAGTGGGAAGACTCTAATTTTGATGATAAGATAATTCGGACGAGCCAAGGCGGAAGGTGAGATGAAGCACACAGATGCAGAATGAGCAGTGAGATCAGTTGAGAGTGAGCAGTGGAGAGCAGATGAAAAACGCTGGCTAATGTATGCTGGAAAAAGATATGAAGATGCTGAAGTGAAGTGAAGTGAAGAGAAGAAGTGAATTGAAGGAATGAAAAAGGGGGAAAATCGCGTCAGCCCGTGTTAGTACTTAGTAGAAGTTCAATCAACACATCACCATCAGACACGTCAACATGATGGATCCTTAAGAGAGTTTTGTGCATTCAGAGGATGTATTACCATGAACATGAACATACATACATACTTACATACATGAAAGAAGCTATTCACTTGGGTAGATTGGTAGTCAGTAGTGAGTATGTGACTATCACCGAAAGCTCCCGAATTCGGCCGAAAGGGGACCGAAAAGGAAGTAGGATTTCGGGCTGGGGACATTGCCCATGCCCCTGTGGTCAATACTCCGAAAGCTGTGCCGAAAATGGTATGAATAGACTCAGAAGGCGTCAGGCATTCCAATGATATCAGAAAAGCCACGGAAAGATGATTTTTTAATAGTGAAGGTATTTGGGTCAGTAGTGACGGGATATGGGAGTTGAACGTCGTATTTTGGGAGAAAGTGGCAAAATTTCGTCGGGATTAATTCGAGTTCCGTCGGGATTATCCACTTTTGCACACGGTGGTCACCGTGTGCGAGTACGGCGCCTTTTTGCTTCCGTCCGCATTTAGTAAGTCTCCCTCTGCACTGGGACACTCCCTCTACTCTATGCATTTGACAAATCACTCTACTATTACATTCGACTAAGCTTCACATCCATACATCCATCTTCATCTTCCCTCACCACTCTATCTGTCTCTTTTGTATGCGTACCCTGTTTTGCTCATAAATACGTCGACAACTCTTCCATCAAAGGCCTGGTGCCTGTTCATCTAGGGATATCAACACCTCTCTTTACTGCCCACGTCCACATCTTCATCCACTCACACAACATGCTTGTCGTCGAAGCCGTGCACAACTTTCGTGCTGAGCACGACGATGAGTTGAGTTTTCTCGCCGGTGACAAGATTGTTGTTATGGAGAAAGATGATGCCTTCGGGGATGGCTGGTGGAGGGTATGTCTCAGAAACAGTCTCTTTCGGATATCGCTCACCAAGCAGGGACGAAATGAGAAAGGCGAAGAAGGTCTTTTCCCCGCTACCTACGTCTCAGAAGATCATCCAAACGATATCGATCATGTGAAAACGGATAACGATGGTACATCTATACCTCTTCCCCACTCGCCCACTCCACCCGCAGTTAACATCGAAACATCGGTCGTGCCACTGCCACAACCTCAAACAGCCAAAGGTAACCTTACGGACGGTCCACTTCAGACCGTCACCACATCCGTCGAAGCCGTCACTACTGGCGTTAGCAATGTGGTTGGAAAGACCATTGTGGATATACAAGATGTCATTGAATCGATGGTGAAGCCAGAAAGCGATGATGATCAAGAAGTCGGTATCGGTCAGAATACTCGAGCACGGTTGGCTGCACAGGCTAGAATTGCAAATGAACACCGAGAACGACAGAGAGTCAGCGGAGGTATCACAGGTCTTGTATATTCTGACGAGAGTGAAGACGACGATGATGATCGACCACTCGGTCCACAAGTCATATTCCCTACAGCGGAGCCTGCTCCCTCACCTAACGGAGTAAGACAAGACTCTCCAAATCCTCCCACACCCGCATCGACGCAACTCAATGGACAAGATCCTCCCCGGGGGCTTCAGCCATCTCTACCGCTGCCCGCTACCCCGCCACCTGAAAAGATCTCGGGTGGTACTCCGACGCGCCCCCCGAACACTTGGTCAGTCGAGGAAGTTGTCAATTGGATTAGATCCAAGGGCTTCGATGAGGCAATATGCGAGAAATTCCATGGTGAGTCCATGATCGTGAAAATATACTAATAGGCTAATGTTCAGAACATGAAATCTCTGGGGACCTGTTACTCGAGCTCGATGCCAATCTTTTGAAAGAATTGGACATCCCTCAATTTGGAAAAAGACTACGGATTGCTCAAGCTATAGCTGAACTTCAACGACCATCGTCACTTGTATCAGCATCATCTCAGCAGATGTCTCCCAATGGGATGCCCCTCCCGCCCTCTTCAAATCCTTCATACAGAGGTATGAGTGCGCCCCCTACCGCTTTGGCTCAACCATTCATGACTCATTCTCCTCCCGCTCAATTCTCCGAAGATGGTTATTCCGCTTGGTCGCACACGAGGAAACCCAGCATGACACCCTCGACTATGCCTCCTCCGATGGAGGCCATCAGTGAAAGTGCTACCTTTGCTTCTCCTCATTCGAGCATGCCGGCCAATGGGACGAGCACAGCGGCTTCAAGCTTGCCCGCCAGTCCCATCACACCTAATTCTGCGACCGTCAAACGAGAATCTACTGGCTCTATGGGTCATAAGAAGGGAAAAGTCAGTGTCGATAAACCTGACCGGCTAAGTTTCTTCGGTAGGAGTCGCAAGCCTGCCCCTCCGTGAGTGTTTTTTCTGTTTTGAAGATCAGTACTTATATCAGTACAACCCCTGGTATGGAGCAACGTAGTTCTTCTAGACTCGGCTTTGGCAGTGGTGGAAATCGTGTTCATCATGTTCAACCAGCCACCCCGGAACAACTTCGAAAACCCTCTTCTGGGTTAGGTTCAGCTGCTGCTTTGAAACAAATTGGCACTCCTGATCATTCTGGTTACATGAAGAAGAAAGGTGAAACGTATGGTGGTTGGAAGACCAGATTCTTTGTTCTCAAAGGGGCGCATTTGTATTATATGAAGAGTGAACATGTACGTTTCGTATCACTCTGTATTTGAGAAGAGCTGATAAAGATAGGAAGATCGTGTTAAAGGTCATATCGATCTCCGAGGTCATCGAGTTATCGTCGATGAAAACACTCATCCCGGTTCATACGGTTTCCGACTTATCGGTGGTGATAAACCTCATTTCTTTTCTTCATCAGAACAAACGGCCATTCGACAATGGATGAAAGCACTTATGAAAGCTACTATCGCACGTGATTATTCGGTACCAGTGACTTCATCTTGTAATATACCTACTATTCCACTTGCTCAAGCACAAGCTATGAGTCCTCGACCTCCTTCACCCGCCACACGTGATGCTACACAACGTGCTACAAGAAGAGAAAATGTCAATCAACTCACCGCACATGATGCTAGTGTTCTCATGAGTCTCGATACTAGTTCAGGTCAAAGACGTCGTGCAAGTCAAACATTAACCGTCACACCTACTCGACCTACTCGTGATATGAGACGTTCTTCAGGAGATTTAAGACGTGTTTCCGGTGGTCAAGTACAACAGAATGTCAGTTGATTATGAATTATATATCATGTCCAGTTGACTCGCAGGTAATTTCCGTTCATGTGAATGACCCAATACAAATGGAACTTATCAAATGGGTCAATAGTCAATTACCACCTCAATCTCCTAAAGCTCAAAATATACCTGAATCATTCATAAATGGGGAAATCATCTTTCATCTCACTCAACATTTAACAGGGATAGAACCTAATCCTCCTGTTCCTTCCGATGCTTTCAACCTCGACATCGATGGTCATCCCGGTATACCAGGATTATTCGCCATGATGGATATGTTGATAGATAGTGGGATAGATACCGCAGGAGTTAGTATCAACGATGTTCGATCTGGTGATGTCCCAGCTATCACTAGATTATTGGAGAGTATTCAACGGTTCAGTGAGATGAAACAGACTGTTTAGTGATAGGCCTTTATTTTTCGTGTACGTTTTCCACATTAATTATTCTCTTTTCAGCAACGTACGCGATAAAATGGGATTGGTTGATGAATGATGATATTCTGATACTTTGGTACTTTTCCAAAAAAAAAAATGAACACAATTTGCATTTTGGCAACAGAAAGGCATACAAAGATGCCAGATTACAGCTACAAAGATTGTCACGATTTCATCAGTCCCACCTAAAATGTGGTATCGTCCATTATCAAAAACATCCACAACACATTCAAGGAGCTTCTTTGACGATTCGTTGAGCTCGAGTGGCGAGAGTACCATTTCTCTTCGTAGGCATGGTTCTTCTTCTCGATACGGTCACTGGGGAAGGATTACGTGGATAAGAAGGTTTTGGATCTTGACGTGATAAAAGAGCAGTCCTAGTTTTACTGAAATCATTTGAACGTACTTCATAACTTCCCGAAGCTTCTTCGTCTGAGGATGAAAGATCCATCAATCGAGATTGATTGGGACGTGGTACTTTCGGAGGTTTGGGAGGTAACAACATAGCCTCCATCGATGGTAAATGAGGAGAAATAGTGGGTGATGAAGGTTTTGGTACTGTCGTCCTTTGAGATTTTTCAATCACGTAATAACCACCTTCAGGAGCTTCATCATCTGAATCGGAAGGTAACATTAGATCTTGATCCGCTTTGACAGGTTGTGGCTTGTTACTGGATGTACGAGTGGTATTTGGTTCTCGTGAATTTCCATTGACTCGTTTTTTCTTTTTCCTTGGTTTCTCAAAAATCAACAAATGGTCAATTTTGAAGGAAAGGAGAAAGACTTACAAGTTGCATACCTATCAAGAAATTATCTTGATGATCGATCAGAAACTCTACGACTTGTTGTGAGAGTACATGTTCACTGGGATACATTTGATGTGCCGGATGGGAGATGATACCAGGTTGGAAGATCAGTGCAAGGTCTAAATGTCAATCACCCACCCTGGTCAACTCTAGTGATATTTGATCGGGAACTCACTCGCAGCGGTCATGAGATTTTTATCAGACTTTTTGGCGATGACACTGAGGAGATCTAAGACGTAGAGAAGTAAGAATTGATTGACAGGGGGAAGAGATCGGATTAGACGTCTGTAGGATTTGATAGATACTTCGGGAGATAGGTTGGAAGCTGCAACGGTGCGGAACTGAAAGCTATCAGTGGTATCCTTTATCAATTAGTGTATCTACTCACGTCTTTGTAGTAGTCGTTGGGAATGATAGATTCCTGTCATCAGTCATGATAGTTAGCTCGCAGATGCTGAACTCACAGGCATTTGAGTCAGAAATCTGATTATCAGCATGGAGTGGATGAGTGGGTAACGGACTCACCGCCTGAATATAGTAGCGACATCATGAGGCGAGAAAGGCAAAGATTTCCAATCGATGTTCTTCCCATACTATTGTCAGAGACTCTCACAGAATCAGTGATAGTGACGAAGATATACTCACCTTAGGACCGGTATCAAATATCTGTTGTAATTCTCGCATTCTCTTTGCTGAACCAGAAATCCGAAACACGCCTTCCACTTCGGTGGCATTTTCTTTCAGATATAATCCACATTTAGCCACCACGATAGGTATCACCCTCATCATCAATACCCCAAACTTATTGAATGAAACAAACACCTACCCCCAAACGTAGAGACTTCCATCCGGACCAGCTGTTGAGATTTGCACCGCTGCATAACGGATAGATTCATGTAACGGAACTCCAAAAACCAGCCGATCGTCTGTTCGTCCATCAGCCAAAGACTCTTCTGGCAAACCGAGGATTTTTCAGTTTCAGCAGCTCACCTGTGACTTTCGCTTCTGAACCGCTACTTCCAGACCTATCTCTAAATCCTTTCCACCAAGATTTCAATCCTTGCGATCGCTCGTGGTCTGAACTATTATTCGATTTCACTTTTGTCATCGGTGCTGAGGAACCATGATAGTCTGGAGATGTAGCATGATCACCAGCTACATAGTTTGTGACTGAAGGATACGCCACTCGACCTTGAGGCGGCGCGGGTGGAGGTCGCGTAGATACCATTTGATGATATGTTGAAAGATGAAAAGCACAAGATTGGAGAAATAAGATGGTAGATAAGAGAGTAAAAGTCAAGTCTACAGATGATATAAAAGATATAAAAGAAACATGAGGATGATGCAAGAATAGGTTATGTAGGTCAATAGCTGGATCCAGCTGGAACGGGGGTGTGAGGGATGAGTGCGAGTTCTCTGCGTCATGTCAGCGGCTCCCCAGGTCCCCCCAATGGTCAATGGACCCGGTCCAGACAAAACCAACACAATAGCTTCTAGCTGCCACATCTGGACGCGACTCTCGGCGTTATTACAAGCGTGACAAAACACCGCAACCACCTTTCACCTCCTGTCGCTTCAGTTCAACCTCAGTCGTCAATCCAACCTTCGACATCATCTCCCCGTAGTATCTTTCTCAACAAACTCAAGTTCATTCTATCCACACATCAAGCAACCTTTCTTTCTCTTGATTCATCAGTTTCTTGTCACCTAGTTTGATCCTTCAACATGTCGTCTATGGACATTGACCAGCCTCTCGAAGACGTGAGTTCAGTGGCGACTTTTATCTAGCGAGGAATTTCAGCCGATGTTTTGTTTAGATCATAAAAGCCAAAGGTCGTACCAAGAAAGGCAAGACTGGTGGTAAACTTCAATCTCGTGGGAATGTTCAACCTCGAGCTCGTCATCCCGCACCCGCAAAAGCGACTCCTGTCCCAAAGGCGAGACCTGTGGGTGCGGAGGCATCAAAGATTATCATCAGCAACTTGCCCGGTGATGTCAACGAAGCTGCTGTCAGGGTAAGTCACCTCACTTCCTCAACTTTTTACCATCATCGGTCTGCTACAATTGATGGAATGTCGCTCATGAAAAGGATCTGATGCAATCCACGGTGGGACCGGTCAAAAGTGTTCAGTTGCATTACACCTCTGCGGGTAAAAGTACTGGTGTTGCCACCGTCCTCTTCCGTAACAAGGGCGATGGAAACAAGGCTCACGCTGCATGTCAGTCTTTGTCTCTTGCGCCGCCAAAAGCTGACAGGAGAAGACCACAACAGAATGGTCGATAATCGTTAGTATTCCCACCTGTCGATGTCTAGGCGGAACCATGATTCTTGCTCCAAACACTTTCCCCATCATCATTCTTCTGTGTGTCTTGTCGGTGGGAACATCGAGTATCAATTCGATTGCGCATCGTGCGAGACCAGGGCTCATCGTTCACCTCATGGGGAGGTCAAGGAGATCACCTATTTCGGGAACCGGATTGGATACCAACTTCAGGCTCGGGATGAAAGCCGTGAGAATTTAGATTTTGGATTTGTCGCAGATATCCTCGCGAGAGAAGGTTTCACGCCACTCAATTTCTGTCTCTCCATCATCACGTCCTCCTGCGCTTTGCGAGAAACAACGATACTGACGACTGTCCATTTGATCCCTTCTCACCCCCATCTCACTACACATCTCTTTTCGCCATCTTGCTTTTCGTAATGACTGTCGACCGCGCCCAATACGAATATTGGATTCATATTTCAGAACGCCCAATGAAAGTCGAACTCGCTTTCGACCCGAGTCAACTTCAATCGCTGGCTAGTCGAGTGGCTCCTGCCCCCGCTCCGCGTAACGCTCCACGCAACTCGGGTTCTTCTCGCCCAAGTGGACGTGGTCGTCCTCGCCAGACCCGACCTGCTAGGAAGACCGCAGACGAATTGGACGCCGAGATGAGCGTGAGTGTCAAGTCTATATGTTACAATATCATGATTGACTACTCAGGCTTATAAGGAAAACAACGCTGCTTAGGGGGTTGGTAGCAGAAATGTGGTATAGTATGTGAGGACGTCGTCGATCGTTTGCCAAATACCCAGACGTTTAAACCTTATGTTCATGCAAGTCGTTGTCGGTTCGTCTACCACGTACTATACTGCTACTAACGTTACATTTCCAATAATTTATCAATAGCTACGCCTAGATCATTGTTACATCCCTCTAATACTGCCTCGACAATCTCCTCGTCAAGTGCTGGGAACATTTGATGAAGTGTCGTCACGTTCGCTCGACGAGTTTGTTCGTATGCGTCTTGTGACATTTCGAGGGTATTTTGCAATTGTAATGCTGAAAAATCTGGAAGAGGTATATCACCACTTGGAGTTGTGCTATTCGTCAACTCTGATCATCCCTTTGACCCATAAGCTATACTCACCTTCCTGAAGGTGGATGAGAATTTTCTCCTAGTAATCGTACTTGCCTCGAAGGTGTTTCAGGAGTCATCATCTGTTGAAGTCTACTCGAAGTTTGTTTCCTAGGAGTTTCACGAGAATCATTTTGTTCTTGTCTCAATTCCGATTCTCCATCCCTTGAACCTCCCGCTTTCCAAGATCGTTCCACATCACTATCACTTCCATCTTCTGAAACATCTTGTTGTTGCATATTGTCCAATATCTTTCCAATGGCATTCAAAGGTTTGCTCACTGCTTCCGATGCCAGATTCCCAGTTCGTTGTAAGAACCTACGGGTGTTGTTGAGAGTAGGGAAAGATGTGGAGAGTGATAATGCTCTAGCTGGTTCTTCACCAGGTGTGGCAGCTGCGAAAGGTGACATTTCCGATGGTCCCGTGGGTTTTGAAGGCGACATAGTGGGTGAAGGGGGAAGATCTTGAATGGCAGCTTCGACATTATTTTCGAACTCTTCTTGAGTAATATTACTGAGACTTGACGCGTCCATAGTTTCGATAAAGGCAATAGCTCCACTCTGTATTATCAGCGATTTCGTCAAGCCATCATCGAGGAATTGTATTTCAATGGAAGGATAGAAGTCAGGAGGAGAGAAAGAACTTACCAGACTGGACAAATAGTATCCGGCCTCACCTTGAAGTCTGGGGGCACTTCGGAACCTGTTGATATATTCAATGTTTGATAGCAAATTGTCTGGGTTGGCTCGGAGAACAACGAATATGAGAATAGGGACGAAGGCGTCAGCGGAAGTGGCATTGGCTCCGTAGGCATGTCGTATGAGTCCTGCATGTAAGCACAATTTCATATTCTACAGAAAAGATTGCAGATGAGGCGAGTGGAAATCTATAAAGTTTTGTCAAAGTGAATGAACACCTGCAAGGAGGTTCGAATGAGGGGCGATGGACGGGAGAAGGGCGACAGAGATGAGTCAAGAACCCACCAAAGATAACCTTGCAACAATTCAAAATACAAATCATTTTATCTCTGGGCGCTTTGTAATGGTTAATCTTAAGTAGCTCTATTACTCTTCAGTCCTCATCTTAAAGCATGAAAGACTGACTCACCTTGCTCAGCAAATCCTAAGAACCCTTGACTCGCTTCTCCTTCCGGAACGTCTAGATGTCTTTCCCTTACCCAACTGAATAATCTGACTCGTTGAGAAAAGACGGCATCTCTTTCTAGATCGTCCGTTGTGACTGGTTGTGAGGGGACCAGTTGTGGTGTGAAGGTACTTTCTGTCAATTACACTCATGATCGTACAACTCTTATGACTGGTGAATACCCACCCCCTGAGGCAGCATACGGCGAGGAGAGATATGAGACTGAGCAGCTCCGGAAGAAAAGGCAATTGACGGAGAGACAATTATGATAGCTACTCACTGAAAGATTGGGGGAGGAGGGAGGGGACTGAATTGGAAGTCAGATAAACTAACACCCACAAATTGTATAAACGGTTCATGACCAACTTCTCCATAGCTTCCATGGCATTATCGAACTCTGCGGAAGTTTGAGATTTCCAAGGTTCGCATTGTATCATCTTTCCCTCGATAAACTATTATAAGCATATTTTCTCCATGAAGAACCACAACTCAAGCAACTCATTCCAAACAACGCCAAAGAGATGATCCGAACATCACACTGCATTGAACATCAGACATTCCCAACATACACTTTATCGACTCTTCGGTGATCATGTACTTTGTGAGAATGAACAAGTTGAGAGAATTGACGAGTTGTGATCACATACTTTGTGAGAATTTACAAGTTGAGTTGGAAGATGGAAACAACACTCACTTCGAGAAAATCTCGGATCAACTTGACTTGTTCATTCACTGTAAAAGGTTTCTTAGCAAAACTAGAAAGGAAGCTTTCCATCAGCTTCATCTGCTCCTTTCTCACAGAAAAAAAGAAAGAAAGAGAGATGAACTTACCTTTTCAAATACCTTGCTATGGGTTCAGCACTTCTTGTACGTAGATCACGTAGAAATCCAGAAAAGTTAAAACTTGGTTCTCCTGATGGTGTTTGACCATTCCCATCTTCTGTCGTTGATCTACTTTGACCAGTGGATGATGGTTCTTGAACGGTATTTCTTGGGTTCATCGGGGTTGTAACATCCTGTGAGGGGACGATAGGTTGAGGAGCAGGAGTGGAGAATGGATCAAATTCTGATATGTCTGTAGATCTGATAGGTGTTTGAGAAGATTGAGGGGTGGACAGAGGGAGGTCTTTCGGTATAAGTTTTGGAAGTGGGGCATCGGGAGGTTGAGAGACGGTATTGTTTGTTGGTCTGGGTGTGTGAGATTCTTCGGCTGTTTGAACGGGTGATCTGGGAGATGTTGATGATGAGGTGTGGGTGGAAGGGCCGGATACAGCGATATCGTCAGACATGATAGGGACAAAGAGGAAGGATGCAATGGGAGAAGTGAGTACGAGGACGTGAGGAAGGAAGGAAGGTTGATGACGACACGCCACACGCAGACTATCCGAAAATGGAGGGCACACTACAAGCAAGGACATGCAACGCGCAACGACGCCTCAAATGAATGTTGCATGTCTCTCAATCTCTCTAAGTAACTATTTCCATGCCAGACGTAATTGTATACCATACCATAGACCCATGCACACCGTACCAGGTCACAACAGACCCTCTGCGATTCGAGCAGCGTAGTAGCGTACCTGTCATCGTCAGCGAAGAACTTTTTCGTCACACGATATCTATCCCGGCCATCTGGAGGTCTCCAATGCCTGTAAGATATTGAGATATAATGAATCAGACTTGCCATCTGTGAATGACATCAGCAGGGATCGTACACCAAAAAAGAAAAAAACCTATCTTCTACACCTTGCCTGACGTTGAACTGAGGCTGCCACCCGAGAGTCTCCTTAGCCCTGGTAGTGTCCGGGCGACGACGCTGAGGGTCGTCCGTGGGCATCTCCTTGTGGATGATGTTGACACGCTTGGCAAGGGGGTTACCTTGTTCCTTCTGAACCTTTTCCACGATGTCCTACACCATCAGCACAAGGAGATTTCTTGAGTGAGCGACTCACACGGACTGCTTCGGCGAATTCGATGATCGTGAACTCATGCTGATTACCGATGTTGACGGGACGAGTCTCATCTCCATTCATCAAGAGAATGAGACCATCGACAAGGTCATGAACATATTGGAAAGAACGAGTCTGATTACCGTCGCCATAGACGGTCATGTCCTCGCCCTTGAGAGCTTGGATGATAAAGTTGGAAACGACACGACCGTCGTATGGGTTCATACGGGGTCCGAACGTGTTGAAGATACGAGCGACACGAACGTCGACACCATCTTGCCTCATGTAGCCATAAGTGAGGGTTTCGGCGACACGTTTACCTTCGTCGTAACAAGCACGAGGTCCGATACAGTTGACGTGACCCCAGTAATCTTCACGCTGAGGGTGTTCCTCAGGGTCACCGTACACTTCAGAAGTGGAGGTGATGAGGAAACGAGCTTTGGTACGTTTGGCAAGACCGAGCATGTTCATAGTGCCCAAGAAGGAAGTCTTGAGGGTCTTGACTGCATTGTATTGGTAGTGCGGGGGAGAGGCTGGGCAAGCCAAGTGGTAGATTTCTACTACATCAGCAAAGTCTAACGGGTATGAACTCACGGTCCACTTCAATCAAGAAGGGGTTGACCACATCGTGTCGGACCATCTCAAAGTTCGGGTGACCGACCCAATGAGACACCTGAATGTCAGCTTGATCTCAACATGCAATCAGATAAAGTGCGGTACCTACCGTGGTTCTCGAACCTGTGAAGAAGTTGTCCAATACAGTCACCTCATGTCCCAAAAGCATGAGACGGTCAACGAGGTGAGATCCTACGAAACCGGCACCTCCGGTGACTGCCGTCAATCAAAAATCACATGCATGAAGTTCACTCACCCAAGATCCTCTTCCTCTCGGCATTCGGGAGAAGCTTCACGGGAGGGAATTTCGCTACCGTGGTGAATTGGATCGAGTTGGAGCTCTTGTCGTAAGTCGATTGGGCTCCGTAGTCCTTGGGAGGTGCACCGGAAATGTTCTTGGTGGCGTCACCATCTTTGACAAAACTAGGAGACTGTGGGTCAGTGGGTGTAGGAAAGTTATGCATGAGTACCCTCTCACGGGGATAGACGAATAGTCAAGAAGGCAGAGAAGTGTGGGGCGGGAAAAAAAGGGCACAGAGCTCAGGCGCAGTCACAAATGGTATGACCGGAAGGCCATTCAATATAGTGAGGTGAGTCGAGCTTAGTGGGGAAATGATGAGAAGGAAGGTTTGACTCACAAGATAAAGACTCCTGAGAGTGTCCATTTCGACACGAGAGTCGAAACCAAAGCGGTCGTGACCGACAGTGATGATGTTCTCTGGCTGTGGAGTGTCAGCGCCAAGTGGAATGCAGTGGGGTTGATCAATTGCAGCAGCTCAGGGTGACTCACTTTCTCAGAAGCCATGTCGTCTAAGATCTATGAGGTGCTGTTGAGCAGAAAATTAGCCAGGGATATGTATTAAAGATGAAAGAAGGAATGAAAAGAAGAGGGCGTCAAAGTGTATAGTAGTGAGGGGGAGACTTAGGTTATGGAGCTACGAGTAATAGGTAAAGTAAAGTAGGGCGAGCTTGGGGAGGGAGCTGCAAGCGGCAATTGGTTGAATCTTTTCAAGCCTTCGCGTGGCACCCGAACAACTGCAAGTCTCACAGCCAATCCCTCCCTGATCCGCCACTTCCGTCGGAAATTCGGTAATGGCGGGTGTGACCGCTCACCCCCCTCACCCTCGGCCCTTTGGACGCGTCCACTTCTTGTCCATTCTTTCGCGTTCTTAAAACACTTTTAAAACCTTTCCATCAATCCTTTCCCTCTTCTCTTCATCTCTCTTCTGGTCTATCATAAAACAACATCCATAACATTTATAATGTCTGCCGACGCTGCTCCCATCTCCCCTCCTGCTCCCGTCGAATCCCATACCAACGGTAATGGTCCTACCAAAGAGAAGGTGGAGGGTGTCACTAACGGTACAACCGAGAACAAAGCCAAGGATGCTGCTCCTGCTACAAAGGACGTGAAGGAGAACACCAAGGAGGCTTCAACCCAGGAACAACCCAAGTGAGTCTTCTGTTCAAGAGTGTTATTCTGGCTGACCTTCACAGAGATGAAGATGGTGAGCGTATTTTGTGACGTTTGAACAAATCAACTCCAGTCTGACATGAACAGTCAACCCTACTGAAGCGGAAGGGGAAGATGAAGCACCTACAGCGAATGATCCTAAGGGAAAGGGAAAGGGAAAACGTGAAGCCAGCCCTGAAGTTCCAGAAGAGAAGAAAGCTCTGGAGGAGGAAGATGAAAATGACGAAGATCTGATAGTACCAGGACGGAGGAAGCGAGCAAGAGTCAATTACGCCTCTGTGAGTTTGCCTCAGTATAACGTGACTGACAAGCAGGCCGAGGCACTGGAGAAGGCTGGATTAAAGCCTGAAGAGGAGGACGAAGAGGATGACGAGGTCAACCCGGATCATCTGCCCGCTTCCGGTGAGTTATGAGTACACACTGAAAGCTTTGCTGATGATCAGAAGATCAGGATGATGATGAGGAGAACGAGGAGGATGGGAATGAAGATGAAGAAGAGGCGGAAGATGAGGATGAGGGTGATGATGATGATGAAGAAGAAGAATGAGTCTTCAAAAGATCTTCAGGTTACATCAAAAACTGTGCACCATTTCGACATTTTTCAAAATCTCCATTTCATGTTTATGTAGCATGCATATATGCTTGCTCACTCAGTTATCTTACGTCGAGCTTCTTCCTCTCTCGTTCGAAAGAAAGAAAGTTCCGCTTGCAACTTTGGATGGGTCGCTTGTCCAGGTCCGGAGACCAATTCTCGCATTATGATCTCGTAGATTGATGATAGGAACGAATGTCGATCTGATGATGCCTTGATTTTAGAAGCTTGTGTTTCTATTAGACGAGTCACTTCCGTTCTTATACGTGTCATACTGTACCGTGAGTCATGTGGTGAAGTCAAAAATGAGAATACATACCTAGAAAACAACATCACTTCCTCGGCTGTCTCACTCAGAGTGACGACGCATGAGAATAGAGCCGCATAATGAAGAGCAATTTGTCGTACGGTTCCATCTTTAACGCTTCGTCCCATAAACGCAGCCAATCCTTTCCCAGCAGCTTCATCTGCCAATCGATGAACACTGGTGATATGCGAATCCATCTGTTGTCGGTATAACGGCCACATGGCCAATTTCTGCCCTTGTAGAAATGGTAGGATAGGAAGGGTTCCGCGGGTTTCGCAAGTCGTCAAGAGCTCGTCGTTCAGACGTATCATGATCAAGAGAGGTACAGCGGGAGGCGGTGGAGTGATCATGGATTGAAATAAAGAGTGACAATATTCAAGAGCTGGATCGAAGACTTCATGCCATATTCTTTCTGGCTCCTTCAAACCTTCGTCATCCCGTCCCCAAGTAGATCGCCCACTTTCAGATGGGGATTCTGGACGGGAAGGAGAGAGTGGGGCGGTCTTTTCTCTAATGTGTAATCGACCGAAGAAGCGGACCAGAAATGTGAATTCGGCAGAAGCATTGTCTACCAAGACCAAAGATAATGAACGGAATAAAGCTTCCGTAGACATAAGCTAATATCAGCACCTACTGATGAGATATTTGAATACCTTGGACTCACGAAATCTTTGTCATCCGCCATATAAGCTAGTACGATGGATCCATCCTCTCCTTCAATATTTGAATGAGCGTAAACCAAACGCTCGTATGTTTCTTTAACTCCGCTGGAAGAGGTCTCTCCTTCAGTAATGACAGGATCAGAAGTGACGACTCCTAAAACGTCTATCCCTTCTAATGATCTAGCTTTTATTTGTCCCAAAGCACGACAATATCTTCTCATACCAGTCTCATAATAAGCTCTGGCAGCATTGACATAACCTCTCTCCACCTGTTTTGCCAATCTGGGACTTTGTCGATGTAAAAAAGCATAAAACGTTTGATATTTAAGTAACAAAGATGTTTGCAATACAGCTAAATTCGTTGATAAACCCTTGGAAGATGATCGTAATGGTTTGATAAGAGTGAGTAGGAAGGTAGGTAATTGTATGAGAGCTTTAGTCTTTAGACCATTGAGAACACCTTCTATTTCTTGTGTAGCTTTCACTCGTGTACGTGTGGCTATAGCATTGATCTTCTCTTCTAATCGAGGTATGGCCAATAACCATTGTTCGGGATTCTGACTCGGAGTCGTATCTCGTAGAGTTAAAACGAGCCAAGGGGGTAAGATTACATCGATGAGTAAAGAGTTGAGGGAAGGGATAATGATCTGATCTCAGCAACTTATGAGAAGTTTGAAATTATGAGGCTCACTTTTCGACCTTCGAGTTGACCTTCTATATCTGCACTTTTCTGTTGAAGCTCTGAAATTTGACCAGAGACGGCAGATAAATCGGTCTGGAAGTTGGAGAGATATGCCGCTAGTGAGGATAACAATTCAGTACTTGACTGCGATCAGCATAAAAGCAAGATGTAAGAAACGCACTTGGACTGCTTGATCAAGCTCGACGTAATCTCGACGATGACGAAGGACTGGGATCAATATGAGCTCAGTAATGAATCGTTTATGAGCACTCACAGTACTCTCGGTCATCGTCCTCGTGTTGAGTGCCCGAAGGTCCAGCTCCGGGAGAGTCCATAACGCCCAGCTGCCAGATGCTGCGCTATGACGAGGAAGATAGTCTGACCAGTAGTAGTGACGCGTCAAGATAAGCTACGCAGGTAGTAGCTACTAGCTAGTTGTTATCAGTGTCCAAACTGAGATCTGACCAACTTTGGACAAGCCTGAGAATCGATGAGCAGAGAAGAGAGCGAGGGCGGTAGGAAGTTAGTTAGTGAAACAGCAACAAGCAAAAGCGAACGATTTCAACCTACGATTCGCTTCGTTTCAACCTTTTCTCTCTTCTTTCACTACTTTCATAGGCCAGTGTTCAGTGAAGCCAGCAAACCTAGCATTTCCGCGAGCAGGTCGTGCACCTTGCAAGCATGTCTGAGCTATTCAAAGATATTCCAGAGTTTGTAGAGGTACGTGATCACCTCCTTGACAGAGCTGATGCCAGACTCGCATCGGTGAATCACTCACCGCTAGGACAGAAACTCTAGGTGGGTTGGATTTCATTGACAAGTTTCATCTCTGACAATGTCAGCTTCGTTTCGCGAGTTGGGACCCCCAGATCTATGCCATGTGATCAAATCATCAGGAAGCAAGACCGCTCAGAAAGATGTGAGTTACATCGTCTTTTACTCTTCAACCATGCTGACAGCAGCTCGGCTCATATCATTATTGGTTGGTTTCGATGATATTCACTGTACAACTTCTGATCTCAGTTCCGGGGTAGAGGTTTCTTCCCCTGCTACTGTGGCCGCATATTTCAACTCCTTGCAGTTCTCTGTCGATGATACACCCGCATGGTACGGTGGAAAGGGAAGTAATTGGAAAGTGAGAGGAGGTACTTATTGGTAAGTCTGACTTATCAGTCGTCGATCTTGACTGACAATGAGCTGTTTCAACGCTTTTGCTAGGGTTGATATGAGAATCGACGTGTCAATTCCTGGAGGTGTGGATGCTTATGTCGTCGATCTCAGAGGAGACAGGTAAGACTTTTTGCCAGAGAATATGGAAATGATCTGATTAGTAGACACGAAACCTCTGCAGAGTTATGGCAAGAAACATATATGTCAGCTATGCTACGTGCTATATGTTACTCCGATGACGCTTCGTATCGATTAGCAGGATATAGAAAGGTTGATCCTATCACTACCACAGAAGCAGAGCTTCGGTTTCTCAAGGCTTCTGAAGTTCTGTTTTACAAAGGTCAGTTACTCGTACTGATTCTTCCTATACCTCTCATTCTATGATCTCCATAAGCTTGTTGGTATACTTGAAGAGAAGGTTTTACTGACAGTAGGATAGGTTGGCAACTTGGTTCTGACCCCGAAATTCAAGTAGCGACAAATATCACCAATCATTTAACAGCAGCGATAATGAAATACTTTTCCGAATCCTTTCGGTTAGAAAAAGCTGCCAATCTATTCGAGAAACTTTCTGCAAAAGATCCAGAATTAGCAGGTTTGTTAGCGAGGAGTTATCTCGGAATGAGTGAGTCTCACTTGAACCTTCCTATCGTGCTAATAATATGTAGATGAAGAAATCAAAGCTGTCAAAATAATGCACGCTGCATTAGAACAAAATCCACAATCTTATCCCGTCTTACATGCTCAATGTGATTTTCTCTCGAATAAAGGTCGACATGAATGGGCTCGACAAATAGCTCAACAAGCAGTCAGTTCAGCACCTAGTGAATTTGTTACATGGGCGAAACTCACAGAGTGCTTCATCGTTTTGAATCAATATGAATCGGCTCTTCTTACTTTAAATTCTTGCCCCATGTTCACCTTCAACGAAAGGGATCTTCATCGGATGCCGACACCTGCACGGAGTCATTTACCGATAAAAAAGTTCATTGCGGATTCTAATATATTGGATGAGGATGGCTCTGCGGATAATGAGGTGAGTTAAATTACAATTTACCGTCGCCTTTTGCCTCCCGTGATAACCACCCCATAAGATCACGCGAGCTGAATGCGATGTGACCTTCTTTCAGAACATAACTTATCTTTCAAGAAATAACACTATGGGGCTGTGGCTCGAGAGTGGGGTTCAAGATAGATGCTGATTTACAGGCCGATGTGGCTTTACTACGACTACCAGCCCCCGGTCTCAGAGGGACGTTCGCCAGAGCCTACTCTATGCTCACATTACTCGTCTCGAAGATCGGTTGGGACGAACTACTCAAAACTAGATCATCCGTATTCGTGATGGAAGAAGAATATCGATTACACAAAACCGTCGCTTCTGTCGATCTGAATGGCACCGACGCTTCTTCCACCGATGGTATACATTCCACCGTCAACACCCCTTCTGATATACCCACCATTCGAATATCCAGTGAATCCACTCGAGGTCAAATAAACGGTGTTGAACATTCCTCCACTTCGGGTCACGAGCCAGAACGTCCTGAATTGGCTCAAGTAGAAGAGAACAATTCATCAATACGAGTTGAGAATTCTGCTTTTTCGAATAAAAGATTATGTGAAAGATGGCTTGATAATTTATTCTTGTAAGTCCCAATTCCCCTCCCATCACACACATATCTACGTAGTCCATATGAAGAAGTACTGGCTGACATTTTCAGAGTATTATACGAAGACTTGAGAGTTTATACCATTTGGAGAGCTGAAATATCTCATTTCAAAACTCAACATATGTCATATCGTAAAACAGGTACAGAATGGGAGATTCTAGGAGAATTAGCATTACGTCTTCATCATAAAGAAGAAGCAAAAGACGCATTTCAAAGATGTCTCGATTCGAAATTCAGCGCAAAAGCTTTGATGAAGTTATTAGAAATGTATGCCAACGAAGGTGATTTACAAAGGACTTTAACGGTAGCTGTCAAGTTAACAACTTACCATCATCGTTGGTATATGGAAGCTTCTTATCCTAGTATGGTGGCACATCATCTTTTCAAACTTGGACAAATACATGGTCATGCTAAAATACAATATACTTTATTAAGTATGGTAAGTTCTTTTCTATATATCATGTTGAATGATCATTGATGGGTTATAGAATTTACCACCGGGGATATTTGAAATTATGACTGGGTATACGAAATATGGGCAGGTATTTGGAGTTGAGGGATCAGAGTTTTAGATGGTACACTGATGATATATCTGAGAAAGTCAGGTGTTCAGGTCGGATGCACTACTTGCTCTTTCATAACAACACATGATATCACATAGAGCGGAGTATTGACCACCTCAAGATTGCGAGTTGCCATTTGGAGGGCCGCAGATAGATGAGGATGAGATGGTCACCCTAACCACATGATAATATCACGATGCATGGAGGTCGGATCTATTCTACAAAGGTGCAATCATTGATGACGATTTGGCGTCGGTTATGGTACGAAGGACGTAATCGTCGCCGCTCTGTCATGGTTAGCTTAACCGAACGTCAAGAAAACTACGAATTACCCACCACGCATATGTATCGTACCCAAGGAAGCTAATTCGTCAGCACGTTCCGGAAGCACATTTCTCAATGTCAAACAGGACGATTTTCAAGGCTGAGTGAAGGAATGTGATCATGTAGTCATTCACTCACAGCTTGATACCCAGACTTTTCTACGATTCTCAGATATCTCACATTGATCCCACTGAGAGTGAAATAAGGAATCTCAAATTTGACCGATATCGGTGCTCTTTTATCCACCTCTTCATTCCTGACGGATGGTAAACCAAAATGAGCTCGCATGAGATAATCTCTACCTCCACCTAGCTGTTTGATCTTCCATACAAAAGCAGATTTCTCAGGTGCGTAAACCACTGATCCTACCGATGTCTAAATTTCAGCTCGATCACTCATAAAACTTTGAGGACGCGGGAGAGAACTGACTCTGAATTTTGGACTATCCGCATCATCTGGAACAGGAACATAAATCTCAACATTGTTCGCTGTACTTCTTCTCTTGAATTGACCTCTGACTTTCACCATATATTCCACTCTAGAACCTCGATGACTCTCCACACTGGCTTCCACCCATACTAGCGGTTTTACAGGTGTAGAAAGTCGATATGACATGAGTTCGAATTCTCCATCTGGAGGGATGAAAGAAATGGTTCTATCATTTTCGAATCTTGATAATCGTACACATTGATGGAATTTAACATCTTCCATTTCTATTGATTTACCTCGAGCAGCTCTTCCAGTACTTTCAAACATTACTTTATCATTTAGACCTAATCGAAGTTCTGGCATTCCGGAAAGATAACATTTCATCTTGACCGCACCTAGAATTTCAGATCGAATGACATTTCCAGAAGCGTTAACCTGATAGTCAGTTAACATGTGGAAAAGTAATGTGGGGTTTATTGAATTGAAACTTACTAAGAGATTGACACTTTCAACAACATCTAAGAAAACTTCATTCTTCCTATATCTTATTCCTTCAGATCTCCATGAAACAGCATTCGTCACTGCCATAGGTGGTCTGACTTGAGTTTCGAGTTTGTGAGATTCTTGAGTTATATATTCTTGTAATATTTTACTCTCGGTAGTTTGAGGATATCCAAAATCCATCATTTCATCTAACAATTCATAAACGATGACGAAATTGTCTCTGATAGATTCTTCTTCAAGCTCTTTGAAATACTCTGTCAAAACTGATGAAAGACGATGAAGGAATGTGATTATTTCAGCAGCGTTACTGTTACGTTTTGATAATGCGAGCACTAAAGCTTATCAGCTAAAAGATTACAAAGAAGGGACAAGGGGGGGGGGGGGGGACTGACGGTAAAGGTTGTTATGACGTATATGCATGTAATTGATTCCTTCATCTGAGAAACAAGGTGTGACTTGAACATTCTCTTCTTCCATGTCAAGGACAAGAGGCATGAATCTTTCGATATGAGAGGGAGGTACATCGTCTCTGTATGATCGTTGGATGAGAGACTGTCATTCAGCTGTGGAAGGAATGTTGAGAGGGAGGAAATCCTCACTTTACCCTTGACGTCTAAAATAGCGACTGAAGGTCAGATATGTTTACACAGCGTGAAGGGATACTCACTCAAACTTGCCATGATGACCATGACAGGCGAGCAGACCGGTAGCTGGCTAGCTGGTGGAAATGCAAGATAGACGCAGCTTAAAACACCTCTGGTGTGTTCGTGTGGGTGCAGTGACGTTTCCCAGGTCATCCCCCCACTTAACCACGTGGAATGCACAGATCGCTTAGCGTGAATAGGCGGCATGTCCATCCACCACCCTCTGCCCGCGATCCGGGGTCCGAGCGTCACAAGACATCTCCCTCTCTACCTCGTCACCTTGTCACTATTCATATACCTACTCCTCGTCTACCCATCTCCTTATCGCCCTCCCTAATTGGCCTCCTTCTTCCTGCGTATAAATCACCATGTCTCACTCTCACGAGGTGCGTTATATGGACTAATCCAACCGGACCGTACTCATTCCAGGTTACCGAAGACGATCTCATCCCTTCCGAGACTGAAAATTACAAGGTGAGTCGGACATCGTAAACCTTGCCCCCTGTATCTCTCACAGCACCTAACGCTATCTCTCCCGCTCCTCGTTCAATCATCACTCTTCCAGTATACTGAAGCTGACGTTGCAGATCACCCCCAGCAAAACGCTTGCTGAGTTGACTGCTCTTGACAAAGTAAGTGAAGAGTGGATCAGAGTGCAGCTGAGAGATTAGGAAGATGAATCGCTGCAGCGATGGAAACAATCTCTAGGACTCAACCCCGGCGGTGGAGCGAATGGTCCCAAAAAGGTAAGCGAAGGTGATTGTGATTGCGCTCATAACAGGTTGTACTCAAGTCGCTCTTCCTCATCTCTCCCACTCTACCAAATCAAATCAATATCGATCTCACGCGACCACCTGCTGAGCTAGCAAAGCTAAAGAAAGAGCCCAGTGAGTTGTTTTCCAGTGATCGTGTTCCGTCCTGACTACAGTGATCATTAAAGAAGGAGTGGAATATTCTGTAGGAATTACTTTTGTGTGAGTGATACCCACGCTGCAGAAAATGACTGGTTGATCCTGATAAAAGTGTGGAGAATGAGATCGTATCGGGATTAAAGTACCTTCAAGTGGTGAAACGGGCGGGATTGACTGGTGAGCAGTTCATATGTATGCGTCAGAGCTTTTAATTGAATCCGGTAGTCGACAAAACAGAGGCCATGCTTGGGTCGTATGGTCCGCAAGCAGAGGCTTACACCAAGATTGTGAGTGATCAAGCTCGCAACCGGTGACTGACCGATAGTTCGCCTCTGAAGAATCTCCGTCAGGCATGTTGGCTAGATCCGGGGCGTATGTCGTCAGATCACGCGTTGTGGATGATGATAAACACGTTTGGCTGGACTTCGAATGGGGCAAGTCTTCCAGATTCGATAGGTTGAAAGAGTGTATTGACATTCCAGGTTTTAAGCTTGGGAAAGAATGGTAAGGGAGGTAGGCTGTAGCTGTGGGGATGGGAAGTATGAGGGAAAACGCCATTGTGACGACGAGTTGCATGTTCATGTTCATTAGTTGCATGTAAATGAGTTTGATTGCTGTCGTAATGCCATGTCATTACTGCAATACATGTACGTGCAATGAAAGTATGGTTGCTTTGAGTCGACACGAGGGAGGGAAGGTTACCGGGGCCCAATTCCACCAAAGCTTCTGCCACAACGGTCTTTGCTGAGAAACACCGATAGCGCCGACCACTTTAAACCCGAGCCCCTTGTGGCCTGTCGCGTTCGGATCCTCGAGCTGTGTCGTCTTTCTCCACCAATATCCCTTTCTTTCTTTCTTTCATCCCATCCTCTCACACTTTCATCTTCTCCCCACTCGTCAATCCCATTAATACTCCAACATGTCAGGCGAGATCAGACGTAAACTCGTCATTGTCGGTAAGTCCCTCGACACTTCGCGGTCGACCTGCCATTCCCGAACCCCAGTCCCTTCCTTTCCTTGTAGATCGGTCCATCCGCTGACATCCGTATAGGTGATGGTGCTTGTGGTAAAACATGTCTGTGAGTTTATCTCATCAACAATCCCAGAATACATCTGACTGACGTTCAGATTGATCGTATTCAGTAAAGGCGTGTTCCCTGCGGTAAATTAAATGCTCGTGCTTTCTTTGTTATAGCTGACGATGATATAGGTTTATGTTCCTACCGTTTTCGAAAACTACGTGGCAGATGTTGAAGTAGATGGAAAGAAGGTGGAGTTGGCTCTTTGGGATACTGCCGGTCAAGAAGATTACGAGTGAGTTATTTTGCCACTCTGAAAATATATTTGAAACAAGGTCTTCGCTGACACGTAAATTATAGTCGTCTTCGACCATTGTCTTACCCTGATTCTCACGTTATCTTGATTTGTTTCGCCGTTGATTCCCCGGATTCTTTGGAGAACGTGCAAGAAAAGGTCAGTCAAAGATTCAACCTCTTCACGAGATCTTTATCTTCACTCGTGTGGACATTCGCAGTGATCGATGCTGATCCATTATAGTGGATCTCGGAAGTGTTGCACTTTTGTCAAGGATTGCCAGTCATCCTCGTCGCTTGCAAGAAAGATCTTCGTCGTGATCCTAAAACTCTGGACACACTGAGCAGGATGGGACAACAACCCATATCAACCGAAGAGGGACGTGCTATCGCGCAAAAGATCGGAGCTCAGAGTTATGTAGAATGCAGTGCCAAGACTGGTGAAGGTGTTAGGGAGGTGTTTCAAACTGCTACCCGTTACGCATTGATGGTGAGTCGATGATCACATAACAAATCTGTAGAGTGCGTTGTTTTAGCTGATGTCGTATAGAGCAAGAAATCTGGACGTGGACGTGGACAGAAGAAATGCGTCGTTCTCTGAATAGAGCATGGTTGTACTCATATCTTGTGCGACGATCCGACCGATTACCCCTCTCCCTTACATTCTTTCCCCCCGACCTCCTCTCCCACAGTCGATTCGACGAGGGTTTATGATTACTGTGGTTTGAGACGTTCTGTTTTTTTCCCGTAATGCTGATGTATATACGCGCCTGAGCTACCATGAGAAATTTGTACGAGGTCGAGTGGGTTGGTGCTGCAACAGAAATAAAGATATTGACATTTACAATATGAGAACATTATATTTCTATTAATCTCGACATTCTATCTACAGCAGAGATATTGCCACAATCAATCGACAAATGTCTTTCATCTACAGAGCGATCTTGCTCACCCTCCTTTCCCACCCTCCTTTCCCCCCACCCACCACTCATGTCGCCCATTGCATCTTCCTTCTATCCCCACCTGCTCTGACGATATTATGATGGATGGCTAACAGAGCCTTGTCAACCCCGTTCTCCGCTCTTATCCTTTCCCCCACACGTGCCGCTTTCTCAATCATGATCCTATTCGACGTCGCTTTAACCAACGCGTCCGCAATCTCGTCCGATCTCAACGACGCTAACTTGAGTCCAACTCCCAATCTAGTCACTCTGTTTGCCCAGAAAAACTGATCCCCGAACCATGGTTTTATAATGGTCGGTATTCCCGAACGAAGACTGGCTCCTACCGTTCCGGCACCACCATGATGCAAAGCCGCTTGTATCTTTGGGAACAACCATCCATGTGGTACTTTTTCCAAACCATAACAACTATCTGGAAATTCGATATTTTCCCCTTCCTTAGCCGGATCACCTCCTCTAGAAGACCAACCTTTAGCTATGATAGCTCTCACTCCTGATTTCTCAACAGCTTTGATGATACTCTTTGTCATTGCGTTTGGACGTGGTACTACGATTGATCCGAATCCGATATAAACGATAGGTTTTCCATCTTGTTTAGCTTGATTCATCCAATTTTCCAATCCTAAAGGTGGTGTCCAATCTTTATCACTATCTTCCAAAGTCCAATATCCGGTGATTGTTATATCATCATGCCAATCGAGTGGTTTAGGTACTACGGCAGTACTGAAATTATATAAAAAAGGTACTTTTGTTACTGATAAAGTTGACATATCCGTCGGACGGATTTTCAAATGATTTTTCCTCCATCTATTGATTTGACCAGAAGTAGCACGCCACATTATATTATCGAATAAAACATAAGTCGAATAATTGAAACTTGGTCCCATTTCGAATGCTGGGACCATGAAAGCTTGTGGATAAGCTGTCGTACGTGTCCAAGGCATGGTGAATGCTCGGAAATAAGGTATTTTCAAAGCTTCGGCAATATGAATACCTGCCATTGCGGATGGTGATTCGATGAGAACGTCGGCATCTTGACATGCGTTCCATGCGTCCAACAAGAGATTATCGAGCCATTCACGGAATGATCCGAGGGATTCTTTGAAAAAACCGGGTGAAAACATTTTATGTTCTGCACTAAGTTTCATTAATGCAGTTGGATCTCCACCAGCTTGTCGATGTTCGATATCATAACCTTCTATCCATTCTTTAAATTCGGCTATATATCAGCGTCATGTTTTTATTTTATTTTTATTTTTCTTGAAGCGAGGAAATTGTTATGTACTCACAATGGGTGACAATGACCGTACGATGACCATCTTGTTTTAAACGTAAACATAAAGCGATATAAGGTTGAACATCACCTCTTGATCCAATTGTTAAACAAGTGAAAGTACGTGGTGTCAATCTTGTGGTTTTAGCGTCCCATGGTCTATTGGCGATGAATGGCATGTAGGCTAAAGCTTCATCGGGAAAAGCTTTACTCATAAACATTGTTTCCTTTGGTGGAGCTAAAATATCGGCAGCATGCATGGGAATAGGTGAAGTTGAACGAACGGCGGATGTCATACCAGAATTGATGGATGGTGTTTCGGTAGGAGAAGTCGTCAAGTTGGTTTCGGATAAAACACTAGGTTGACTTATATCGGACATACTGAGAGATGTCATTTGACTGATGGGCAAGGGAGATCCTAAAGTTTCGATAGGACTCAAGGGGTTACATAGCTCGCTTATTCGTTGAATGACTTGATCTCGAGTGGCTTGACTCCAAAATTCAAACTTGAGATCATGGTGAGAATGTATTTGCAATGCCATTCCGTGGAAAGCGGCTCGAGTGCTGGGTACCGCCACAGCTCCCTTGACATCTTTGCAACGGAAACGATACTGAAGTCAGCAAAGTGACAATTGTCAAAAGTCGCAAGTCTTGTAAACCCGCCGTCTTTGCTCACCTTTACATCTGAACCCACGGTATTCTTCCTCCAGAAACAAATGTACTCTCTAGTCAAGATGATGTGCCCACGAGCAGGTATTAGACCGCTGCAGACATAACAACGTTTAACTGTCATAAGCAATGGAACGAGAATGATCTGTGTCAAACTCACGCCATATACCCTCCTCAGGTTTTAGTCCGAATAGTTTGGCAGCCTGTTCTGCCTTTTCCGCCTTTCTCGTTTGTGAACCGACCCCTTGTCCATCCTCATCGATATCATCATCTAAAGACGAAGAACTCTGTCGAGGAAACTCCAATCCAAGTGCTTCCAACTCGTCATCACCAGCCAAACAATCATGTCCTCCCACAGTGAGTATCATATCAGGAGGTCTAACACCCGCTTTGTATCGACGTCCATGTGAAGCTTTGACGGCCGCACTGAGAGCTTCGGCGAACCATGCTTGTTCATTCAACAAAGCAACGTTGAAGTGATATTCGTGTCGCGGATCAGCGTTGGTTTCGTACCCGGGAGGTAACATCGATCGACCGCCTGATCCGGCCAGAGCTAATTTAGGTGGTAGAGTGGTGTCAAGCCATCGGGGAGGTTGCCAAGCTGGTACAGGAAGGGGTTCAGGGGAGCCAGGAACAGGACTACGATGTCGAGAAGCTGGTGAAGATTCCCGACTAGGTTTAGGCGAGCCTACACGAGATAATGAAGTCCTGATGGAGAATTTCCTTCGACTTTGACCTGGGGGAGTGGAGTCCTCACGGACAAGATGATCTTCGGATGGTTGTTTTCGCACAGGTCTGGCTCTATGACTTCCAATATCGATGTCTAATCCTACCAGAGTGGAGAATGAGTGATAATCGTGTATACCTTTGATGGTCACTCGATCAAGTGGTACACAAACACGCATCATCGACCAACCGTCGGAAGTTTGAGGTTCGCCTAAGATACTTGCGTTAGCCTGACGGCCTTCAGTTATTTCCTTCAACCGCGATCGAGCATGTCGGTATAAAGCGCCTTCAATTTCTCTACGCCATTGCACGGCCGATTGCTGTACTCAGTCAAGCCGCTCAACAGATTATTTTATGACTCACCTCTGTATCCACCGTAAAATGAGTGGTTCGCAAACCATCAGCAGCTTCATAGGTGGCATAGAACTCGCAAGGATGTTCATGATCGAACGGTTGTAGACGACGGATGGAAGATACTTTTGGTAGTCAGCGAGGCGGTCAATCACGCAGATGTCGAACTCACAGAGTATGGACCGAATTGGTCGTACCCGTCCTGATTCCGTGGCACTGGGAAATGTTGTGATCATCTCGGAACTTAATTCCATCCACACTCGTCTAGGTGTCAAGAGGCCGATTCGATGAACAGTCACCGGCCCCGAGTACAAGACATCTGGTTGGTGCGCCAAAGCAGCGGTAGCTGCGTCCACATTGTTGGCATTTATAGCATCTGGGTTGGGTCGTGATTGATAAGCTGAATCAGGTGGAAGGACAGCGTGGAAGAGAATACGATGAGTGGTCAAGTGAAGATTGCCGATCATCATGACTCCCCTGCGACGTCAGAATAGGTATTGTAGATTGTTGCTACTCACTTGAATAAGCTGCCTTTGCTTTCCGCTAACATACGCTCTGGTTCTCCAGGTGTTCCATCTGAATTCTCCATAAGCTCCGCGATATCACCAAAGTCTTCGATGACGGCTTTGAGTTTCAAGTCGTCCGGAATATCCGGACCAAAAAACGGTATACCGTCATCGTCCACCAAACCGAGTGAGGTGGCTGAAGTGTAAGACGAAGCGACACTGCTTTCAGAGGGAGCGATTGAAGGGGGTCTGGAGGAGTCTGAATCGGTATCAATACGTGGTCCTAGCGCACCCGGTACGACATCTAGCTCTGGATGTTCTGACTCGTCTAATGGGGTTTCAGAATCTGAAGCGGGTGGTGGTGGACAAGGTAACTCTGGTCGAGGGCGTTTGTGAACTTTGTTTTGATGAGCAATTTTGTGATCGTTTTTCCTATTGACCCATGGTGAGTAATTGCCGACCGATAGAGCTATCATCAATGAGTTATTCAAAAACATGGTTGTAAAAAAAATTGAGACTCACCGGCAAAACGAGCACTGGCAGCATTGTTTTTACTCTCTTCCAAAGTTTCTTCCATCCATTTGTTTAACGCCGCCCGTTTCTCAGCCTCTGTCTCTCCCGGCAGATCTTCAGGTCGATGAGGGACACTACCAGTTTTGTAGCCAGGTCGAAGAGTGGTGGAAGATTCTACATGTGGTAGATCATTGACGTTATTTGGTGTGGGTGTTTTAGAAGGATCGACGACATTACCATTCTGACCTTCCACCTTGAAACTACTTTCTTCGTCTTCGTCACTATCCACTGCTTCTTCAGGTCCCGCAACACCATTCCCACCAGCAGCAAGAGCCTTGAGCAATCCAAATACTTCACATGAAGAGGCTATTTTGGATCGGACAATCTTTCCCGGGAGGCTTGTCTTGACTAGGTTTGGGATTTGTGGTCGAGTGTGATAGATCGCCGTGACTGATCCAGCAGGCACATGATCTTCCTCTTCCTTTTCCTTGGAGGGACCGAGTGCTTTGACCAACTTGCGAGCGATGTGCGTCATGTCATGGGGATACGGTGGGTGGATAATGGGATGAAGGATGATATTAAAGAGATCAGAGTAGGACAATGGATCAATAATTTATTGAATGGGATGGCCGAAGCGTCGTCATTGACTGTTGTGGCGAATTCGGGTGGTGGCGACTAACCGAGCTTAATGCCGGGCACACGTAGTGAAGACGGCTTTTCTAAACGATGGCGGGTTCCGGTAAGGATGAGCGGGATACAAGCGATGACTGAAAGATGTGATACTAACATGCAAGAGAAAGATCTACTGTAAATACACCAACGGTGGTGGTGGCCGGAGGGAAGTCAATGCGTCAATGCCAAAGGAATTTTTAGCGGCGGTGGTGGCGGTCTAGCGGTCTTACCGGCGGCAAAATAAAAAGTTGCTCCTTCCTCCCTGTATCCATCCACACATCGACCAACCACACCAGTCCAGTATCAAACACAAAAATGGCACCCTCATCATCCTCCGTCCCACAACAGAGAAAACAGATACTTAGGTTCACATCTCACCGTCATCTCCGACAACGTCTTCTTCTCTCTCTACTCTCTGGGAAATCAATCATAATATCCCAGATCCGACCAGATGACATTCACGTAGGATTGAGAGACTACGAAATAAATTTGTTGCGTTTACTCGAGAGGATAACCAATGGTAGTACTGTAGAGATCTCCACCACTGGTCAGTACTTACTCTACGTTTTACAGTGGTCGAACGAGAAACATATGTTGATCAACAGGAACTTCATTCCTTTTCCATCCAGGATTACTCCCCGGTGGTTCGTACAGTCATACATGCAGTCTAGGCCGGTCGATAGGATACTACCTCGAGGTGTTGGTACCACTGGCACCTTTCTGCAAGAAAGCCTTTGATATTAGTCTGTTTGGGATCACAGGTGAAGAAGGGAGAGATTTGACTGTGAGCGTTCAGAAAATTTTCCTTTAGCATCATCACTTTAGGTCATCCTCGCCTATAGTCACGAATTGGCAGACCGATGTCAAATATCCTGTCACGGGGTCACCCACATAGAGAGAGCGAGAGATGTTATCAGATACCACCACACGTTGATCCTTTCACACTGACAAGAAAGTGTGTGGGGGGTGGGGGTCTCTCGATTCCAAAGATCAGTAGTAGTGGTGGGAGGACCAATCTTAATCATCAGGTCGATACAATCCGAACGGTCACCCTCCCTCACTTGCATATCTTCGGAATCACCGAAAACCTAGAACTTCAAATAAAAAAACGTGGTGCTGCACCTCTAGGAGGTGGACAAGTTATATTTCGTTGTCCAGTAGTGAGACAATTGAAAACTATTCAATTTATCGATAAAGGGAAAATCAAAAAGATTAGAGGAGTAGCTTATTCTACTCGTGTTTCACCTCAATTCGCAAATCGGATGGTAGAAAGTGCCAGGAGTGTTTTGAACAGATTTATACCTGATATTTATTTATATACGGATGTTTATAAAGGGGAGGAATCTGGAAAGTGAGTGATTTTTTAAAGTTCATTCATTCATCCTTAAGTAGGTAACATTTCCAACTGTTTGGAGTCTGTAATACATCAGAGGGGTAGTGTGGGGGAAAACGAGGGGGTAGCAGGGTTATTCTTGGAGGATGGATTTATTGAGTAAGAATGGTCAAGGGAGAAAGGTGATCCAGAGAAAAGAACATAAGGCCGATTCGTGAATTTCGAAACAGAACAAGGAAAAAAAGGAAAAAAAAAACACCTGACTAATGTCAGATCACCAGGTTACGGTCTCACATTAGTATCTCAATCCACGACCTCTGCACTTCATTCATTCGAATCATTATCGACCCCACCATCAGAAAGTAAAACCATTCAACAAACTCCAGAAGATATAGCTTTATTTTCCGCTAGAGGTTTATTGGAAGAAATAAATAAAGGTGGATGTGTAGATGGGAAACATCAATGGTTAGTTTTGTTATTGATGGCTTTGGGTAAAGAAGATGTTGGGAAATGTTTAATGGGTGATTTAACTTCACATACGTGAGTTTTTCCTTGCAACGTTTTTTTCACTATCTCTCATGCTCTACACTTCAATTTCATACATTTGTTTCTCGCTACATCGTCCGAGCAATATTGAAGAGTAGGACTAACGTTCGCAGAATACAGTTCTTAAGGGATATGGTCATTTTTTTCGGCGTGAAATTCAAACTTACACCTGTTCAATCTGATTCAATTACAGAGAAAACAAGTACTGGAGAAGTCATGGTGAGTTGTGTAGGGATAGGTTATAGTAATGTGAATAAATCCATGGCATAGAACCATTTCACTGTATGTATGCATATCTATGACAAATCATTATACATTTTCAGGTTATGACGGTTATACGAAATCTCGTATATGGTTACTCTATGGATATTCATTGAGTCTTCATGAAGATCGACAAAACACTGGACAGATGAAAGTGACATCACTATGAATACAACCCCGGAATATCTGAGAGGGGGCAAGACTCGGAAAGCAAGGCCAGGAGCGGTTCGAGGGGTATGGATTTTATGGAGAGATGACGTATGTGACTTCTGGATCATGGTCTCGATTTACGATCCCAATCGGTGGAAGAGAAGGTCTTTTATGTGTGTCTGTACTTGTATCATCTGAGGAAAAAGGATTGTCAGATGGATGAAGCATAGATTGTAAATTTGACATTGGTGTAGGCGAAGGCGGAGGTGAAGAAGCATGTTTGTTGATCATAGAAGCTAAAGAAGGCATATTTGTGAGTGAAGGTGGTGGAGATGAAAGAGATCGATCAATCGTGATTGTCTTTGAAACGTTTAAGTTGAGATTAGACCATTTCCAATTTTTAGGAGAACGAAGTCGTGTGTACATTGACAATTCAGGCCTGGCAGTATCGATTTGTAGAGATGGTCTGGAAACGTTTTTTGTTGTTCTACAGCGTTAACATCTTCGAAGAAGTCTGATATGTTTTGTTGTATATATCATCCAGGTGGGGTGAACTCACGAGGGTTGACCAGTATCGTTGGAGTACAGAGATGTGGCTGTATCGTGTACTTTCTGGAGAACCTTGTCCAGACGTCTCAGATTATCTTTCGTATGTGTATTTATATTTTGTTCATCCGTTTGAACAGATCGTCGACGTTCGTATAATGTCTCGAAAAGTAACGCTAAGTTGACATTGACGTCCACATATCCCGCCGGAGTGAATACGGGTAGAGATCGTGTGGAAGATTGACGCCGTTCGTCGATGATTTGACCTGTTGGACCACTTGGTCGTTCGATATACCCATCGAGAGGCGTCTGACATCAGCTCTCTCTACCTGTCTCTTTTGTTAAAATAGGATCGACTCACCGCAATGCCAGCGATATAATCCACCATTGTTGAGCTATGTCCCTGTGCGTCAATACAGAGATGAAACTTACCAAGAATTAGAATGAACGGAGAAGCTCACAGTGATAAACTCCATAAAAGGACTTAACTCATGATCCATCTCCACACTCTTATGCGAGAAAAAGGCCATGGTTTTAAGTATCTTCGCGAGCAGAGTGAGGATAGCCTGCGCTGGGGCAGATTGTAGCCCGTCGGCTAGATCGAACAGATGTGGTCGCATGATAGCTGGACCTATGAGACGTAACTACCAATCAGCCATCCGTCTAGTCTTTGGAAGGTCCACTCACAAATAAAAAAGAAGCTACAGCTTTGTAATGCAGCATCTCCCTTTTATATCAGCGACACTGGACATCCAGGAGAGCGTTATACTTACTGTGATGTATAGCGATTTTTGACGGTGACGAACATGTGCGCAAAAACTCTTCTCAAACAACTTTTCCATGAATTCTTTCCATCAACATCATGTGAGACATGAACTTACTCAGGCATCAAAGTGCGATGTTCTTCCATCAGCCGAATCATCAGATGTCACATTAACTCACCATACAAGTCTTCCAGACAGCTGGTGGCCAGTCCCAAGACGTACATCACCGATTCCGAGTCTAATCGAGTGTGATCCGAAGTTCCATGATCAGTGTATCGAAGAACGAAGCGACCTCCAGTGATACGTTGTATAGTGGGACCTATGGACTTTTCGAGGAATTCTTTAGCCGACAGACGCATGGCCGATTCGAGTAGTTTGGAAAAAGGTGTATAGCCACGGAAGAGGGTAGATGGTTCTGTACTATGTTAGCAGTGTTACAGCTCGAGGAATGAGCTTACCTGAGTTCCGAACATCCATATCACACATCGGCGTCAGTCGACTAGGAAGACCACCATCTGAAAAACACAATTTGGCAAGTAAATCTCCGCAATAGCTCAACTGTCCTTGTCGGGAGAGGTGATACAATGTTTCGGTGTTACGAGCTCCTAATATCTGGACGATCAGCTACTGGCCAAAAAGAAGTAGAAAGTACTAGCCAGGTCGAGATCATAGGCGCTCGGGGACTGAATGGCCACTTCTTGATAAGCTATTGTCACTCGCACCTCTCCAACCGCGCCATCATCCACTGAGAGGATAGGATACCGCTCGTCTTTGGGTTTGGCGAAAGAAGGCACGAGAGGAATAGTGACAGAGCCGAAGTGGACAGGTTTATTTCGAACAGTCCGATACAGCTTCAAGCCTGACAGTCAGATATCCTCTCGGTTTCAGTCAAACTACGAGTACTGACTACAACTTGGCGTATCTGGTAGATCATCGAATCTGAACGTCTCTCCCCAGAAGGGGGAAGCAGCGGCACTGTTGGCTCGCTGCCATGTCGTCCGCGCAGCGTGCAGATCATTCAATTCTCTGTAAAGGGTCAGCAGACTACGGCCTAATAGAGACATCGCTCACATGGTCACAGCAATCTCCTCTTTCGCCGCCCAATCTGCAGTCACCTGTCTTGTCTGCCTGAGATCATTACGATGCGATACTGAACTATTGCCGTTATTCGAGATTCCACTTTTCGTATCACTCAGCACATCATTCGGAGTTATGATAGTATAGCCACAAAAATCCGATCTACCAGAACTTCGACTTTCATCCTGAACATCCCAGATTGTGATATGTAGTCGGCGATGTATGTGCGAGGGGGACTTCGGCGTGGAGAGAGAACGCAGGAGAACATTCCATTCCTCGTACACGCCAGGAGAGTTGAATGCCACGAAGAGTCGCTCGTTCCTCATTGACATCTCGTCCGTTCCGGGCTCTGGAAGGGTCTGACGTTCGGTATTGATCATGAGAGGCGGTAAGTCGGGTGGCCTCTGCGGAGAGGTTTGGTCTTGAACAATCGACACCGTCTTGCCTCTCTTACGCAACGAAAATAATGATCCGACTCGTTTAGTGACAGGTGGCTCAGTTGCAGATATTATGGGAGGTCCAGTGGACGACGAGTCAAAGTCTGGCAAAGTCGTGTGCGTCGAGGCATGTGGTTCTGGGAGTATCATAACTTGTCGGACGCCGAAAACTGATCGATGGATGGTTTGAAAGGGGGATGACAGGCGGATTTCTGGAGAAAGTGGTGCCTCTGGCCAGTGTCGTCCAGAGGGTAGAGTGTGGACATAGATGAGCTATCGAACGGTGAGTGAATTGCGCGCTGGAGTGATATAAGAACTTGCCTCGTCTTCAGCTCTGAGCCTCATCTCAGCCCCATCAACACCTCCATTCCCCCTTACCTCTAGCTCAAGGAAACCTTCATGCCAGTGTCGACCGGTATCGCTCGGCTTCCGAGACGTAAGACGCCTCTTCGGTCGAGGAGCATCACCGCTAGTGCTCCGGGATTGTCGTTGCGAGGTTGAAGCATGGGGTGAAAGGTGTGGAATGGATCGACTGTCTGTGTGCTGTGAGCTCATTACAAGTAGACGTGGGCGAGTTAACTCACGTCGTAGAGCTGCACGCTGAGTCTCGAACTTGGCTTGTCTCAGTTCTCTGGCGTTCTCATTGACTTGAGATGAAGGTGTGGACGGCCCAGCTTGATTGCTGTGATTTTGATTCAGAAAGACTTCGGTGACTGACTGTAGGGATTTGGCCGAGGTGAGATTTGGGGACAGGGGAGTTAGCGGGGTCAGTGGGGCTAAAGATGGTAGGTCGGTTCGAGGTGGAAGAGGTGGAGATTGAAGGAATGTATGTGGGTCTGTCAAAGATCTCTTCTGTCCCGCGGAGGATTTCGGTCGAAGCTGGAATTGTCATGAGCATACAAAAGAGTGAAAGATAAGAAGACATAACTTACTAGGGAGGGAACATGCTTGGGTTTGAATGCTTGAGATTCTGTCTGCAGTCCTCTGGAGAACCAGATAGGCTCTGTGGGGTATGATTGCGTGAGATACCAAACTTTAGCTGTCAGAATGGTTGACGTAGTCATCAGATGGTGAGAGGGAGATCTCGAGTTACCATTGAGATGAGTGACAGTTTTGGGGTAAGTGAAGTACTTTGTAGTAAGCTAAGCGTTGGGCACAGACCTCTTCTTGACCTGTATACCAGAATTGAGAAGAGAGTGTGTCCCCTCAAAGTGAACTAGAGTAAGGTAAGAGATCAGAGGAGATTCATCATGATGGCTCTCAAGTCTGGATCTCGCTCATCGCTCAGGGTTCATGCAGGCATGCAGGCCAGTCCGCAGAGGATTGCCGCCAAAGTCTTGTTGAACCGGTCATCCGGTCCATTTCAATCACCCTTCCATCCCTTTCCCACTTTTGACTCAGCAACCAATTCATACATCATCCACTCCCTCTCATCGCTCACCGCAACCAGATTCGTATCGGTCAAGTCTTCCTAGCCAGTATTCTGTGAGTGAGCCGTGAATACCCAGTCGACCGCCAGTTGCCAGTTGCCATCTTGACGCTGACCAAAGCTTGCTCGGATACCCGACCTCCACATTCTCCACACCCATCATCAATCTCAACCTCATCATCCCTTTCTCTCATCTTTCATCCACCATCGCCCTCTCCTCGTCACTCAGACTCGTCAACTGAACGTCATGCCAAACTCAAACCTCAAGACGGGGTTCATCCCATCGATGGAGACTACCGGTGACGCTTTGACCGAAGATACCACCATCGTCGTCCTCGGCGCCAGTGGGGATTTGGCACAGAAAAAGACATTCCCCGCTCTTTTCGCCTTGTTTCAACAAGACTTTCTTCCGAAAGATCCCAAGATCGTTGGGTATGCAAGGACCAGTGAGTTCTACTTCACCATTTCTAGTATCCGAGCCACGCTGATGTAACTCTAGAAATGGATGAGGCCGAGTTTTACAAGAGGGAGACGAAGTACCTCAAGAAACCGAAAGATGATCAAAAACTCGCCGATAATTTTGACGAAAAGCTTGAAGACTTCAAAAAGATCTCGAGCTACGTAGCTGGGACTTATGATGAAGATTCTGGTTTTGAAGATCTCAAAAAACATCTAGAGGAGATCGAGAAAGCCAGAGGTGGAAAAACTAAAAATAGAGTCTTCTACATGGCTCTTCCTCCTTCAGTTTTCATTCCAGTAGCTCAACATCTCAAAAAGATTTGTTATTCCACCGAAGGTCAAAACAGGATCATCATTGAGAAACCTTTTGGTAAAGATCTTGAATCTTGCAGGGAGATGATCTCCGCTGTCAAAGACGCTTGGCATGAAAACGAAACTTATAGAATCGATCATTATCTCGGAAAAGAGATGATCAAGAATATATTGGTTTTACGATTCAGTAACCCTTTCTTCGATTCTTGTATGAACAATCATTACATCAGTAATGTACAAATCTCATTCAAAGAACCTTTTGGAACGGAAGGTCGTGGTGGATACTTTGATGAATTTGGTATTATTCGAGATGTCTGTCAGAACCGTAAGTCTATCCATCCCTCGTTCGTCATATATGTATCGCGGTAAATTGACGAATACAGATTTGCTTCAGACATTGTCGGTGTTGACTATGGAAAGACCAGTTTCATTCTCGGCCGAGGATATCCGTGATGAGAAAGTAAGCGTCATCATTATGATGGAGTGATTGTTGATGGTTCAGGTCAAAGTTCTTAAATGTATTCCCCCGATTGAACGCAAGGACGTTCTTTTAGGTCAATATGTGGCCGCTGATGGGAAACCTGGTTATTTGGAAGATGACACTGTGCCTAAAGGTTCCAATTCACCCACTTTTGCGGCTATGACTTTGTGGGTGAATAATGGACGTTGGGAGGGTGTACCTTTCATTATGAAAGCTGGTAAGGGTGAGTTGTTAATCTCTTCTTTGTCTATATTAGGTTCAAACTCCCCGTATCTCCTTCCATCTCACTCTTTACCTCTCCACTCATGAATTAGCCTCACATGCAACCCATCCACTTGTTCTCAACGATATCAACTCTTGAGTGTTTCTTGATCTCTGCCGCATCACTTCATCCCAAGTATGACTCTCCCCCCGCATGACTGAAAATATGCTATCGTAATCCCAAGCCATTTGGAAAGCGATAATCAGCTCATGCCCAGCTTTGAACGAAAGCAAAGTCGAAATCCGTGTTCAATTCAAAGACGCGACTAAAGGGATTTTCCAAGGTTTAACACGTAACGAACTCGTCATGCGTATCCAACCTGACGAAGCGGTTTATATCAAACTTAATTCCAAAGTACCAGGATTCGTAACTCAAGCAGTACCTACAGAGCTTGATCTAACTTACAAAGATCGATTCACCGATGCTAGGGTACCTCAAGCATATGAAGCTTTGATAAGGGATGCATTGAGGGGAGATCATTCTAATTTCGTTAGAGATGATGAATTAGATGTCGCATGGAAAATCTTCACTCCTATCCTTCATTGGATTGAAGGGAAGGATGGTGAGTCGACTATTTCTTTCCTTGTTTCCTTCTTTAAGTTCTTTTTTTCTCTTCGTTTTTTACAACTTTCCCTCATCCGGAAAGATCCATTCTCTTATGATCAACATTCATTCTCTCTTTATACCTCTCTCTCTCTATCTCTTTGGCCCATCCTTGCAGTCGTAACATTATTCACCTGGAGATGAATCGTGTGGACGGTATTGGTCATTACCTCGACACCATCTGCTTTGTTTTTGAAAAGATCAAACTTACATTCAGGTAAACCACCTAAATGTGAACCGTACCCATACGGTTCTCGCGGTCCATCTCAAATCGATCAATTCACCGGGAAATACGGTTATGTAAGAGCTTCCGCAGATTAGTACGTATCTTCTATTTCTCTCTCTTATCAATATCTTCAATACTGACTTTGATAGTCATTGGCCAAAGACCAGCGTCGCGGCGAATTTGTGAAATAGTCACAATTTTGAAAAAAGTGAAAAAGTGTGAATAGAACAGAAGCAGAAGCAGATTTGAAGGGGAACAAATTGTTTTGTGAAGTGTGCTAAGTTTTCATGCATTCTGATCTTTTGTCTCGTCATTCGCTCATTCTTATTGTGGTTCAAGCTCTACATTCTGGAGTATCCTTACTTGTTGCAAGAGGGTGAGAGGGCGTTTGTTTTTTCACAAAGAGTAATGAGGACGAAAGTCCGGTGGCAGTGCAAAGATGAAGAGGAAGAATATGCATGAGATGATGTACCGGTACATGTATCATATGAACGAGTGTCAAGAGTCTATGAACAGGCGTGAGATGCTGTGAATTGAGTCAAAGGAATTGTCATGGTCCAAACCAGTGGAAAAGGTCGTTAACGTGTCGTGAATGGGGTATAAACAGTGCTGGGGGTTTGTAAATGTTCATGTCTATATACAAAATCCGTGATTCTATCAAAGGTGTGGAGACCGAAACGCATGCAAGAGGCGAAGTGAGACTTTTCACGAAGAAAGAGACGAAAGCGGTTAACTGAACTAATCGAGCGAATCGTCCACTGGCGGATCTTTATCAGACTCTGGAGGTCTAACTCTGACTCTGCGTTTGTTGATAGCTCTACCGCATCTATTGAATCAGTCTCCAACTCTTCCACCTGATCCAAATGCTTTAAATGGGGATAGATCGACAAGACGATTTGAGGAGGTCTTATAAAATACTATGAGTAACTCACGTGCAACGTTCGTCATGCTCTTCGTCATCTTCACAATCATCATCATCATCATAATCATCTTCCTGACCATCATTCATAGGTTTACCTTCTGCCACGTTTTTCGCCTTCTGCTTGATGACATCTTTCTTTTTGATCTCCCTTCGTCGTTCCCTGATCGCCCACTTGCGAAGCTTTTCCGATCCGAAGAAAAGAGCGTAGTCGCAGAAACAACAGGTGTATTCGTCCTCTGCGGGACGAATCGGCACAATGGGAGGTGCTCCTGGTAAAGGCGCCGTCTTACGGCGTGGACGGGCGGATAGGAAACGCATTGGAGGGGGAAAGAGCATGTTGGCGTGAGAAGCGTAGGATTCGAAAGGTTCATTTTGTGGGGTAAATACGCGGTTTGATCGGTCTGAAAGGTGTTAGCAGATGATTACAGAGGGGGGAAACAGCCGAGACAAGACCAAAGAGCTCGGCAACAAAATGGATGAGAGAGACATTCAATGTGGAAGAACAAGCGATGGACGATAAGGGCAAACAGAGGGTACAAGGGGGGGGGGGGGTAATGGCGAGGAAGGGTACGATGGGATGAGCAAGCGAGATCTCAAAAAGCGACATACAATTATCCACATGATGGGGATTACTTTGATTCGCAAGAACACTGCGTTTCTTCTTTTTCGGTTTCTTCTTTCCCGTCTTTGGCTGAGACGAAGGTGTCGTGTTCGTTTCAGGACGTTCTTTCCCATTACTAGAAACAGACGGACTGGACTTGTTCGTCGATTCCGATGGAGTCTTGATATCTGTGTTGAGAACCTTCTCCGGGGTAGAAACAGGACGAGTATCTATCTCTTCCGTTTTCTTCTTTGTGATTCAGAGCTTTTTGCTCTAGTCTGCGTTTCGTCTTGATCGGTTCCCCATCATCTGACAAGAAATCTGACAGAGGTGGTGGAGGGGTTGTGGAAGACAGAACTATAGTTCTTAGATCAAGGATGAGCCTTTGTAATGCTAATTTGTCTCTCGTCATCGCCCTGGATAGAATCGAAGCTTTTCATCAGCTCTTCCCTTCTTCAATTACATTTCATGAGCAATCTGAACGGAAGGATGATTCGAATATGGACTAGTTGGACCAGTAGAAGAAGAAGCACAAGGTATCAATCATGAGACAATGTATTTCCTGAACATACCTAAACATTCTGACTCAAATTCAAAACTACCTTCCGGTGCCCAACCTTCCCTCTTGATAGGTTTCCTTCTCTCACATTCCCTTTTCCTTTTATACAGACCCGTCTTCCAACCATCTCTCTCTTTGATGACTCTCGAGCTCGTCTCCAAACCATACCTCCAACCATCTTCATCCAAAGGCCATTCACCTACACCTACACATTCCAACACGGGTAGGAGTTTTTCAAACATCGGTACATCCGGAAAAGTCGGTTTGGTCTCTAGGTTTGACGTCCCGGTGAGGATGATAGTCTGAGCGTCTAGATACAAAGTGATCAAAGCGGCTTTACGTCTAAGAAGTCTGTTTCGACTCAATAAGTTGACTCGATGGATACGAGAATGATTCAGGGTCTGAGCGGGTGGATAGATGGTTATTGTTTCATTACCGACTTTCAATTGGCTAGTACGGATTTTTGGGGTGGTGAGTAGATCAGGTTGGAGTGAAGGTACTTTGCGTTTTTTACCACCACCCTCATCGTCTCGAGAGTAAAAAGAGGCCACGTCATCGTCTCTATGATGGTCGATGGGGTCGTCGAGACTGTCTGGGGGTGATGGAAGAGGGTTGATGGGGATGGATTTGGGATTACATGTCAACACCCCGTCAGACGTGGACAGCAAAGAGAAGCTGCCCATGCTCGACGGGGATGGTATGTATATGCGAGTCAATGGGAGTCTGATATGGTCAGCGACCAGCTATCATGAGACCAAGAAGCATATCAAGTGAAACCTGACGAGATTGAAGGTGGTGTGATCGGATGACCTCAGCCGGGAATGGACGAGCGGGATTTGGGAACAGTTATGGGATCATGGGACAAGGAGGAAGAACTCTCTGTCAGGATGAATAATATTGTGTGGAGAGACTCACTTTGATGGCGATAGCAAGATGCAAGCGAGAGTATAACGTCAAGGGAGAAGAAGGAGAGAGACAATAGGGCGAGGATGAGAAACGAGAAACGAGGCTCGAGCTTGACCACAGCGCCCAGCGCCCAGCGGCGATTCCACCGTGGCGTAGAGTTTAGTGGCACTTGTCATGCTACATGCTACATGCTACTAGGTACGATATGCTACTTGTAATCACACACTACAAGTACTACTGTACCATGATGGTGCCGAAGAGAGACTGACCTACACTAGGTCCCTGCCAGACGGATGCAGGCACTGAGATCACAGCTTGCTCTGCCGAATAGAATTTCTTCTACTCCAAGCTTCTTCACCACCCTCAATCTGTATCATCCCTCTCATATTCCCGATAATCTGTTCCGCCTCCCTCACCATCCGACTGACCAAAACGTCGCAAGTAGGAATATCATAAATGAGACCCATACTTATTCCCGCCCTGTGATCTTGAGCAAAATCCACACATGATCAAACTGGACTTACGACCAAACACCAGCTTCCACATCTCCAGTCTCATACACTTGTCTTCCCCTAGCTCCGGAAACAAGATCTCGGATTTCTTCAAACTTGGCGCCTCCTGGTCTTTGCTCAAGTCGGACTACTTCCATCGATACAGCATTCTTGTATACTCTAGCAGTATTTTTCAGAGTTCTATTCATGAGCGAAACGATATCGGTAATGGGATGTTCTCGACTTACCGGAATATATGGACGGTATCCTTTTCCGTGGAAGCCACTATGACATCCTTGACGTTTTGATGTATGGGAGCTTCTACGGTACACATGAACCGAGTTCCTTCTCATCAGCTGGCTGTTGATTTCTTACGCCTGGTAAACTCACCCATGTTGATTCCCTATTGGTGAGCATCTGTATCGTAACTTCATGGATTTGATGAGACTTACCGAAGCACCCAACGCCAAAGCAGCAGCTAGTCCTCGACCATCCGCAAACCCGCCAGAAGAGATATACGGTATCTTCAACTCCTTAGCCGCTCTAGCCAGCTATTTCAATCAGCTTCTCTCTCTTGTCAGTCCCCATACTCACCAAAACGATCCCGCCAATATCTTCTTCTCCGGGATGTCCAGCACCTGCTACTTAGCACGCTTGATCGCCAAGAACAACCTTGACTCACACTCAAAACCGTCTATACTCAAACAATCCACCCCCATCTTTTGACCTGAGAGAGCATGTCGGACAGTGACGCATTTATGTATGATATACCTTTTCCTCAAGCCAGAGTCTGAAGGGGATACGTAGGTTTGGAGGAGTTTGATCAATGGACCGGCTGACTGGTGAGCGAACAGTTTGCTTCGACTTTGTGTATGGGCTATTCACGATTATTTCCGGCTGTCTCGAAGATATCTATACCTTCTTCCATGGCCGCTCGAGCATATCCGGCACTAAACTCAGCTAAGGGGGTATATGTGGGCTAAGGGGGCTCACTAATCTGGAGGGTTTATGGTGGGTAAGAGGGTGATATTGACTCCCTAGTGACGGTCAGCTCAGCCTAATTGAGATATGCTGACAGGAGAATTATCTAGACTCGTGTTGATGTACAATATGGACCCGTTCAAAGGTCGATAGGGAGGGAAACTCACAAAACGTCCGGGACGATCCCCTAGTCTTTTCCTCGTTTCCCGTATCGCCTCCCTCAACGCCTCAGGGCTAGGCTGAGTGAGAGCGGTGAGGATTCCCAGAGCCCCCGAGGCAGCAACAGCAGCAGCTAAAGGTGGTGTACCAACCCATTGCATTCCTTTTCATGAGCCCACTTGTCTCATCTCAAAGTCATCGACTCACCGCCCTGGACGATAGGATGCTGGTATTTCAGTGTACATCCAAGGTCTCAAAGAGCGACTCACTCTGATCCCCAGTGCTCGAGTGAGCTCGGTACTTATTGTCATACTTGACAAGCAGTACGAGTAGTGGTAGGAGAAAGGCAGGAAACCACAAGAAACACATCGACAAGAGTTGGGGGAAGGAGTGGCAACCGGCCATCTGAATAACCGGTGGTTACCGCGGGTCAAACTACTTGTACGGTACTCTGCGTACTGCGTACTCGTACGAGTAGTTAGCAGTCGAGGTGACTGTGTGATAGATAGCAACTCATTTGAGTCTACCCAAGGTGCAGAGCGTGCAAAGCTATAGATGCGTAGTAGCGAGGGATGAGGAGCAGTCAGTAGCTAGTTGCATGATTTAATTCTACTGGCAACAGCTACGGTGGTGGTTCTCCCTCTACCCACTCGGCCAACCACCTGGCATACTCCTTTACCCTCCGTATCCCTGCGTCACTTCTTCCAAGCTCTAGGTTCGGTCTCAACGAAGCATCTTCCAATTGAACATCCCCTTCTGCTCTTGCTCTATTCCTACCGTACACATAATCCGACCTTGCCGATTTATACCTAGGCAGAGTTCGATATAATATCGTGATTTGAGGAGTGCGACCAGTAGTAGGTGACAAGACCAATTGAGCTTGTTCCTTAGCAGAAGTAGGTTTGAATTCTACATCTGATCTCATCAGTATAGATCTCTCATCCTAGATCGAGACTCACTCTCCAAATATACTACATCCCCTCTTCTTACTCTCTCATCACCCCACTCCCTTGCTAACCCCTCCCACAACTTAACAGAGCAGCTGGCCACTTCTCCTTCATTATGACTAGGAGGAGAAGTGACGTTCCAACTTCCTACCCACAATGTCGGATTTTTGCCTTTCGCCTTCTCTTCTTTTCGACTCCGTAAGACGGGTGTGTCGACAGACATGACACATACCATCAAATTGACATATCGCTTCTCCGCTGAACGACTTCGTTGTTGCGGTATATTGCCTGACAATAGTGCGGTTAAGGTGGTGAGTTTATGTAAGGGTATCGTCCAATTGGGTAAGTTGGAGATGCTAGCGTTCCCAGGGGCCGTGGGAGGGAAAGAGGTGTTGGTGGAGAGAAGTGATTGACCGGTGGGTTCAAGCATGGGGAGTGTACCCAAAGTGAAGTCTAATATAAGTATGGACATGAGTAGAATGTGGAGATCTTACGGGATTTACGACCAAGACGAGCGGATCGACGACGACTAGATTCTGATGGTATACTTGATGTACTTCCAACGCCGGAGGCATCTTGACTGTCATCTGTCCTACGCCGCTTCTGGGATCTGGATCGATGCTCTAAGCTTGTGATCTCGGATATTGACTTGTCTGATGTGTGCCGAACGATGAGATCCTGGAGTGACTGAGACTGTTCAGAACGGAGAAGGGGCAGTGTTTGGGAGGAGACATGTTGGGAAAAGACATCGCGCGGTGGTGGAAGGAGAGCTTGAAACTTGAGTGGATGGTATGGAGAGGTGCTGGTTGGGAGAGGAAAGGGTACGAGATGCAAGGGAGGTAGGAATACATGATATTGAGTAGTCATGGTCAAAGTAAGTAAGTTAGTGTGATAGTAGTGGTGTTGTAGGCCATAGTCGATGGGTGCGAGGCGGCCATCGCCGCTTCACAAACTTTACCATATCTTCCACCTCAACTTTGAGTCTCTGAACGTGCACCCTTATATCGACATCCATCCTCAGCTTAAAATATCTCCACTTTCCTAAGTTGGGAGTCCACTCAAGTGGTGTCCAATCTCACTCAGTAGCTTGATCAAACTCATAGAGGTGGCCTTCTTGGATGAGACCCAGATCTTCCCCTTTCCCCCAAACAACCCCGCGTCTCTGAGTTTCTCTTCGCTATCCACATTTCATACCCCCTCCCCCCTCCTCCCCACTCACACAATTCAGCCGACTAGAACCACCCTCCTTCTCACTCACCATGTCCCCAACATCTCCTCGACAGATCCAGATCGACCCAAACCTCCCCTCCGGTCACCCACGTGCTACACCCAAGTCTCCCAACGCCTTGTCGCCGTCTCGCGCCATAGGTCCTGACCGTCATCGGGGTATGAGTATGGATGGTCAGCGGGCGTTGGAAAGACAGATACAACAGGCTCAACAGGACTTGGATTCTGCCATAAGCATGTGTGAGTGCATACTCTGATTATCACCTTTTACCCATCTCGTGCGTATTTCAGAAGGAATCGTATCGCACTGCCTTATACCGGTCCGATTCCTTTTCTCTTCCCTCTCATTGAGAATAATTTGCATCTTTTCTCCATCAGGTCTTACTGATATCCAGCCCGAGCCAGGTCAGGCTCTATGGGAATGCAAGAAGCGGGTCCCCCCGTCAGACCTTCCGCTCAACATTACCCCTCTTCGTCCCCCATCGGTGAAGATTTTCCTATCCTCTCCGACGCCGAAGAAGCCGATCTCGACCGTGCACGTTCTGGTTTCAGAGGTGATGGTGAGGATGAGCTAGATGAGGGGCATCGAGACCACCGCATAGAGGACGAAGAGGAGAGAGGAGAAGGAATGATGGACGCCGAACCTCGTAGCATGGGTAGTAGCGGGTACGATTCCCACGCTCATCTCCTCCCTGATCATGATTACGATCGATATCAACATGAAGACCAACACCGATATGGACGGGCACCACCTGGAGTAGTACCCATGCCTGTGAAAATTGATTTTGCTCTCATGGATCAGTACGCTAAAGACACAGCGGCACAAGTGGAAAGTCACGATGCGACGTTTGGTTTCGCTCTTCCATCAAGTCAAACTTTTGGCGATCAACCTGGGTTCGGGACTCCAATGGAGAGGACAGCTACCACTTCTGCTTTTGGCGATGATCATGATCCAGCCTTTTCGTTGAATGGCGGAGAACCGGTTCAACAACCATTCCAAAGGAGGAGACACAGAAAATTATCTCAGAGTAACCCGGTGTTACGCAGGGGCGCCAAGTTGGCAATGTTCGAAGGGTTTGGGAATGGGAATGGTGATTTAGGCAACGACTCCACTCCTTTCAAAAATTCTCGACAGGGTAAAATGAGACGAGTGGAGTCAAATTTAAGAGGAGCGGATGGTTTTGTTCCTTACACCGATAATCAAAGAGGACACGATAGTCCATATCGATTTTCCTTTTATTCAAGTGCTATGAACGTCACTATACACGCTCGCACCATGGCGGACCTTCCGGACGAAGGGCAGAATTTTGAGGATTTATTCAAAGGACGTGGTGGTGAAACGGCCAATCGGAGCGGTCATGGCACAGATGGTGCCAGTGTGAGAACGTCGGCTCGACCTGGTACAGACACCCCTACCGACCCCTCTCTAGTGACAAGCGCGAAGCAGGGTATTCCCACTCGACCGACCATTCCCGCCAACATAGCCGATCGAGTGAAAGCAGGTGGACCACCGCCACCACCGGCTGAAGGACATGAATATGATCCTGAGAATCATACCTGGTGGTTGGATGTGCTTTCTCCCACGGACGACGAGATGCGCATGTTGTCGAAAGTGAGTAGCTGACGCTTTCGCGGAGGCGAAACGTGGTTAGCTGACATGATAGGCTTTTGGCATTCATCCCCTTACCACAGAGGATATCTTGTTGGAAGAAACTCGCGAGAAAATCGAGTTGTTCAGAACTTATTATCTCGTCTGTTTCCGTTCTTTCGATCAAGATCCATATTCTCAAACATACCTCGAGCCTCTCAACATGTATATCATTGTTTTCAGGGAGGGAACATTGTCGGTGAGTGTGTCTCCTTAGTCTCTCTCGGCAATTTGTCCACATGGTTCTTGGAAGTGAAGGGAGGGTCGAGAAGAGATAATTAATGACCCAGTTCCACTTCAGAGGTACACCCCATCCACAGAACGTACGTCGGCGAATCAAACAATTGGACGATTTCGTCCTTGCTACTTCGGATTGGATTTCCTACGCTCTCATCGACGACATCACCGATGCGTTCGGACCTCTTATCCAAAGTATCGAATATGAAGTAGATAGTATTGATGAGTTGGTGTTGATTCTGAAAGATGCAGAGCAGAGTGATATGTTGCGGCGGTCAGTCTCTCTTGATATCCACACTTTCCACTCTTCCATCATGCGTTGAGTTGCATCCTCCGCGCCCTCAATGATCTAGTTTTGCACTCGGTGCACTGGTAGTTGGGAGTGCTGTTTCATATTGAAGATGTTGCGTAACTCCAAGCTGACACCTAGCATTGGTACTTGTCGAAAGAAAGTCATGGGTCTTCTTCGATTGATGGGCAATAAAGCGGATGTGGTCAAGGGGCTGGCCAAAAGATGTACGTTGCTCATCAACTAACTTGAATCTCGGTTGATGACTAGGCACCGAACAATGGGTCATTGCTCCAAAGTCGGACATTGGATTGTATCTCTCAGATATCCAGGATCACTTGATCACCATGACTCAAAACTTGAATCACTACGAGAAGATTTTATCTCGATCACATTCGAATTATCTGGCGCAGATATCTATCGAGATGACAGATGCGAATAATCAGATTAACGATGTTTTGAGTAAACTCACTGCGTTGGGTACTGTCTTGATGTGAGCATAGTCGACATTCCTCTCTCTTCCCTGCAAACCCATACAACATTATTTCCCTCACTCGCTAGCATCTGATCGTTGGGTGACCTACTTGTCCAGTCTCTAACTTTCGACTGCATTCTGCATTAGCTAGACGATGCACAGTGCAGCCGGATACATACAATGGAAGTCGACTCGATTGCTGATGATAGTCCGATGAATTTGGTCACCGGTTTATGGGGTATGAACGTTCATGTTCCTGGGCAAGACATCGAATCAGGGGTTTGTTTCTCTTCGACCCGATGACGTCTGGCTGACGAAATAGTACGCATGGTTCGGAGGAATACTTGGTTGTCTATGTGCTTTTGCTATTTTGGGGGCGTTTGCGACTGTGAGTTTTTTTGTATCGATCACCACGAGGCGGTGACTGATGGAAAAGTACAAATGTTTTGTCCGATGATGATAGTTGCTCCGAGGTTCACAGGCCTCTCTGTTGTAAGGCTTTAAAGATATGCACCTTGAGACAGATCAGATGGTGTGATCATAGATTTAGGGGTGAAATGTCAGTATAAATCATTCGTATTGTATGTTGGTATCATAGGACTGCTTGCATCATATTCGGTCATTTGCTGCGGTGACGTAGTGTCTAACTCTAACTGATTCTCTCCCATCACTAACTTACTGTGTATATATACCGTACACATATGTTACAACGTTCTCCTGTCCTTTCTACTCTTCTTCGTTTGGTATATCAATTCAGACGTATACCTTTGTACTCTCTCAATCGAACGATGTCAATCAATCATGGTGACGGACCATCCCTTCCGCCTGATACGCGAACAGAGAAAGGTTAGTCACAATGACCTTCTTCCCACCGATCACTGGTCACTGGGCACATAAATACCCAATCCATTCCTCGTCTGTCCTGCGCTGGGATAAATGTCAGAGTGAAGAGAGATGTTCTAATGATCAGATCATCCATACACTGCAAAAGAAACTGATATATATCTGAAATCTAAATTATTACCTAAAGATGATTTATCATCAGGAGGATTATATGATCGTATTCATCGAAGAGGTGTAGAAGCGGGTATGCCAGATATCTCTGTGACTCCTCTTCAAGGACAATATCTTGGTGTTCTGGCAAGAGCTATAGGAGCCAAGAGGATTTTGGAAATTGGGACTTTAGCTGGGTGAGTCACTAGTACTTACTACTCTTCATCCGTTTAATTAGGTTTACTTAGTGCAAATTCAATCCCCTTCCTTTCCCTTGGTGTTTACTGTCATTTCAGTAAAATTGCAATTATCATTTTCAAACCCTCCACATTAGTGAAATCATGAAAATCATCCAAGGGAAATGATGACTTGTTCTTTAAAGAATCCATTCTAACAAGATGGAAATTCATTGATTCTGAAACCAGCTTCTCTACAATCTTTCTAGCTCGTGCTCTTCCAACACAAGGTGTTATAGATACTCTAGAACTTTCTCCACTTCACGCGAAAATAGCTCAAGAGAATTTCTTAGACGCCGATTTATACCCTTTTCCTCGTATTCATCTTGGACCGGCATTAGAAACTTTGAGAAATCCCAATGGTCCGTTCGCTAGATTACCGGATGAAGAAGGATACGATTTGATTTTCATCGATGCGGATAAAGAACAAATTTTCGATTATTTCTTAGAAAGTTTAAGATTGACAAGAAAAGGTGGTGTGGTGATTGTTGATAATGCCATCAGAGGTGGGAGGTGAGTTGTGTATTTCTCATTTTTTTCTCTTTGTCTTCACTAGTCTTATTGTCTTCCTGTCGTCTTCCTCTTTTTGGACGGGCTGAGCGCTACGCAGATTGTCATTTTATTAGGACACCTTCATTGTGACGGGGTACTGAAGGCGTTGAGCGTCGCCCCAGGGACGTGGGCCAGGTACAGCATGGATGAGAGGACAAGTATCGGGCATTGGGAATGAAGCAAGAGTGACGGAATGGTGGAAAACACGGGATCCTTCATCCAGTTCGGAGTTTCTGCTATAGCGATCAAAGGGATACCAAGGGCGAGTAGAGGTTGGACCGGAGAACCTTAGCTCACGATAGAATCTCGAGGAGTGAAAATGACAACCCTCGAATCGACGTCTCTGGTTTAAGGGCATTGTACGATTGGGTGGAGAAGGATGCGGGTAGAACAGTGTTGATGAGTGGTATCCAAACTGTCAGTGAAAAGTTTTGGGAGTGAGTATTTTTGGTTTGACCATGTTAATGCCAGAGGCAAGTGCTGATGAATCAGTGGATTCGCTATTGCATACAAGATTTGACGTACGGTTGAATCAACTTGTGTCAGCTTAAATACGTGATACGTAAGAACGTGAGAGGTAAATATATGACATGAGAGGATGCATCATTGTCATACACCAAGTTGATCACATATCTATCTTTTCACACATGCCCTCACCCGAACCCGAACCCCATGATAGTCTTGAGAAGATGCCACTCAATTCTTCTTGTTCTTGTTTTTACCCTTTTTCCCACCTCCCCCTTGTCCCCCTTGAGAAGCACTAGTACCACTTCCACCCCCACTGGGATTAGATCCACCCCCGATGCCTTGTCCAGTTCCCTCTTCCGTCCCACCTTCACCTCCACCTTCCTCACCTTTCTCATCTTCATCACCACCTCCATCCCCATCCTCACCATCACCATCTCCTTCACCCTTCCCACTCGCTCCACCACCCTTGCCCTTCTTCCCCTTCCCTCCACCTTTCCCATCATCACCCGTTTTCGATAGCACACCTTTATCCATTGGTGCTCCGAACGTCTCTCCTTGAGCATTAGGTAATTTCTCTCCATCATATCCATACCCTGTCCAACCTTCCACACCCCATCTTCCACTCTGCCAACTACCTTGTGTCTTGGGTATGTTCTTTCCATAATCGGCCCAACTTGGTAAATCAGGATAATGCACAGTCACGGCATGTCCCAAAGTTTTAGAATGCCATGTGGCTTGTTTTTCAGCTGCCGACATCATATAAGGAGTCGCCGTCCCTGTGTATTTAGAAATGGGAGGAAAGATCGGCGTGTATTCTGGGAAATATGACTCGTGATGATGCCAATCCGCACCTTTGGTATAATTTTGTTGTAAGAGAGGATGTACGTGAGGCATCCCTTTGATAGTTGTTGCGTCATCTTTAGGGTTTGTCACTTTGACCGGGGTGGTTTCGGGAGTTGGATAAGCGTCGACATGAGGATCAGGATGGAAATGAACTTTTCCTTTTTTCAACTTGTTACCTGTGTTCCAATGAAGGTGATGTTGTTGTTGTTGTTGGTGGTGGTGATGATGATGGTATTCGTCATGTGGAAATTGGTCAGGTGGAGGTGGAACAGGGTTCACGGGTTGAGCGTTAGGAGTGATCTGAGTGGAAACGGCAGCCGTGGTAGTTTTAGAGAAAGGAGATGATGGAGTGAAGATAGGTTCGTATTCCGGGAAATAGGAAGTATGATGAACGAAAGTATCCATATCTTCTGGTGTGGTAGGTTGTTCCACTGTCGTCTCCGTTTCTACTGGAAAAGATTCTTTTCGTCGGAGGTTGAACCAAGATCGTTTCTTGGTAGGTTTATTTGATGTCGTCGGTGTTATAGGAGTATAAGGAGGGGAAGGTATATCGTAATCTTGTCTGTCCTCTCGTTCTTGGTCCTCTACGTCTTGGTGATATGGGTATTGCTCGATAGTGGTGATACCTTCTCCAAAGAGATCAATAGCTGGAGTCGTTGGGGTGGAAGGTCGAAACAAAGAGAATGATCGTCTAGGACGAGGTCGAGATATCTCGTTAACCTCTACACTCTCGTCAACTTGTGTTTGATCCTGATCGCCTTTCCGGAAAAATGATATCGAACGTTTTTTCTTCACTTCAAAGTCTGAAGGTTGAGGTGGGAATGTATCTGTTGAATCGGGATAGGGAGGTTGATCAGGATCGTAAGGAGCTTCACCGTCCCAAGTTATATTGAAAAGATCTTTGATCGAACGTCTTTTTCGCAAAGTGGAGTTGGGGTATGACATTTTATATCTTTCACGGTGAAGGAGAGTTTTCTGAGAAGGGTAAGGTTTGATAAAGAGATTCCCATGATCGTCTATAAGATGATACCATGAGGACAATAGAGTCTTGACAAGGGGGAGGTGGGAGTAGATGTAAGACGGTATTGTGTGTGTTGTTGTGATGTCTCTTTTGTCCATGCTGCATGCTGCGGCACCCTGTGATCATCACTCAAAAACTGATCGTCACATCGACGTACCATCATATCACCCGTCGCGTTTTTATGGTCATGAATATCTAGCGATGAGGGTGAAAGGAGGATGGGTAGGATGAATGGGATCCACATGAAAACCCAACTTTATCACACTTCCTCTAGAAAACCCTGCACGATCAACCTCTCCACCCCACTTCTAGCCAATCTAAACCTCTCTCCTTTCCTAAAATCAATCCTTTCGCCTCCTTCCAAAACCACCTCCCCCGCATCTCTCACCACTCTAACATCCACCATGATCTCTCCCGGTGGTCTCTCTATACCCACTGTCAAATCTAACACATCCAGAAAATCCATTTTGTAATCCAGCATCAGATTATTATATCCTCTTAAGAAATCCAACTCCTGAGGACTAAGTGCACTCCTCAAATCTGGCGCATCACTATCTGAATTCAGATACGTCAATCCTCCACCTGCGTCCCACCAACGTTCTTTGATTCCAGTGACTCGATTATGAAGGTAAGCGAGGAGACATCGTTTGTTCCTACGTGCCGCGAGATGTTGCACTGTCAAACCGCAGACCAAGGCGTGATCTTGAGAAAGTGACACTTGACCGTGAGATTCAGCAGCGGAGGTTATGGAAGTACCTAGTTGACGTGTTTCTAGACATATGGAGAGGATGAGTGGTAGAGCGTATTTGGGTAGAGGGAGTTGTGGGGTGGTAGAGAGGGTAGAACGGTGAGAAGCGGTGACTAGTTGAAGGGCGAGGTCTCCGTACATGTCGAGTGGGGATTATTGCTCGGTCAAGATTGAGTGGTGGAGGTTAAATGTGGCACAGTGAGAAAAGGGTCGATGATGACGGAAACGCAGGTGATCGCGTCAGAGGGGGTGTGTTGAATGGTGACTCGCCACATTGCGGTATTATCAGGAGTTATAAGTGTGGGGAAGAGGCAACTTGGTGCCACACTCGACGGGATTATTTGACACAATCTTGGTTTAGCATCTTCTTACATTCAAACAATCAACAATTTGATCATGTCATTATCGACAAAAAGCTCTAAATCGCCTCCTCCATTACCTGACGATCACGAATCACCTCCCGGACCGATGGGCTCGGCTAGTGGGGTGAACGACGAGGACGAGAGGATCGGTGAGATCGGAGATGATACAGACCAGTCGAAAGGTTCCGACTTGAACCCATCAGCAGAGGAGCCCAGGTCAGCTCGGGACAAGGGAAAGGGCAAGGTTCAGAATAGTTTGGGTGGTAGGATTGATGAGAAAGAGAATAAAAATACCAATGATGGGACAGAAGAGGAGGCAGAGGATGATGAAGATGACGATGACGACGACGAGGATGGTGAAAGTGATGAGCAAGAAGAGAGAGGCCACGAAGAAGAAGAAGACGGGGATGAAGAGCAGAAAGGTGACGACGAGGAGCAACCCTGGCAAGCTGTATGGTCTGCAGAACACAATGGTGTGTCATCTTGTCTTCTTTGTCATATCATCATTGACTTGCTCACTCTTCTCTCTCTCTCTCTCTCTCTCTCTCTCTCTCTACCATCCACTAAATGTTTCCATCACCGCTAATCGCCATCATGAATTCATCACCCTTCACAATTGCCCATCTGGTCCCTGGTCCCTTTGACAAGAAAGGAATGAAACTAGGAAACAAAATTCGATGGGGTAGGAAGAGAAAATAGATCCTCCCTTTTGAAAAACGCATAGGCCATTGTAACTCATCACTAGCTTGGTATTTCTGGAACTCTCAAAATGGTCAAGTAACATGGACGAACCCTTTATCACCTCCTACTTCAAATCCACCACTCCCAAACGAACCTCCTCCTCTACCCAACGAACCTCTCCCTTCAAACCCTCCCCTTCCACATCCTTCTCTTGCCTATCCATCTCAGGCGGAAACTTCAACAGAAAATAACCCTGCAGGACAATCAGGTATAGATCCAGCTCTAGCATACCTTCTCCCACCAGAACAAAGAGGAGCGGGATTATCACAAAATGACGCTGCGGCTCAAAAAGGTTTATTCAACGCTAGAACGGGTAGATTCACAAAAGCGGATTATCAATATAATGTCGATCATTTAGATGAATATAATAGAGCGAAGAGAATGAGTAGTCATTATTTTGATGTGGAAGCTTGGGAAAGACAAAAATCTGAAGAACATGAAAAGAGGAAAAGAGACGAGGACATGGGAACGAGTAGTAAAAGGAAGATTACCAAGAAGGATATGGTGAGTTCATGTTATTTTTTGAACCTTGTTAGCGGATGGGGGAGCATCATATTACAAATGTTTCTTTCCTTCGAGTTATCTCATATTGAGTCATCATGTCGATAAATGCGGGAAGATGAAGAGACGGCTCAGGAGAATTCTGTCCAAATGCTGATGGTCAGGATCGGTTCAGGAAGAAGAAAGCGGAACAACGGGCTAGATCGCAAGCATGGTTACGGGATTGATTCTATAGTTGACGTTGACTTTCGTTCCTGTACACATGACATGTTTTCCTCACATACTACACTTCCTTCACTGCTATTCATTCTTTCTGCACCTGCTCAACGCTCTGTCTATAAAGTACATATTCGCAAGTCATTTGTTAACCTATGCATGATACAATCTCATCACACGATTATAACCTCTCGTAGTTTCCCGCCTGCAGGATTCTACGATTCTCTATTGAATCACATCCTAATTCTTACTTCCGTCTCTTTCATTGTCCATTCATAGATCTGAACACGATTGTCCTTCTATAATTATTCATTCTCCTCGTTCTTATCACTTCATCTTGATTCATCGACGTACGTTATAAGGCCTTTCAGGCAGAACCGACGAAATAATTGAAATTGTAATCTGTAGGTTTTCTACTCATCAATGATTTCCCTCACTTATCGATGATGATATACTCACGCTACATAGGTAAAAGTTCCAGAAGAATCATAACTTTTAACCGTCGTACTTCCCCTAACTATATTCGCTCCAATAGTCCCTGCGGCACTTCCGATACTTAACTTACTGATACCCGAAGGTAAACTGAAAGAAGCTTTATTCGCTCCAGAATTGATATTCACCGTCGCTGCAGATGAAAGAGTTACCAAGACGTATAAATTATCGTCCGTGTTGTCCGCTCCTGATGGTCTGGGATTACTAGGAGATGTAGGTGTGGCTGCTTTAGGATGAGGTCGGGACCATAAATAAAGAGAATCGGAAGAAGAAGGGTATGAACCAGTTTTAAAAGCTTGAGAATAAAGTTTGATTATTGGTAACCATGCCGTGTGAGGCATATTGTTGGTCCATCCTTGAGACATTGGTTGGTCGGCTCTGATAGGACCGACATAATGACTTTCTCCGTAGTCTGATTCGTTAGCTTATTATTTTTTCCATACCTGAGTTCCATGACACGATGAATGAGGTTGACATGATGTGGTATATTGGCTTCCTGACTGGTTTATTCAATGTGCAGCGAAAGAAGGGACGAGCGGGGTTCAAAAGTAACGGGGAAGACAAAGAGGAGAAGCAATAACTCACCATTCCATGAAATTAATTCGACCATATCAAACTTATTTCTCAATCCGATCAACTGCTCCATCCTCGTAGCCAATAACCAATCATCACTCCTATATATCCAATCCTTATTGTAACTGTTGGGTCCGTAGTATGTGAAGAAACAAGGTGATACAGCGGGCATATATGTCTTGTTGCCTAAATCATTTATGTACAGAGTATCGCTCGAAGTGTCTAGGTTCGCAGATCCCATTGGCCAACCTGAATTCCAATTGAATTCTCCGTCCAGCCAAGTGAGAGTTTTGAATTGCGCAGGATCACTAAAAATGGCAGGGATGAGCTCGATGGTGGTGTTGGAATTCGTCAAGAGACTTCGAACGTAGTTCCATCCTGCCGTAACGGATCCTTGACCGAACGAACATCCGTCTCCGGCGAAAGTGGAGACGAGAATCTTGCCATTATGCGTTGCTTGAGCAGAAGAAGATTTATATGTCGTCACTAAGTTGGCTAAATTGGTTGCGTCGTTTGCTGAGCTACAGGAGAAGGATGTGACGTCGAAGGAGCTGCAGAGTTAACTAAAGTACGATCAGAAAATGAACCATCTCCCAACACCATCCGCGGGGAAATCGGGGTGAGTGTGATGGGACGGGAGAGTGGAGAACAACTTACAAAAACAACTTGAAAGATCCGTGTGCTTGAGCCGCCGCGTACGCATCGGCAATTCTAGCAGGTTGCCAAGAATCACTCCCCATATTTAAAGCGAACCCATCTATCCCTGCACTGGCAGCCATACTGATATCGTCCGCCCATGTGGATTGAGTGTATGAATAAGTCTATTCCCATCAGCCACGTTACATCTACCCACCACGGAAAATTTACTCACATTACCGACAATGTGATGAGCCCATAAATACTTCGTACCCGTCGCCGAGACGGGTTTCGCCACTCCAACCACTGAAGTAGGTCCTGTCGTACTTGTACTAGTGGTACTCGAGGCTGATGTCGAAGAAGCTTTGCTCGTGCTCGAAGCCGACAAGATGGTACTGGAAGCTTTTGTTGACGTAGTGCTGGCCTTTGTTGAGGTGGAGGTCGACGCTTTGGTGGTGGTGATACTGGTCGATTTACTAGTCGATGTGGAAGAGATAAAGGAAGATGCACCAGGTTGTACGCCAGTAGCTGTAGCTTTGACATTACACCCACTTGTCAACCCTTGTCCACAAGCAGGTATTGAGTAGATATTTATGGCGTAAGATCCACCACAGGTTTGGGAACTGTCGCCGTTACAAGCGTGATTACATCCTGTAGATGATCTCGCCGTTGATAAAATTGAATTTCCGCAGAAGCACTGGGATCAGATCTACTCTTTCTTCTTCGCCTGCGGTCTGGAATCGAGACAACTGCCTCATCTGACATTTCTTCCACTGGTATCGCAGATCAAGAACTGTAAGAAAGGAAAGAGGAAACTCACCTGAGCGCCATATTCTGTTCCACCATATGAATAACCTTGGGAACCGCAATACGATACACACACATTTGTCGTCATGTTATTCCACGATACGAAGGCGGGAGATAAAGTCCTTGTACTACTATCGGTATAACAACCCAAAGACTGATATGTTGGTTTTGAATATACTACAACAAATCAGCTGATCTGAAACAAAAGTGGCCAAATAGAGAGGACGGACCTGATAACCGCCATGATGCACCACATTTTTCGGTGCTATCCCCTCCACAGGCGACTTTACATTCCGATTCAGCCTTTGCATTACCCTTCCCCGATGTGACCGCATTGGCACAGTAACACTCCGTTCCGGCTGCTGTTAGTTGACTGTATGACCCAAAAGTACCAAAAGTCAAAGTGGTGACTCACCTTCCGTCCCGGCTAATGAATACCCCTTCGAATTACACGTACTGACACATGATTCGACAGTCATCTTACTATCCGTATAACTGTACCCTGCCAACGCTCTAGGAGTGGAATCTTCTCGACATCCGACGTAATTCCAAGCGGTGGTGAGTGCTCGTCTGGAAGGATTAAGATGTCTGGTATTTCCTCGCGGTCTCGGTTCAGGAGGAGGTCGTGCATGTATTATGGTTAAAAGTGAGAGAAGGGACAAGGAAAGTGAAAATGTAGGAAACAGCATGGTTGAAACAGTTTGAACACCAATCGATACGGAATGGCGGTAAACGATATACTTTTCGATACAAAATCCAGTCGATGTCGAAGAGGGTTATAACGAGTAAAGACAGTGGGGCTAGATTTACTGAATGGTCAGTAAGCGGGCTATCCGCATGCTCTCGATCTCGCGAGGCCGAAACAGAATGATGTTAAGTGACAAACAGAGGGAGAGCGAGTCTCTGCTCCACCGTCTCTCTTCCTCCAAATCTCCACTTTGTTGTCATCTCTTCCTATCATCATCGTGTGTTAGTGATGTAGGGCAGCTTCAGGCACCTTGGATCGGGGAATCTGTGTTCTTTCTCTAAACCGGTGCGGCCGGCTCAGGCGCAGCCGGCTCAGACGCCATGGAATGTCAGTGGAGGCATCTTGATAGCCCTCGGACGAGCCACCTGAATTGACCGTCCGATGGCCTCATGTTCTTTTTCAGGGATTGATCTACACTATCTGGTCAAAGTAAGCGCGATCATCATGTCGGTATGACCCGTTCATAGGCATCAACCCAACAGTAAACAGTGCTGTCGTCAGTAATTATAATGCTTGTTGATACAGACTTCGGGCTGTTTTGCGGGGCCCAACCCAGGGAATAGAGATGAGTCCGGGAATGGAAATTTTACTCGCGGGTGGCTTAATGTCCGACTTGATTGCGAGGCGTCCAAAATGTCTCGGCCGACCCCGATGCCGGTATCATTGAAACCAGACAAACGGTAAGGTTTCATCTTTGGCTTTTATAATGACGTCGGCAACGCATGATCACCAAGATTTTATGCTACAACTCGGGTAACGCGGCGATCTGTATCAATTCTTGCCAAAACGTCCAAGCAAAAGAGATCATCGGTCTGTGTCAGGTCAGCGCATGTACATTATCTTGTGTCCACTCACCTCGGCCGCAATAACTCTCCATCCTCTTCATCTACCGGTTCCCCCCACTCACCTCCGCCTTTCTTCAAAGCCTCTTCCCACTCCATCACATATTCCCGTTCATAAGTTAATGCGTAGCAGTGCCTTGCGATGACTTGAATCGGCGTGAGACGAGTCGTGGAAATTTTGAGATTGGCTCTTTCGATGACATTGAGCGCTTTGCTTCTTGTCGACTCTACAAGCATCTGATAGGCGTCTCTCAATGGCTCCTGAGTGCATTTAGCTAACAATACATGGGACCGCATGCTGCACTCACATTCAGATTCTGGTCTCGAGCACGCTTCCGTCTCTTGTTTTTTAACGCAATCCCGCTGGGGATCTCAATCTCAGATACGCGATACCTAATGTTCAGCGGGGTCCAATGTCGAACAAGGAGCGACTGACTGTCTCATGTTGTACTGCATTGCATGTTCGTACTCAGCTTTGATCGGACGAAGTTCCATCATCAAGCTTTCGTAAGTAGGGTATCGGGTAATGCGGGGATCTGTCGGATACTTCGCATGTATGATATCGGTTGGACGGAAGTGAGGATCCGGTTGGACCTACCACACTCAGTGATCATTATTGATGGATCTGATCACTCACAATTCTGAACAGAATACCCAGTATCTTCTGGCTCTCATACGTCTTTTTGGTAGCATCTTTATCCATGAAATCGGGCCAAAGTTTTGGACGCATCGAGGGATCCAAAATAGCCGCTTGACCAGCTGGTACGTCAGTCTCAGTCCACTGAACGAAGACGGGGAATACTTTTAGGGAAGTCGACCGCAGTCTACGAGTCAGCTGCATGGTTATGTACAGATCGTAAAAGACGCACGCTGTGGATCTCAGAGAGTTCCAGACAATCGGGATGAAAGGGACCCTTGTCTTCCCAGTCGGAACGTGCTAAGTGACAGTTATCCACCTGGCCCAGTACGTCGTTCTGCGAATCATCAGTGACCATCACCTGTCGGTAGCAGAGACTGACGAGAATGTACTGAACAAAATTCTGTGGGTATCAGCCTGTGGGATACCATTGCCTGTCATACAAAGGGCACTTACCTCGTTGAGGTGCTGTTGAGTCACCTTTGGGACCCGTAGCGGAGGAGGAGCCGTATAATTCATCGCTTGGAAAACCTTGAGGGGCTGGACAAAGCGTTGATCCCAAATCAAAGTATAATCTTGTACACATTAGTGGCGGTTCCTACAAGCATGGCAAAGCCAGCTACTTACCGTCTCCGTCCAGATCCCCGCCACCCAGCCTGGCGATCAGCCCTGAATGGTTGCGAGGAAGGTACTTACATATTGGGTAGATCACGTTCGCCTTGGACACTGAAGACGAGGACGTTCTTCAAATGGCGAAGGTACGGATTATCGACAGCAAATGCTCGTCTGACGTCTCCAGGGTGGACTTGACATGTCAATTATGCTTCAGACGTCGTGATAGCTCCGGGATCGACTCACGGGCTGGAGCTCTGCACACAATCACCTCCGACTCAACGATCACGGGCGGCGTGTCATCGCTCTCTTGATACTGACAGAACACCTCGCCTTCTTTGAGAGTACCAGTCTCGTCCGCAATACCAATCAAGAACACCCCAGTAGGTAGACGAACTCGAGCACGCCATTTGAGATCCTGCAGAGCACGGGTTTCGACTATGGAGCAGATGTCTAAAATCATGGGATTCTCATGGAAGCCGGCCTTGATCAAAGCGAGCAAAGGGAACTAATAATCAGCCCAATTGTTGGAGCTTTCGGAGTAAAAGCAAAATAGCTCACTTCTGAACACGTAGATATCAGCTTGTGATCATCGCGACTCAAGGTCTTGGTCGCCACTCTTTCTCGAAGTCCTTTGATACTCGCCACGGCATCGTTAAAGATGTCAATCATGAGTTGCTCCGGAATGCCGTTGGCGCACATGATCATAATGAACTGTCTGTTCAAGAACGCCACCTGAAATTTGGCTATCTGCCGAGTCAGGACAGCAGTCACAAAGCTACAAACAATATACTCACTCTAACTACGTTCAGATCTTTGAGACCGGATTTGAATTTGACCATAGATTTACGCATCTTAACTTCGTGGTCCTTGACACGACCTGGCCAGAATGCGAGCATGCCTTTTGCCCCACTGCGATCTGTCAACGTCACAGTGGATGAAATGCGAATGTAGCTCACCCGAGACGGAACTGGATGGCAGACGGGGTGGAGTTGATGCCTTCACGAAAGCCCAGAGCCCGAGCGGCTTCACGCATCACTTCGAAGCCGGCCAGACCGACGCCGTCTGTGAAACAATGACCATTGCGCTCGACATCTGGTATCTGCAGTCCGATATCGACGTTGATCTCAACGATACGACTCGTGCTGAACGGCTATCTGATTAGCTCATGTCGCCTCTCATCGACTCACCAGACCCATACGAGCAGCATGTTTTGCAATGATGGTCTCGTCAACTTGCCCCATCCAACGCTGCAGTTCCAGCATATCAATCTCTTTGTTGTCAATGAACCACATTGCGTGTTCCCTGCCATCAGCATGAGAGACCATGCATGATGACGGCTGGGTGCCACGACTTACTTTTGTTGGGACGAAGACGAGGCGACGGGCAAGTACCGGCGACCTCCTACCACTAAGCCCCAACGAAGCGCTCGTCTCACTCTTGCCATGACCCCAAGATCGGGTCTTTGGGAATCCACTTGCTTCGTGTAATCTTGAACCTGAGATGTTATCTTCTAGATCGCCTTACGGATAGCTCACGTACAAAGATACGGTCCTCCTCGTCGCTGAACTGGACCCGGATGATTGAGTCAATCTTACCGGCGTATCGCCGGGTGACGCTATTCGAAGGTTCCGGTGTGGGAGCACCGATCAAGAGCCGAGTCGGAGTGACTTGGACAGTACGTATGAGAACAAGATGAGACAGAGGGGTGGTCATCTCTTCGCTCAGGTATCTCGCGCGTGCTGTACTCAGCTCAGTCTGACCTTTGTCACCGACATACCTCTGACGAGTGACTCAACATTCCTAATCCTACCTTCCTTAAACAAACTCTCCACTAGACGATCTTGCAAGGCTGAGCTGGCGTGCAGTTGATTTAATGCCGAAGCCAGTCGGGAGACATCGACAGGTCGAAGGATCGCGTGAGCGATTAGACCCTCAACCAAAGTCCGTGTTGAAAAGCGGATGTGATCAAGTTTAGGAGCAGTATACTGGTCCGCATAGTCCCGGGCGTCTAATGTGTGCGTGATCGGTTTATTCTCACGCCGTGAAACAAGTTCCATATCCGGTTCGTCCTGAGCCAGAGCGCGAAGCTGGCTGATACATCGCGAGAGGTTATGGAATTTATCCACCGTCAGGTTCATGACCCAACGCCAGGTGTTCCAAAATATTGGCTAGTATCAGTTTGGATCTATGCTACATCTGCTTGGGCGACTCACGTAACCACAAGGACCCTCGGGTATCGGATGGATAGGCCCAGCCTCTGTCTCGGTCTAACGTCAGCACTCGAATATTGCACAGTAGGAATGAAGCACAATTCCTGACGTCGAAAAGTCCATGGCTGTTGCTCTACGCTTCAGAGGTGTTTTTCTCCTACGTGAGAAGAGCCCCTTCGTCATCTTCAAAGTCGACATAGAACTTGGGGGGTCGTCGTAGACTGACCGTCATGGTGACGATATACCTCGGTCTGCCATCGGGAAAGATTCCGGTATATGACTGCAAACTGATTCCCTGTGAAGTGATATCTTCAAAAGAGATTTCCGCGTTGACAGGGCGTAGAGCGGGAGGTAGGTTTCTCTCTGCCTGTAATTCTGAGGGGAATATGAGACCTGCTTTGACATGTACGGTCTCTCGTTGGAAATCAAATCCAACATAAGATTTGCCGTAACCTAGCGGATTACCATCTGGGTCCAGACGGCTCATATCAGTTCCATGAGCACATTTCGCTCCCAGTACCTACACATCAGCTTGAGGTGAGTCAACGAGAATCAAATGTCACGAGCCTGATTGAATTTATTGCCTATTTGTGTTCCAAAAGCGATGGCTGATGGCCAGAACTGAAAACGAACCAGGGGATCTGAGGCCTTGTCATCGTAAGCTGCCCGACCGTAATCGTTCATCTCTAGGTTGTGAATGAGACGATCGACCGAGTCGTCGTGATGTACGCTTTTGTACGATTTGAGGAGATGGTGATTAGGGGGAAAGACGACTTGATGAGTGAAACTCATGTTGGGTCAGGTTCGAGTGTCGGAGATCTGTTGCAGGGTTTAGCTTTGGTACGGAGATAAATTTCAAGTCAGTGATGGGACCTGAATGAAAACAGAAATGTTGGGCCCGCCGCTTGCGCAAATAAGACACGGAGGATCAAGGTGCATGAGTCAAGAAGATTTGGAGAAGGAAAGTAGAAAAGAAAGGACAAGGTGAGTGAAGAAGGCGTCAGCTCAAGATGACCAACCTGGTAAGAGAGTAAGGCCCAAGCGGGAGCCGAACGTTAGCTACCCCAAGATGTCAAAGGACGACGAGATGTATGAGAGAAACACAAGACATGAAAGAGAGTGTGATGACCTGCCAGAGGTACTAATGACAGGCTACCAAGATATGCGGTATACTACAAGAAATGCGTGGGGAAGAAGTGAGAGAGAAAGAGAGAAGAGGGGGGAGAAGGAAGAGAACCGTGCTCATTGTCTTTGTAGACTCTGTATTGCAATGGTCACACCGGTCATATTATCGGTCATCGCCGCTCGCCACTCTTCACTCTCCTCTCACTGTCCAACCCTCCCTATTGACCACTACTCTCTTGTCTGGCCCTCACTGTCAGTACGATCATGGTCAGTGGGCACTATACAAACTATATCACAGCTGATGCACAGCCACGAATTTCAAGAGAGAAAGCAAAGCGACATGCAGCCGCCGTTCCTCTGCCAAAGAGAAATTTTGCCGTCCCTGAAAGTCAGGTGAAAGAGGTCGTCCTCCCTGGCACTCTACCAGCACCTAATGTAAGCCTCTTCGCGTCTATTCGTTCACATCTCTCTATCCCTATCATACGCTAGCTGATAGGTAGAATGATAGTTCCGCTGAACGTCACCTGTCCCAAGCATCCACCAGTAAACGTCGCATCACATTCCTCCCTCCCCCCGCTTCTGCACCCCAACCCTACTCCAGATCTCATCGGAAAAGACAAAATCGTAAGGGCCGTCAATCACTTTTGGGTGGAACACTCAATCCTCTCGTTTCCGCCCTCTCTGAATCATTAGGCGAACCGACCCCGTCTCAACCTCCCAAACGCACATTGGCTGTGAGAGCGGAAGAACGTCAGAAGGCAGAAGCGAAGAAGAAAGAGAGTAGCAAGATTGGTCAAGGAAAGACAAAACCTCTCAGTGAAAAAGCGAGAAGAAAACAAATTGAGAGTGAAGGACTGCGAGCTAGAATTGTAGCGCAATTGCCTGGCTTCCGAGCACAACCATGGGCAGTCATCCGGCAATACGCAGGAGAGGTCATCGCGCAGAAGGAGAAGCCTTAGAAGGCGCAGTGCAATAGTCACAATTCGATGCAGCAGCCGGATGAAAGAACATGATCCGGCCGAGAAACATGTGAAATGGATATTGAAAGGGGAGGGGTGGAAACATGCCAATGACGATACAAGTACACAGAGAGACGATAATTGACAATTCGATATTGAATCCTTTGTGACATCTGACACGTCTCCGTCATGTTGTTGAAAGGAGCGGGACGGTCGCTAAAAATGTCCGATTCGACAAGACTACCATTGCTTCTCTTCCTGTAGCATCAACACTTCTTCATTTCCACTCCACTCACGTTCTTCCTGCGTCATCGCCTTCTTCACAACTTCGCTGACCCCATTCGTCGAGTATATATTGATCCTGCTCACACTTACAACAGACCCTTCGCCTGACAACTCTCTCTTTGTGGGGACAAAATGTTAGGAAGCCACAAGAGTCGGCACCATTCGATAGCTGAACCGATACCTTCCAGTCCGCAGCTCATGTGGTGAGTCTGACTTCCTCTTGTTGATTGAAGAGGTTGCTGAGTACCAGGTTGGGCGCCCACCCATTTCACATTGAACCTCGTGTCGCTCGACCATCACTCATACGTTCTCCACCTCTGTCGCCATCCAAATATCACGTAGGCTACTTCGGTGAAGAATCTCTGGGAAGATTCGATTCACCTACTGATATTCTGTACTGTCATGCGAGGTACTCTCATGGTTCCACTCCATCGATAGCCAACGCAAGTCCGGATGTGGGAGCGAATGTACGACGACGACATAGTTCAAAGCTTCCTCAAGAGTCCGTCAAGGTCCGTCGAGTGTCATTCAGCCAGGATGTTCAGCGTGAAGGTTGGCAACCGCATCGGGCGAAGGATCAGGTTGATGATACTATTCGTCTACAGTCGCCTAATGTGACAGATGTCGAAGACAAAGACAGATCCGACACCGAAGCTCGCCAACCATCATCACCGATCTCACCCATTTTGAAGACACCAATGACAGCCAACATTGCCCAACCCATATCTCAGCTCACAAAGAGTCGACCATTCCCGGGCCGAACTCAACATGTATCAATAAGGCGAGATCCGGTAATGCTCTGCGCTCATTCACCCATATCCGCCACTCCTGTACCCATCGAGAAGATCCTGGACAACTTATCCCTCGAACCAAGTCCTACAAGTCCATTCAAGATCCAAGATTTGATACCCGCTAGTCTGTCTGACCCGGTTTATCGCACGTATCATGGTCTTCCCTCGGGCAGTCCTCAATATCTCGAGTTTCGTACGCGCAAAGACAGAGATCGTATCCTACGAGCAAAAGCCAATTCGATGGCTTTCGACTCGCCTCCGGGAGATAGCGTTGGTAGAGGAGTACATCGTCGTGTCACTTTGCATTGAACGGGTTAGATTGTTCTGAGTAGTCTACATGTACGATTAATCTATAATGATAATGCATGCTATGCGGTGAAAAGGGTCATTGTGAATTTGGTACATTTGCCTGATGCGGATTTTGACATCGCCTCCTTCCTTTCCTTCTTTCCTCCTTCCGTCTTGTTCCTCTCCATAACCAAGCGTCATATCCTTCTAAAACCAAAGAATACCACGAGGCTTGACTCTGCAAGCTACAGCGGTGCATGATCCACCGTGTACACAGCATGGCTGCTAGACAGGAAGCTATCGGCCCCGCGGGCACCCACTAGCTATCACATTACTACTAACGGGATTAGGGCAAGGCAGTGTATGTCATCGTTCCTTCTCCTTCTCCTCCCTCTCATACCATCACCATGATACCACGCGGAATGATTGCCCTTGTCCACACGCACACACTACTTTTACTGACCATGCTCATAGCTCACATCTATCACACTCACACTATCCCTTCTCAGCATCGCTCCCTCATGTTACCGGCACCCCGAGGCCCCGAGGCTTGGTTACTTCGGTATCAGACGGTAGGCGGCGGTGCCGTACCCCTCAAGCCTCAAGTGAACAAATGTGACAAGAAATCATGTATAATATCCCGTTCCCTTCTCCCTTCAAAGACCATCACCATCACATTGACACATCGACCCTCAACGATCTCTCGATATACAAGTTTAACAGACCCGGATCAACACATCCTTGTCGTCCCGCTTTTCGTTTTCCCGACAACCACTTTCCGTCCCGTCACTTTTCTACTCGAAGGGGGAAAGACCTTTGTAGGTCGCAGATCAAGTGGTAGAAGGTATCCATACGAGCCTCGACGGCAGTGTGCCTTGCTTGCTATCTTTTCCTTTCCTACTAGGTTGAGTAAGGAAGATCTTGGAACCGGCGAACACGAGTGATATCATCGACTTTGGAATTCCCTTCTTCACCTCTCGTTGTTATTTTCTTTGAAAGGATCACATCGGTCAAGACGATTTACAAGATGGTCAGTAATCCCAAAAGTGTATACATGTTGTATAAGAAAGCTAATCAAATAGTCTGATAACATGTTACCTTGTTCTATCCCCTTGCCCGAATCCCCTATCCAGAGACCATCCTCAAATATTGATTTCTCCAACCAAGTCGCGCCATTCCCTCTACCACCTGCTCGACCAGCTAGCACTCCTCCAATCCTTCGTTCCCTGGGTCTCATCGATACACCAGAAACACTTCGAAGCCCCATCAGACAGGTGATTGAACTTCCAATGTCTATGTTTGACACACCTCTTTCTCGGCGATTTAGCCAGGGAGCCAACCTCGATACCATTTCCGAAATTTGTGAACCGACAGTTCTTTCGACACCCAGTGTGAGCCAGACTGAGATCGATGGACATGGAAGGAGAATGGTACAACTTGCTCATGGAGAAGAAGTAAATTGGGCACGTCCATTGATGGCAAATACGGAAGATGCGGAAGGTACGTATTTTTTTCTCGTCGTGTTGACTACCTCCTTTATCCATTAAACTGGTATCTGGGCGACTATCATCACGACGTCATAACATCCCCTTGACAACCTCACATCAGATGTTCTTCTCAAGAATGATCGTCGCTGATCTCAGTTCGTATCTTTGGTGCATCTCAGCAACGTATTCGTCGTGTGGCTGCCCGTGCCATCTTGACTCAACAACCGCTCACTCCACCTTCTTCCGATGACGGTCAAGTCTTAACTCCTTCCTCAGAAACCTACGCCTTATATAGACAACTACAACAACTTACTTTCGAATCTGCAGATTCGTCTGAAGCGAAAAATTTAGACATCACTCCATTCAACTTGAACACACCGTCATCCTCTCCCACACCCATTCCTCGTGTTCGGCCTGCCAGCTGGATGATCTCCACATTTCCTCAGCCAGACACGAGTGATCCCACATATCTTGGCCTCATGCGATCCGGAAGTCAATGGACAACTTATTCAGGGGCTACCATGTCTCGAGGTCCTAGTCACGTCAAGGAAAAGAAGATCAAACGAAAAGCCGTTCCTGCTCTTCCCGCCGATCTGTTCTCCCCTGAAATCGCCGTCGCTTCCACATCATCTCCACCTCCTTCAGCCTTCGCTCGCCACACTTCTCCACTACCTCAGTTCGCGCCCCACTCACCCTCAACCACACCGGAGCCTTTTGCCAGACCTCCATTCATCAGAGCGGCAACTTCCACTCGTCAACCAATCACTGATAAACACGACCTTTCCGACCAGTTATCAACAAAGATGGACATAGTGATCCCTACGCCTGCCTCAACTCCATCTATGCGTCTCACCAGCAAGAGCATGCTCACACTTCCATTAACGATGCACCAACTCGAAGTCGCTCCTCCTCTTCCCCTCACTCCTCGTTCACCCGTCTTACTGTCTCTTCCACCCTCGAAGACTTCTGCCCCACGTCAAAATGAAGACACCCGTACTCCACCTCGTAAAGGTTTAGGTTCTCTCTATGCCACTGCCAGGGGTGCAGTCAGCGCTTTCGATTTGACCATCTCGTCTCGTCGAACGTCTCAAAAACCTCCTAGCACCTTACCTCGAGTAGGTCCCAGTATCCAAACAACACGTTCCATCTCACCTCCTCATGTCATACCCACAACAGTACGCACTCTTCCTATCCTCTCCGCTTCGGCCAACAAATCCACTCCGGTACTCAATATCACCACAAATAAATTTCAAAACGTACCGTTGTCTGGACAAGTTCGTACTTCTCCCATGGGACACAAACGTGAGCTGTCCGGATGGTCCACAGTATCGGGATCCTATGAGACAAGTAGTGAAGGGCATTCCTTCGACGGGTACGAACTTCGTACGCCTACAGATACCGATGTCGAGGGAGGAGTACATATGAGGGAGTTTGGGTTTTTGGCGGGGAAAGAATCAAAGATGAACGTGGGAGAAGTGTCGGTGTTGGACAAGGTGGACAGAGGACAGGATATGCGAGGGATGAAGGAGAAGGAGAAGAGACATGCGAGTTTGTCAAGAGGTTTGAGTAAACTTAAAGTTGCCAGAGGGTTGTCGAGATTGTTAAATCGAGGCTGATCGTTTGTTGTTTTGTGAAGTGCAGGGTTTGTGAGCCGATAATTGGTCTAGGCCCGGGAGGGGGGGTTGGTGTACTGTCATGCTTGCTTCTGTAGACTAAACGATGCAACAACGATCTAAACGTGAATCGGTATCCACCATCCTAGTTTCCTAGGTTTCGCTGCCTGCACACAATCGTGACATACTGGAGCCCTTGTGATCCGTGTTAGCAAGTCAGGGACAAAGTAACTACATTTTCATTGTACCTCAGCTCGACAAGATACAATGTTTACTACATACTACGATCCGAAGGTGGTGTTGGTCCAGCTATCCTCAACGTTGACTCCCTCCTTCCCCAAACCATTGATGTAGTCACTGTCGCAGTCCCAACCTGACTTGTTTGCCCACATGGTGTTGTGGAACCTACAAGAGCCTGACTTGGATGGTCAGCTGTTAAACGCGCAGAAACAATAGTAGAATGACTACCATTTGTCTCCAAGTGACGATAAACCGAATCACGGCGATGTCTTAACTCATTGTCCACTTGATAACGTGTAGAGCTTGGAGGTAGATAAGAAGAAGAAGGATTATAACGATGGTCCAAATCCGGATTCCCGAAAACTGAACCTAGGGGATGTTCACTGGTTGGAATTCTAATCCTTTTATAACTGGTCCCAGTTGGTCCTGAACCACTCCCAAATTTGATGCTCCGGGAAGGTATTCACAGAGAAATGTCAATACTCTACCCTGGTCTTCCATCATGGAAGTGTGGTCGTAACCTGATGGAAGATCAGTGGGAAGTGTGGGTCGTTTGAAGCCTCTACTATGTAGTCCCTGAACTATAGAACTAGCGTGTGCATCATATTCGCTGCTAGTTTGTTCCATACCCAGACTCCGGAAAAAGATAGATTCTTTTTGTAAAGTTTGGGCCAGGTTATGGAGAGTCGTTGCAGCTTGGTCGACCATTGGGTCATGTAGTTTCTTGAAGGTTGAAGGAGATCGAGCAGTTGACAATGATGTGTCTCTTGATGTTGATGACATGCTGTTTGAGTTTGATGTTTTTGTTATTTCTGATTTGATTCTATTTGTGATTGAGGGAATCGTCTGGGACAAGTTGAAGTATTTAACTTTCACGGTTCTAGGGGAAGAAACTTCCGTGGGGAAATCTTGGTCATGATTTCCGGATGAATCCATTGTTCTTTCCCTCTTCCTTTCCCCGGCGGGTAGGCGGGTAGGTGGGTAGGGGAAACGGCGTATTCATACGGCCGCGGACAAGACTCTCCGGTCCGTGATTTTGTTTCTACGATACGTCAGAGAATCTTAGTTAAGGGGGATGTTGAAACGTGTGAAATCGGGAGGGTTGGGCCGAAAAAGGGGAGATCCGTGCGATGGGGTTTCGCCTCGGGTGGACGAACTCCGTGTCGTTCACAAATCGATTGGATGATACATGTTCAGATTAGCTACGCATAGTAGGTCTAGAAACCAAATAAACGGATTCCACAAGGGACAAACAGGTGATATATTTGTATGATTGGTTATGAGAGGCAAGTGCGCTCACAAAAAAGTCATACTCTCCATAATCTCTTCGCATCCGACTCTGAAAGGATTGGTAATGCTAACTTGTTCATAGCAGAACCATTGCATATTTGAAGAGGTATTCAGAACTTCTGCTTGGTAGGTAAAAGTCTGAAAGTGGGTGACCAATTGAGTGTGAGAAGAGTTCAGGGGATTACAGAGAATGGGGTTTGGAATGAGGACTAATTTGGCACAGAACTACTCCATTTCATGGTCCCCGTCCCATTACTGCCTGGGAAGACAATCTGTCAGACCCCCCTATCCCCTCTCTTCCAAGCTATCAGGAATCTGACTGCTCAGCTTCAACAACCTGTAGAGACAAACCACGGAATTATTACTTTACTGAAATGTTATGGCACTTCTCAATGTCCAGTCTCAACCTGAGGTTGGCGCCTCCAGTGCCTGGGAGATGAGAAGACTGCCTCAAAAGTTCATGACATTGCTAAGTCATCAACTACAGGCAAAGAAGTTGATCCAGGATACTACCAAGGATCAGTATCATCATTCATGTCTTCCCCGAAAGCCTGCAAGCCTGTCTCTACTGATAGCATCGGAGCGAGCCGGGTGAGACTCTGTTCTCTCGTCCTGCATCTGTTGAGAAAAGAATGAATTGGATCCATGAAGTAGTAACGAGCTGGATGTAGTTTGTGCACCGCCCCATGAAGGCATCACGGCGATCATATCTGAAGGAGCATAACGATGACTGATAGGAGCGGCAAGTGGATAAACCTCTTCTTCCTGCCTCTTCACATCCCTGTAGCAATTATAGATAGGTGGGCCCAGTCTGTTAGCCGATAGAATCGGGCCAGGACGGCCGAACCGCCGTTAGATAATTACCCCTTCCGTCGAATATTTCTCCGTTCAACTTATCCTCTGAACTTTATTCGATCGTCTCTGGTTTTATGCGTGTGAGTGGAATGTGATAAGTATAGAGACATGTAGAATTGATGCATGCTCTTTTTCCCCTCTGTATTACCATCTAATTATCAGAAAACAGATTAACAGTCGGAAGTCCACATACCTCTGTGTATAACTAAGGCAAGTTCCTACTTCTACTCCTCTCATAATGTCCTCAGTGTCGACTAAGATTTCGTTTGAGAATCTCCCCAAGTTATCCTACGATCCATCGACGTATGCTTCGTGGAGGAAGGCGATCGAGGTGTATCTACAGATAGGCGATGTATGGAATGTCGTCTCAGGTAATGATACCGAACCTGGTCGCGAAGGGGTTAGGCCGGCAGCTGAGAGGGCGGGATCAGTACCTCCTACCACGCCCGTCGAAGGGCAAGTGGTTGGTAGAAGGATTACTGGAGAAGAGTTGAAAGAGTGGGAAAAGTGGCAAGCGAGGGAGAATAAAGCGCAAGGGATGATCAAGGGAACAGTGACGGAAGCTGTAATGCTTGATTTATCTGAGAAGATGTCAGCTAAAGAGATGTGGGATTACTGCTTGAAAATGCACGTAACAGCCACGAACGAGAATCAGAGGAACGTCCGTCAAGCATTGTTTAGCTATGACTTGAGGGAGGATGCGACGGCCGAAGAAATGGCTAAGCATGTAGAGGATTTCTCGAAGACAATGGCTGAAGCGAAATTGGTGGGATTGATCTTTGACTCACAGGCACAAGCAGGTTTATTCCTCAATACCATCCTAGCACCAGCATACAGGATCATCCACGTAGAACTAATGTCCGTACCTGAAGAGGAGAGGACATGGGACAAAGTGTTGTCGATCTTTAACGCAGAAACGGCGAGACGTAAGGCGCGCCCTGTTGGTAGGACCAATAGAAAGGGATTCGCGATGTTCGCCGAAAGGGATAAAGGAATGAGGGTGAACCGAGATAATATCTCTGATGGTCAGCCCAGGAAAGAAACTAGAAAGTGTTATAACTGTGACACTGTAGGACATCTAGCGAAGTACTGTCGTAAACCTAAAAGAGAGGATACGAACAGGAAAGAAAACGCAGATGTAAAGGATGGAGGTAAAAAGAAATGGAGGAATAATAAGAATAATAAGAAAGGACATACGGTCTCGAAGGATGAGAACCAGTCCAAGGATAACTCCAAAACCTCCTTGATGTATTCGTCATTGGATGGTGAACACGAGGCATGGGCCGGGATGGCCATGTCGACAGAATCGTGGTTCGATGATGACGAAGGGTACACGAGTAACATCGTATGGCCCGAAGAAATTGAAAACCCGTGGGTTGAGGATAATGAGTGGGTGGGATTGGCTACAGAGTCTAATGACGTGAGCCACACTCGTGTAATCCCCACCTGGGTAGTGGATAGTGGTGCTACTCACCATATAACTCCTCACAGGTCGATAATGACGAATATTAAAAGGCTAGTGGAACCGAGAGTGTTCGGACTAGCATCTGGCAAGTCAATGACGGCTTGGGAAACAGGTGACATTAACCTCGAACTAGATTCAGGACAGAAAATGGTACTGAAAGATGTACATCACGTCCCCACAGCAAAGATAAGTCTTCTCTCCCTCTCGAAGTTACTCTCATGGGGGTGGAAAGCGAATCTAAGTAGTGGTGGTGGATGGATAGGTAAAGGTAAAGAGAAACTAGGTTTGAGGAAACATGACTCACTGTGGTCGGTACGATTCGGCAGAGCAATGTCTGCTGCGATGATCGTGATATCGACACCGAAGGCGACTTCACCACTTGAATCTGAGCATCAGCGACTCGGACATATAGGTGTAGATAAACTAAAGAATCTAGGTAGACAGGGACTATTGAAGAAGGACTGGGACACTTACAAGAACGATCCCTTTACAACTGATAAATGTCCCGCCTGCATGCAGGCCAAGATAACACGTCTACCGAAGAATAAAGAAGCACCAATGTTAAAAGGAGATGGTGAAGGAGTAGGAATGGATGTCGATATTACTGGTCCGTTCGGTCCGGCTATAAAAGGTGAACGATATTTCTTCGTTGGTGTGGAAAGGGCGAGTCGAATTGTATTCGCTATACCAATAACGACGAAGAACGAAGCGTCTGATATCGTTCGACAGTGTATCTCAAAATTGGAGAAACAGTTTGGTGAAAGGGTGAGAGTGATTAGGTCTGATGGGGGAGGTGAATTCGATAGCCTCGATATGAGGGAATTCTACCTGTCAGCAGGGATCAACCACTACATCACACCGAGATACACACCAGAATTAAATGGAGTGGCGGAAAGAATGATACGTACCTTGAAGGGGATGGTATCAACGATGTTGTTTGACTCAGGACTACCGAACGAATATTGGTCCTATGCTGTCAGATACGCCGCCATCATAATTATGAAAACATCGATTGGTGTCAGCGGTAAATCAGGCTGGACATCACTCACAGGAAGAGACACGAACCTAGATAGCGTGTGGAGATTCGGTGAACGGTGTTTTGTTCAGATACCAAGGGAGATAAGGCTGAAGTCGAACTTCACGATACCTAGGGGTTCATCAGCCATTATACTAGGTCAAGATGAGGGTGTGAGCGGTTGGATCGTTAGAATGGACGGATCGGGACGAATCAAACACTCACGAGACGTTCGTCGCTCGACAGGACGAATGGTGACTACTAGAGAGTCGCCCGATGTCATCCAAACCCCTCTCGACGCCATCGAAGTAGACCTAAACCCCGTTGTCAACGAAGAAATTTTCCTTGACGACCGCTCAGAAAGTGGCGAACAGGAAAATATCGATAATGAACAAGGAAATGATGTCGACAGAGACAACTCACCTAATACAGGTCCACAACCTACTGAAAGACGACGTGGACAGGGCATTTGGGGAGGAAATTGGGTCTATGAGAACGATATCGTCGAAAATGAGAGAAATGATGAGGAAGGAAGAAATGATGGGGACGAGGGGATCGTGATGACACGTCACGGACGAATTATTCGACCCCCCCACCGTTTCGCAGGCCTAACAGACTCGTTCCTAGACTTCGGTCGCGAGCCTAATAAGTTAGTCTCACTCGCCTCTATCGCAGGTATCGAAAGTGATACTTCTCTCATTGATCCTATCTCTCCTGAAGAAGCAGTAAACGGCCCAGATGGTGAGAAGTGGCTAGAATCCATGGAGAAAGAGATATCCAACATAGAATCTAAGGATACATGGGTGGAGACGGTACTTCCACCGGGACGAAAAGCCATTGGATGTAAATGGGTATTCAAAGTGAAGACAGATTCTGAGGGAAACTTACTAAAGTACAAGTCACGACTAGTAGCTCAAGGTTTCTCACAGATACCAGGTGTCGATTACGAAGAAACATTCGCACCTGTAGGTAGATCGGGGTCATTGCGAATACTCTTGACTATAGCAGCAACTGAAGATCTTGAAATTCGTCAGGCCGATGTCGAAGGGGCGTATTTAAACGGTAAACTCGATGTCGAAATTTACATGAAGTATCCCAAAGGGATAAAGCCGAAACCTGGATGTAATACCTTGAAGTTAATAAAGTCTCTTTACGGTTTAAAGCAATCTGGTAGGACATGGTGGATAGAACTCGGCGAAGGATTATCTCACCTAGGTTTTTCAAGAATCGAATCAGATTGGGGTCTTTACTACAGACCAGAAGGGAAAATCGAAGGAAAGGGAGCAGCAATACTGCTGGCCTATGTCGATGATCTGGTATTAGCCACGAAATCGAAGGAAGAAGCTAAGGAAATTTTCGATGGGCTAGGTAAAAGATGGATAATAACCGACCTGGGGGAGATAAGTACTATCTTAGGTATGAAGGTAACAAGGAACAGAGAAGAAAAGACGATATGGTTAAACCAACCAGCGTACATCGATAAGATAGTTCAGAAGTTTCCAGAAAACGACTTACATCGAGACCGAAAAACACCGTTACCTCTTACTGCGAAAAATCCTTCGATGTCGGAGGTGGAAAGTGAAATTCGACCATTTCAAGAGTTAATAGGATGTCTACAGTGGTTAGCCACATGTACTCGACCTGACATATCATATGCAGCCTCATACCTTGCTAGGTACCTTACCAAACCGACGAAGAAAGTATGGGAGGAAGGGATAATGGTAATTACCTACCTTCGGTCCACTCGTTTACATGGTATTCGTCTCGGTGGCGAGGCTAGCGATCTAGCAGGATGGGTTGATGCCGATTGGGCAGGTTGTAAAGACACACGACGATCAACTACTGGTTGGATATTTATGATGAACGACTCACCGATAACATGGAGTTCAAAAAGACAAGCTACGGTATCGTCGTCGACAGTGGAAGCAGAGTACATCGCGATGGCTGAAGCAGCGAAGGAAGCTCAGTGGTTGAGAGGATTATTGAGGGAGATAGGCTACGATCAGCTAAATCCTACTATATTAAATTGCGATAATCAAGGATCGATATCACTAGCGAGAAAACCTGGTACTCACCAGAGGACAAAACATATTGATATTCGACATCATGCCCTTCGAGATCTAGTCAGTAATAAAGTTATTGAACTAGAATACGTCAGCACTGTCTATCAGCGAGCAGATGTACTCACGAAAGCTTTAGGTGGACCAGTACATTCGGTGAATATGTCAGCGATACGGGTAGAACCACCGAAGAAGAAAAACATTGGTTCAGTATACGTGACATTAGATGATGATGAAATCGTCGATTACAATTATTCAGATTTCGAGGACCTAGGAGATCTATCAGGTGGTACAGAGAACGAAGTGGTACCAAGGAACGAAGTGGTACCAGATACAGAGTTGGTATCAGACAGAGAAGTGTGGGTGGAAGGAACTTCAGAGAAACCCACCGAAGGTACCACCGAAGGAAAAGTTCTCGTGAGCCAAAATGTAAAATTTTCGGGTGTACCTATGAATGTGAGTAATTCTAAGATAGGTCAGAAACCACCGGTAGAACCTAGAATCATTAGAGAAATGAAAGAGAAGAGTAGGATGAGAAGAGATAAGACGATACATAGGAGGGATACTACTCAACCTCCATCGTCAAGTCCACGAACACCGGGAACTTTGGCTGGTAGCCAGCAACCTTATATCCACCGAGGATATTCTCAAGTTTATCGTGGAGAGAGTCCACAGCATCAACAATCTCTTGTACCCTCTCGTGGGTTACCCCACCTTCCAAAAGAGCGTTTCCTATCGAAAGGAAATGTTTGTCTAGGTTCGACTTCAATATCCCCAGTTCAAATTTCACCTTCTGGGAAAGATCTCAAACTCAATAAAGTTCATGGTATGACTGACAGACTTACAGTCGGGAGGATTGCTGGGGAGCAACCTAAGAGCAGGACGATCAGACGGTCCAGGGACCGAGGGAGAAGCAATGGTCGAAAGAACGGAGGCAGGAACTTGGGCCATGATAACGATGCGGTTGCTACTAATGATAATAGATATCGTCAGCCAGGGACACGAAGGAATTTCATCGATTCTCGGGAGTCTACTAGCAAACCTGAAGTTTTAAGAAGTAGACAGGACAGAGGGAAGTTCAGACAGTCAGAAACGAGTGATAAAAGTGGAGAAAAACGAAAGGTGGACATACCGATAATTGGAGATAAAAGTGATGAAGTAAAAGGAATGATAGAGAAGAGTCAGTCGTCAGTAGTGAGTGGTAACCACGTGACAGAGCGGAGCCCCGCAGGGGGCCCCACAGAAATTCATTTCACGATTTCACCTACCACTACTACCACACACATAACACTCAATATTTCGTCATTACTACCTTCTACATCATCACAAACCCCGCCGTCGCCATCGATAAATCGTCCGGGACTACTGCAGAGTCGTGCATTGTCCCGTGGGGGAGTGTTAGCCGATAGAATCGGGCCAGGACGGCCGAACCGCCGTTAGATAATTACCCCTTCCGTCGAATATTTCTCCGTTCAACTTATCCTCTGAACTTTATTCGATCGTCTCTGGTTTTATGTGTGTGAGTGGAATGTGATAAGTATAGAGACATGTAGAATTGATGCATGCTCTTTTTCCCCTCTGTATTACCATCTAATTATCAGAAAACACAGTCTTCTATCAGAAGTGGAACCTGATTCCTGCCGTGGGTCTGTTTCAGGAAAAGAGTATAGCGCCACAAAATCAAATATCACCTGGGAGTCTAACGAATAGGTTTGGGCGTCATAAGTGGGGTCCAAGCTGGTAGGAAGATCTTCAATATGGTAGTTCTTTGCTCGTAGGAGGGTAATGATCTCTTTGACCCAATCTGCGAAATACGATCCAACTTCTGGATCTCCATAGGGACGACCTGGAGTGGAGAGCCAGAGACTTGCCCTTTGCAAGGACATAGATAACTGGTGAAGTCTATAGGCTCGCAAGTCGTTTATTGGAGTTCGTAAGATTACCACTGAAGCTCGAAGTTGGTCTTGATTATGAAGCGTCATAGTTGGCGTTTGCTCGCAATTGAAGAGGGCACGTTCTGATGTTAAAGTACCCTTTTTGTGGATGGGACGTAACAACCTTGGCTTTCTCACTTTCAGGTCCGCTCATTTATATGGGACCCTACATATGTTAGCCGATAGAATCGGGCCAGGACGGCCGAACCGCCGTTAGAATTACCCCTTCCGTCGAATATTTCTCCGTTCAACTTATCCTCTGAACTTTATTCGATCGTCTCTGGTTTAATGTGTGTGAGTGGAATGTGATAAGTATAGAGACATGTAGAATTGATGCATGCTCTTTTTTCCCTCTGTATTACCATCTAATTATCAGCGAACAACATAGTATGATGAGTGATACGGAAGAGGAGCGAGTGGAGGCGTGAGGCCGCGGAGTCATGACGACAACGCACGGAAATCTCCCAACAGTTGTGGTGTGGGAAGTGTTCACATGCTCCGAGACCCATGATGCGGTTTTGGAGTGAAGGGACACAAATCAGAATGAAGTTCGAGATAAATATACTGCTAAAAGATAGAAGCTCTTATACATCAACGACGGAAGTACGCTCAATCGAGAAAGACCCCACGGATTTCAACTCCGTGCAAAGAGCGAGTCAAAGGGGAATTTTACCTCCGTGAAACAACAGCCGACCAAAAGTGGGAAGTCGACGCTTTGCATTGATATCTCTTTGTGATATCCGATAGTCTTGACGTGTCGTGTGGGACACCTTATCAGAATTTGAGGGCGTTGGTAACCGGAATTTCAGGACCACAAATTATGTACAGGTTGCCGCAGGCTCATACATCAGCCGTAGTCCCTTCATTCGAATACCAAGAAGCCATAAATGTCATAGACTCGTAGACAGTAATGCTATTCTCTCTACATTGCACGGGTCACTAAAATCTAATCTCACTGTTCATACTTCCATCTCTGTTTATTCACCTTCGTTCTAATCCTGATAGCAGAAACACAACTCCCTTCTTGACTTGCCCTCACATCACAACACAGAGTTATCACAGAACATCAACGCTGTAAAGCTGTCCTGGGGTGCTGCAAAGCCGGTCTGCAAGGTGGACTCAGGAGAACTGTCAAGAACAGTGATATCGTGGATAACCTTCTCAATGCCCTTTGGGAGCGCATAGGCAATATTCTTGACCTCCCCACCGCAACACACAATGAATCTTGTTATCACTGAGCTGGCAATGCTTTTGCTCAAATCTGAATCGGGATCCCAGGGAATTCTGTGCGTCGCACTCAAAAACGTCTCGATCCTTTTGGCTTGCTCAACAAAGAAATGTTGGCGTACTACACAATGGATATGGTCAAGAAATTCTGTCTGATGCCAACAGGTATCTTGGTATGCATCCAAAGCCCAGAGCACCTGAGTGAGTCTCATCCTTCTTGTTTCTGAGCTCATGTCCTTCAAGTTATCACTAATTTTCTTCTGACTGTGTTCCAGTTTCTTGGCCAAGTGCCGGTCAGTAAGAGTTCTGTAATCAATATGGAAAGTTTGAAATCGTTGTAGACCCAAAGACTGGATAGCTCGAGGAAGAGTTGTCAAGAGTGGGCCTTGTAAGCTTGAATAAGTCAATGCAAATTGATTCAATGCCATGTATGCACTGAAACTAGATTCAGGGTCATCACTACCAGAGGAAAATAATACTCGAGGAGGTGTTGCTTGACCGAATGCCTCCAACCATATCCGTGACTCACTAGCCATGGTGTAAAAGAAGCTTTTTGATGGGAGTAGTTTCTCAGTCACTGTCGGGCCATCATCGAGGTTTTGAGCGAGGAAATCAGCAATTCGAAATGACTCTTCAAGGACATCAATTATCTCTTTCCTACTGAGCTCCATGACAGGAGGGTATCAAAGCAACCTATAATTTACAACTATGAATAGAATATGTGTTGGTGCTTTGTTCAGAGAGCACAGAGGGGAATTTACTAGCAAGTACAGTACAAGTCACTTTTCTTCTACCCATGAGCCTTCTAGTCTTCTTTCTAGCTCAGCATGTAGCGGAGCTAGAATCAAATCCCTCGATATCCGTCTCACGGTCGTAAAATTTCCCGTTTTGGTGGATGGCGTGGGAACGATGTCGAGGCTGTGCGTGATGTGGGAACCATGATCAGTGATCAGATCAAGATCAAAATGGACACTCTCCAAGATAACACGTTGACGACCCAAATGTCACGAACCATGTCGTGACACCCCTGACAGCTACCATCACCGACCCTCCTTTCACCATCACCGAACCACTGTCCACCACCACCCCGAACCACTGAGACCAACTACAACGAAGTTACGAGAACCTAGAGATTATTTGTCACGACAACCCCGCCTAACGGAGAACTACGGCGAAGTTAGGGGAAGGAAACCGAGGGAGAGTGGAGTAGGGGAAGTTAGGCGAAGTTAGTCAGAGTAGGATATCGGGGATATGGCGAGGTACGGCGAAGTTGAACGAAGAGGACTGAGCGCGAGGCTGTACAGGGGTTGAGGGACGTTCTATGAGAAGAGAGGGGAAGTATAGATAGTTTACAGATTGCTGAACTTCTTCAGCGATCCTTGATTGTTGTCAGTAGCAAGAGATATATTCAGTAGCTACAACCATCAATTTAGGGAGAGCTACCACTGAGCAGTTCGACACACTACGGCGAAGTTAGCCGTAGTTCACCGACGATCACCTTATCATTTACCACTTGACGTATTACTACGGCGAAGTTAGCCGTAGTTCCCCGACGAGTACCCTGTCGTAGTGAGACATCGACGCCCCACTACGACGTAGTTAGCCGAGGTTTGTCGACCGTCGGTCAGTAGAAGAGAAGAAACGACGCCCGTGACAGTATCAAGGATCGCTCTTACCGATGACCCGTGCAGACCTCGGAGAAGCTCAAAGTTTTATGCAACCGGAGAGGAGAATTACAAGAAGTATGAGTAGACCAGGAGAAACGGGAGAAGAGACGGAGAGGAGGATGTTGGAGGAATTAAGACAAAGCTTGGGACCATTGCCTGGTGCAATTGATACCCCCAAAGGATCAACCCAAGGAGATGATTTCTATCCGCCCCTACCTCTTGAACCACCCCCCCCCCCAGCCTACCGGACTATCAGAACCACCAATGGTGAGGACAGGTTCCGAAGGTTCGGGACAGACTCCACGACCAAGGGAGAGGAGCACAGGAGGTAGGCTAAGTTTGGCAGGGAGCGAAGGAGTAGGAGGAACTGAGGAGGAGGCCACAACTCAGAAGATGATTCTGGCGATAATGAACATGATGATGGAGATGAATAAGGATATGATAGCGGAGAGGAACCGTCGAGAGGAACAGAAGAAGAGGAAAGAGCAGGAGACAGTCGGGGGGATAGTCGAGGGGATCTCTGAAGGGGTACGGCTCGCCATGGGAAGACAGGTTTCGGCGACCCCAGGGGTTGCTGAGATGAGTGGAGGGATAAAGCTTCCCCTCCCAGACCTGTGGAGGGGCAAGAGATCAAAGCTCACCGCCTTCATCTCAGAATGTGAAGTTCACTTCGAAATCAACGCTCGCAAGTTCCCCACCGACCGTGTAAAAATCTTTTTCATGATCTCCCATCTACGTGAAACTCCTCTTCTTGCCGTCCAACCGGACTTGCCTAAAGACGACCCCCCCCCGAACACCTTCTAGACTATAAGAAGTTCATCCAATATCTCAAAACCAACTTCGGAGACCCCGACGAGGAGGGAACCACAGCAAGGGGAATAAACGAGCTTCGGCAGAATGGGTCGGCTTTGGTCTACTTTGCCGCCTTTCAACGATATGTAGCGGTGTTAGGATGGGGCGATGATGGGAACCTGGTGGACCGGGCGAAGAATGGACTGAAAAGTCACTTGCTGGATGAAATCGCTTGCCATGGAAAAGTTTTCAAGACCGTCCGAGCGTTAATTGACTTTGTGGTCCCCATGGACAATTGCTTGCACCAGCGAAGGGTGGAGAAGGAGAATGGGAAGAAGAGGAAGGAACAGGGGGAGAGGAGAGAGGAGGTAAATAGGGGAGGGGAAAGGAAGGCCGAGGAGAAAGGGCAATCTATGGCGAAGTTCGAGGGCTCGCAACCTAAGGCCACGAACAAGGGAAGGGCAATTCCAACGGACGTGGGCGAACTAAATTGTCGTTGGCCAAGACCCAGTGCTGATGAGGTATTGAAACATCGGGAGGAGGGGAAGTGTACTGGATGTGGAGTGAGGGGACATTACAACTGGGATTGCCCTGTAATAGCGGCAAAGGTAAAGGCTGGGATCATCCCCTTGCAATCCTTTTCACAAAGTGCTGGAGGAGAAGGGAGATTTAGCACAGGTGGAAATGCCGTCCCTCTTGGAGATAGGAAGAAAATCAATGCAGTCAGAGGGGAAGAAGCATGTTTTGCAGAGCGGGGGATGGACGAGGAGGAAAAATATGGGGACCCGTCGCGATAGGCGAGACTGGGCGGGTCCGCACTCATATTCTCTCGGCCACTGTTCCTACCCCCAGTAAAAGGAAAGAGCTGATGAGACCAGGTGAATGTGCATATAAGTCTGTAAACACCACTCCAAAATGTATAGATGATTGCCATACCCCAATCCCTTCCACCTGTAACAACCAACCCAAATCTAACGTGTATGTCAAAGGAATCGAACTAACGGCCTTGTGGGACACCGGGGCAACCTGTTCGTATATAAGTCCCGAGGCGGCCAGGAGGATTAAAAAGGAGAAGAGGAAATACCCCGTGAGTGTACCAGTTCACATGTTTGATGGCTCGGTTAGTGTGGCTGGACCCATTACGGAGTTCGTCGAAGTGAGTCTGGGTGTCCAGAAGTTAGGCGAAGTTCACCCAATAAAGCTGGATGTTACCACCCTTTGTGTTGCGGATGTCGTGATAGGATGGGAATGGATGAGAGAAGAGAGAGTAATCCTAAATGGGGGAGCAAATACTATATCCTTCCCTATTCCCCAGACAAACAAGGGGGAAAGCGCAGTGTCCTTTCCCCTACCCATGCCGAACGAAAGAGAAGAGTTATCCTCTCCTTTTCCACAGACGAAAAATGTCGCGAGCCTAGCAGCCATAGGGCTCAGGATCCGAACCGACGAAACAGACCTCCGAGGCAAAGATGAGCTCGAAGAGCTGAGCCCGGAGGAACAAGACGAGTTGTTCCAGGTAGTACCCGAACAATACCACCAATACATTGACGTGTTTAACCCGAAGAAAGGGGGAGAGACTCTTCCCCCCCGAGGTCCTACAATTTGAAGTTTGAGCTCAAGGAGGGGGCGAACCTGAAGGTCGCCTCCCTCTATGCTCAAGGAGAAGATCAGAGACACGCGCTGAGAGACATACTAGATCGCGAAACTGCCGCTGGCCGAATTCGAGCAAGTAATTCGCCGTACGGCTCACCAATGTTTATGATACCAAAGAAAGCCGAAGGCCAATGGCGAATGGTCATCGACTATCGAAAGTTAAACAAAGCAACGATACCAGACGCATACCCTCTCCCATTGATAGGTCAGATTACCGAAGAACTTGGGAAAGCAAGATACTTCAGCAAACTGGACCTAATTGGAGCGTACCAATTATTGAGGGTGACAGAAGGACATGAACACCTGACTGCGTTCAGGACACAGTATGGTATGTTCAAATCTCTTGTTGTTCGAGATGGACTGCGAAACGCTCCTGCTGTCTTCCAACACTTCCTGAACAAGGTGTTTAGAGAACTACTAGGGAATGGAGTCGTGGTCTACATTGACAATATCCTCATTTATGGGAATACATCGGAGGAATTACGAGGAACTACGGTGAAGGTCTTTGAAGTGCTGCAAAAGGCGAGCTTGTACGTGAAAGCTAGTAAATGCAAGTTTGAAAGAGATTCGGTGGTGTTTCTGGGTTTTGTGGTATCTTCTCGAGGTGTATCAGTGAATCCAGAGTACATTGACGCCATCACATCCTTCCCACGTCCAAAGAACCTACGGGAGTCTAGAGGATTCATTGGAGTCTTCAGCTATTACAGGCGTTTTGTCCCCAACTTCTCGAAAATTGCTCTACCAATCACCTACCTGACGAAGAAAGATGTGCCATTTGTGTGGGGAGCAGAACAGGAGTCAGCCTTCAAGGAATTGAAAGTTAGGATGTGTACTGCGCCGGTGTTAGCTCACTTTGACCCTACATTGAAGACTATATTACAGACAGATGCCTCGTTCTTTGGCTGGGGTTTCATAATTTTGCAGATCAATACAGCTGGTCAAGAACACCCAGTCGCCATCGAGTCGGGCGCGTTCAACACGGCCCAATTGAATTACCCGGTAGGAGAAAAGGAGTTCCTCGCCGTAGTTGAGGGTTTCAGAAGAAGAAGACACTTACTACTGCAGGTAGAAACCACAGTCCTTACTGACCATTTAAATCTCACCTACTGGATGGAGCCAAAGCAACTCAGCCCACGTCAAGGTAGGTGGGTAGAAGAGTTAGCTAACTTCAGATTTAAAATGGTTTATCGACCAGGAACTCAGGCAAGCCTTCCAGATGGACTATCTAGGCGGGCGGACTATCACTCCGGGAAAGGAAGTACCATGATACAAGAGAGTAACCTTATTCAAGGTCTACCGAAGTTCGACAAGGTTGACGCCACCACGTCGGAGTTACGTCACCTCCTTTGAGCATTGCAAGGGACACGAGAAGTAAAGGAAGATGATCTTGTTGACCCCATGGATCTGATACTTGGAGTTCAGGAGGATGAAGACGTAGAGGAGGTTAGAGAGGAATTACTAGGAGTTATTTGCACTGAGTGTTCTCATCCAACGTGTCACGATGACGTACAGGAACCAGGATCAATCACCGAACTACGCCGTAGTTTGCGATTGTCACGAGGACCAACTAACCAGCATTGGCTCGATATAACAGTGCCCAACGTGACAGTGTTGTTAACCACTGTGACAAAAAGGCCTATTAATCGGTGGTTAACCCTACCCCTGATCGCTGGTTAAATACCCTTCCCCGACATTCGCTCGACTTGTCACACGCTTTGTGACATTATGCACCCTCTTGGGCCCCCGCGTTGGGGCCCCAACAAGGGGACCCCGCTTGGGTCCCCACACTTGGGAAGGGTACGATAGACCGAAAACTTACTCCGAGAGGGAGGTTTTCCAAGTAGGGGCTGAATTACCCCCGGCGCCGTCCGGGAGTCGAACCCAGGACCCTACCTGTAACCGCCGATTAATCTGTCACGAGGACCAACTAACCAGCATTGGCTCGATATAACAGTGCCCAATGTGACAGTGTTGTTAACCACTGTGACAAAAAGGCCTATTAATTGGCGGTTAACCCTACCGCCGATTGCTGGTTGAATACCCTTCCCCGACATTCGCTCGACTTGTCACACGCTTTGTGACACATGTGAACTGGTACACTCACGGGGTATTTCCTCTTCTCCTTCTTAATTCTCTTGGCCGCCTTGGGACTAATGTATGAACAGGTTGCTCCAGTGTCCCACAAAGCTGTTAGTTTGACACCCTTGATATACACATTAGACTTTGGTTGGTTTCTACAGGTTGAAGGGATTAGGGTATGACAATCGTTTATACATCTCGGAGTGGTGTTTACGGATTTATATGCACATTTACCTGGTCTCATCAGCTCTTTCCTTTTCTGGGGGTAGGAACGGTGGCTGAGAGAATATGAGTGCTGACCCGCCGAGTCTCGCCTATTGCGACGGGTCCCCATCTTTTTCCTCCTCATCCATCCCCCGCTCTTCAAAGCTTGCTTCCTCCCCTCCGACTGCATTGATCTTCTTCCTATCTCCAAGAGGGATGGCGTTTCCACCCGTGCTAAACCTCCCTTCTCCTCCCACACTTTGTCCAAAAGGTCGCAAGGGAATAATCCCAGCCTTTACTGTCACGAGGACCAACTGTCCAGCATTGGCTCGATATAACAGTGCCCAACGGAACAGTGATGTTGACCACTGCGACGAAGAGGCCTATTAATCGGCGGTTAACCCTACCGCCGATTGCTGGTTAAATACCCTTCCCCGACTTTTGCTCAACTTGTCACATGCTTTGTGACAACAGCAACGAGTAGAGAGTCTGTAAACGATTGGTCTTCACAAAGATTCAAATAAGTAGCAGGAGAACGCCTCAGTGCAGTAATTGCAGTCTGAGTAAGAGTTTCAAGATTGCATTTAGGGGGGAGTGGAGCTCGAGAAGTCTCTGTCACACCAAAAGCTCTTGACCATATCCGCAGATCTTGGGTTACCATGTGATAGAAATGCATTTTCTCAATAAATGTCCCTTTTGTCTGACAGTATTATTGAGCCACAATATCCACGGCCCGAAGCATTGATTTGAGCTGTACAAGGTACTGGGAGTTTCCCATGATGAGAGAGTACCTTGCAGCTAGTGTTTATGATGGATTGTAAGAATGAAAGTGCAGGGATTCAGTGGCTTTTAGTAATAGCTCAGCCTGTAGTAGATCCATGACATCATCGCCGGATGCCCATCTCACGGCAAGAAAATTACCCCTTCTAGTTGTATGGCGTGAGAACTATCTTGCGGCTGTGTGTTGCATGGGAACCACGGCGAGACGTCCGGGCGGCCTCGGAGGTGAGGAAGATGGGGAATGACGATTTCAAGAGTACTGACTGTCTTTTGATCAAGAATGGCGTCAAAGAAGTTTACTATCATAGATATCAAGAAGAGGTACGGTTAAGTAAGGTAATGGAGAATAAAATCATGTCTGCGCGTCTGGCATGTTTCCTTTACCTGTGCATAATTGTCAAGACCAGACCGAAGGTCGAAGGGTCTGCGTCGAGGGTGATAAACTACTTGTAGGGACTTGTACTAGTTGCGAGATGATATGAGGATCGAAGCAAATAGTTCGAGGAGTGAATAACAAGTTTGGCAAATGTATATGAGAACTTGTATGTTGAGACAGACAAGATACATTCGTCGAAGTTGTTCTAAGCTATGCACTACCTTATGTACATGGAATGAGAGTGTAATGTAGATAAGGGTGGCTGGTAGTGTTTATCGGTGGCGGGTAATGGAGGTGAGTGGATAATACCCGAACTAGCAACTTCGACGCACGTGGTCATGACAGTATCCCCCCTTCCAAAAATCATCGTCCACGATGATCGCATCTAATCCTTTCGTCCTCGAACCCTTAGATCCGATACCATCAAGACCATTCCATCAATTCCCACGATCCCTTAAAAATCATCCATCAATTCCTGCGTTGACGTGTTTTCTACGTTCATTGACTTTTCTAACATGTTTACGTCCTGTATTCCCTTTTCCAATTGTCCTTTACTTATCCTCCTTCTTCGAAAAAAAAACTCATTACTCCCACACAAACACTTTCCATCCTTACACAACATGTCCAAATCTCCTTCGCAACACTCAGACGTCATCTTGCGACTCCGCCCGCACCTCGTCAAGCCGGGATCTTCTGCCCCCGAACAGGAAGGTTCGACCGCCGCCGCAACTCCGTCGTCAGCCACTCGACGAACCGCCGCCCTTCTTTTGCGCTTGAACGATCGTGTAGTTGACTCTGCTGACGATGGTGAATATATGGAGATGGGCGCTGAGGGGGAAGAGGATATCGAAATGGAGGGCGAAGTGGAGCAGGACGAATTAGAGGAAGATGAACAGGAAGTCCCGGTAGGAGAGGGATCAAGTGGGTTTTCTTCTTTGGGATCTTGGCGTTGAACTGATCGTCGAGACGACTTTCCCGGCATCGAAGACCTGGGTTCGAGGCTAGCACAATCTCGAATTGTGACCAATCCCGTTCCTCCCGTCACCCCCGCGCGGCAATCCAGCGACGAGCTCCAAGAAGTGGGGTATTTAACTCCTTATGTCGCCTCCGCCAAGAGTAAGAAAGTCGCTGTTGGTGATCGTGTGGAGATTCCACCCTCTTCGGTGTCGGTGACCAACGGGACTGTAATCGTGTCCCACGGTTCGACCGTCACCCGCTTTCATGACGTACGGGTTCGAGTGTCTCCGCACATGTCCAGGGGTCAATTGGTGCGTGTTCCGCAAAAGAATTGATGATCGAACTAACATCTTCGAAGATCCTGACTACGTACCTCTGGGGCAACATCCAACATCGTGCCCCAAACGTCCAGGCTCTGTGGAACGGTATGTTGGCTATGCTACAGGATCCAGAACTCGTGCTAGCAGAGGTGGACGTCGAAGATCGGTGTGAAGGTTGCCGTAACATCCAGACCAAGTTCCTCCCCGCCACCGTGAAAAAGATGTCCTACATGGCCCCCCTATTCGTCGCCCTAGACGATTCGGTCCATATTGGTGGAAAGTAAGCCGTTTCTCCCTCGAATCCTTATGTTCGATAACCAACAGATGTTACTACTGCCAACTCACCGCTCGTCCCTGTTCCCTCGGTTCGTCCGGCAAACATGGCTCCCGGTCAGCGCCAAAAATCACCTATCCGTTTCATCGGTCCATGTTTCGGGGGTTCCAAGTTCTTGGGGGGATCCTAGTGTCAATGGTAGACGATGGGAATACCTCCTTTTCTCAGCTGGGGGTGACGGGGTTGAAAGAATTAACGAGAATGGCCAAGGTTCGTACACCGAACTCAACCGTTCGAGCGCCAAAAACTGATTACTAGGACCTGGATCGCTCCAAAATGGTGCCGGGAATGTTCGAAGAAGCGGACGAGGTCCTCGCCGTGTCCAAGAAGAAGATTCCCATCCCTCGCTATCATTGGAGGTATCGTCCTGTCCGGCACCCCTCCGACTCCGAGTACACTGACGAGGACCGTCCCTCCAGTCCTTCGGGCGTCGAATCAGACAATGTGTTTGTCGAACGTGACCGTTCGACCAGGGGGAAAGGAAAGGAGAAAGTCACTGTTCGGCCAGGAAAGGGGAAGAAGGGGAAGACCGTGGAGAAGAAGCGAAAGCGCGCGGTGGAGGATGAGCACGAAGAGCAGGAAGAGGTTCCACGGGTTTTGCGTCCCCGAAGGTCGAAGGCAATCCTTCGATCGTTGTTGGTGACGCCGCCCAGCGAAGAAGAGGGAGAAGAGTGGGAACCCGATTTCGAGACTTCCGGGGGCGAAGATGAGGAGCACGCGGGTCCGTCAACTAGGGAGGCGAAAAGGAGTAGGATGGAGAGGAGTAAGAGGAGGACGGGACGGAGGTGAATTTGTTGATAAGTTGTACAGTACAAGAATTAGGAGTAAGGATTGTGTATCGTAATGACAGTGTGTAAAGATTGTGAATGTCCCTCTGGGAGTATGAAATGTGATGGATCTCTATTTAGTGAAACGCTGAGGAAGCGTATGATGGCGTGGAGCCAGTGGGGCGGTCGAACCATTGTGTTCGGAGTTCAATCTGCTTGTCAGCTCGGCCACCCATCGCGGGAAATTTGAGTCGTTTTCTAAGGTAGATGTCGGCTGCCACGTCGCTTCTTCCTCTGGGTATCCCACCCATTTGACCTTGACCTGATCCTCCAAATCCTTTTGCCCTCGAACCCTGGCTTTCCGTCTTCCCACCAGGTAATCTACCTCATACGTTTCCTCTCCGTCGACGACCTGTTCTATTGGGGCGACCAATGGCTCCGAGGGAGAGGGGATCTCGCCCTTGGCCGGGGAGAGTAGGGAGACGTTGAATACGGGATGAATCCTGTTTTTTTAGCATCGAATCAGGAAGTTCGAGCCTCCAGGCGTTGTCGTTGATTTTCTCAATCAACTTAAATGGTCCAACCTTCCGGTGGTCCAATTTCTTCGAAGGTCGAAGACTTCGCAGGTTTCTGGTACTGAGCCAGACTAAGTCCCCCACCTCGAAGTGTGGTTCCCTGCGGTGCTTGTCGTACGCAGCCTTCTGCGCAGACTGAGCCTTCTGAATGGAATCGCGAAGCAGTCTATGCAGCGTGCTAAACGCCTGCATTCGGTGATGTGCCTGGGGGGATGGTAATGGTGTGTTTGCATCAAGTGCAGGTGTGAGGAGGTCGGTCCTGTAAGTTCGACCTGTGTAAGCCGTCAGCGGCGCCATACCGGTGGAGGAATGGGGAGTGGTGTTATAACAAAGCTCAGCGTGATGTAATAAGATGGCCCAGTCATCCTGTTCCAAGTTTGTGTACATCCGAAGGTACTGTTCCAACCACTGATTTACCCGCTCTGTCTGCCCGTCAGTCTGTGGGTGGAAAGCCGTCGAATATCGAAGATCGATCCTCAAGTAGGTAGATATGGCCCTCCAAAACCTAGAAACGAAGATACTTCCTCTATTGGAAGTGATGGTGTCGGGCAAACCGAAACGAGAGTAGACTTTCTCGATGAAAAGGTCGGCAAATTGCTCTGCCGTCAGCGTGGTAACTGTGGGAATAAAAACAGCCATTTTGGTGAAACGGTCTACCACCACCAGAATGGCATTAAAGCCCTTCGAACCTGGCAGTTCGCCTACAAAATCGCAGGAGATGTCCGCCCAAGGTCTTCCGGGTATGGGAAGGGGCTTCAACAGGCCCAATGGGTTAGTTCGTGATGGTTTGTCTTTCTGACAAGTTTGGCACTGAGCCACATAATCAACAACGTCCCTTCGTCGGCTCGGCCACCACCAGGTCCTGGCGATCATCTGCAGAGTTTTGCGCCCTCCAGGGTGCCCGGCGGACAAGGAGTTGTGACAACTGTCGAACACTTGCGTTTGATAACGAGAGGGTACGTAGTACTGCTCGTTACGACGAAGAAAACCGGAAGAGTCGATAGACAGTCCCTCTGAGGGGATTTTGTCTTTTAATTCGACGAACTCCACATCGTCGCGATATAATTCTGTGGGTGAAGCTCCCAGCACTTGCGTCGGTTCGGGAATTGACAGTGCAAGGAGGAACTGTTCCTTCGAAAGCAATGCTTTGAAGTTGTGAGCGTTCAATTCGTGGGATAACGAAGTGCTATCCGTATCTGTGGGGCTGTAGTCTGACCGGCGCGAAAGTGCGTCGGGCTTTGTGGATTGCTTACCTGGGCGATACGTGATGACGAAGTCGAAATCCGCCATCAGTTTGTACCACCGTGCTTGTCGACGGGTGAGTTGTTTGGTCGTAAGGAAGTATTCGAGGCTCCTATGGTCTGTGAAGACTTGGATTTGGTGTTGTGACCCTTCCAAGTATTGCCTCCACTCCTTGAAAGCGAATACAATGGCGAGGAACTCTTTGTCGTGTATTGGGTAATTAAGCTCTGCTGGGTTCATGCCACGGCTGGCAAAGGCTAGCGGTCGTGATAGACCATCTCCGCCTCTTTGAGAGATCACCGCCCCAACCGCAAAATCCGAAGCATCAGTTTCGACGGTCAAAGGTAAACTGGGATCAAAATGACGCAGGATCGGGGCAGACCCGATCCTCGACTTAAGTTCTTTAAACGCGGACTCACAAGTAGGAGACTATGTGAACGCCGTGTCCTTCCTGGTAAGCTCGTGAAGTGGTGTTGCGACTTTCGCAAAACCGGCTATGAAACGGCGGTAGAAGTTCGCGAAGCCTAGGAAGCTCTGCACCTCCTCGACGGTCCCTGGCGTAGGCCAGTCTTCGACAGCTCGGACCTTCTCCCGATCCATGTTGATTCCTTCAGGACTAACAAGGTATCCCAAAAAGGAGACACGATCGACGTGAAAGTCGCATTTATCGTGTTTAGCAAAGAGCTTGTTCGCTCTGAGCCTCGTGAGGACCTCTCGGACGTCGGAATGGTGTGTTCGAAGGTCCGCACTGTAAATTAGTATGTCGTCCAAATATATAATCACTGTCTTATCCAGCAAGTCGCGGAAGATGTGGTTCATGAGGTGTTGGAAGGAAGCGGGCGCATTAGTCAGCCCAAACGGCATAACCCGATACTCGAACAATCCGAATCGAGTGCGGAAGGCTGTTTTCCACTCCTCGCCCTCCGCGATGCGGAGCAGATTGTAGGCTCCCAGCAGGTCAATTTTGGTATAGACCGTCGCTCCTCGGAGCTGATCTAAGAGGTCGCCAATCAGCGGCAACGGGTACCGATTTTTAACGGTTATCCCGTTGAGACGTCTGTAATCTACACATAAGCGCAGTGAGCCGTCTTTCTTTTTTACAAAAAGGATAGGAGCGCCTGCCGACGACTCCGAGGGTACCACAAACCCTTTGGCAAGGTTCTCATCCAGGTATTTTCGGAGGGCATCTTGCTCCACCGGCGAGAGAGAGTAGATAGGCCCGAAAGTGGGATGTTTGCCCTCTACCAGTGGGATCCGATGGTCGAACGGTCTGTGGTCCGGAAGTTTGTCCGCCTCCCCTTTTGAGAAGACGTCCAGGAAATCCCAGTAAGTGTGGGGGACGACATCCTTCGGATCCAGCTCCCCCACAGTGGCCAGCCGAAGGTAGACTGCCCCCTTCTGGCCGTCGAAGTCCTAATCGTAAGCTTCCGGACTTATAATGGAAATGTTTGGTGGTCGAACCGAAGGTTCGACCGAAGAAGAGAAAGGCAGTATTCACTCGTGATTCCAATCAATGATTGGCCGAACTTTCTTGCCAAAGGGAAAGCCTAGTATTACCGTAGCCAGACCAATATCTGCCACCGTGAACCTCGAAGTATATGGTTCGAACCCCTCCCCTAGCAGAATCTTCAACTCCACCTCGAATTCCAGCGGCTTTGTCACGCCTCCTGGAAGATGAAGAGTTTGGGGAAGGTCTTTGGCAATGAGAGGGAAACCATGCTTTTCAAGGAACGTTTGGTCGACAAGGTCGGCCTGGGCTCCAGTATCCACTAGTGCTCGGGTCATTAAAGACTGGTTATTATGAATTATAGCGATGGGTATAGTGATCTGCAGGCTGGAAGGAGAATCCGCCCCTCGAAGCGAGGGGTTTGACAACGGTATTTGATTTTTGATAATTTTTTTGGTGTTTGTAGTTTTAACTGTTTGTAAACGGACATCATCAGACACTCTAAAAGCCAGAAATGAAATGTGACGAGAAGTTCCCACTGGCTCTCCGGGCTCGTCGCTCGGAGGTGGGTCTACTCGTTTCCCGGCTGGGAAGACGAGTCCGAGCCCGAATCATTGAGTTCGAAGATCATCTCTTCGTCTTCAACCGTCATGGCTCTGACCTTGATAGGTCGGGAATCACTTTTAGAAGGTGGTCTCTGTCCCGACTGCTTTGACTTGGGGCACGCCCGAACGGTGTGACCCGGGTCCCCACAGTACATGCAAAGATTTTCCTTTCTTCAGCGTTCCTTTTCCTCATTGGAGATAGGTCCCCTAGACTTTGTTTTACCTGTGCGGTTAGTCTTAGAGGGAGGTTTGTTACCTTCGGTGTTCGAACTCTTTCGTTCGAAGTTCGAACGTTGATTGTTATTGTTGTCTTTGGGGTTGGAGCCCGATTTATCGTCTGACCCACCCAGCGATTGTCGGATACCTGATAAATGACGATCAATTGTGATTGCCGCGTCCACCAACTCCCTAAGGGATGTCGGCTGGTTCTCGCGGTTAGCGATAGCAATTCGAATCTCAGCCGAAAGGCCGGTTCCGAAAGCGTCCTTCTTGGCCCTGTCGTCCCACTGCACTTCAGTAATAATGGCAGTGAACTTTGACCAATAGGTGGCGACCGAGCCCTTACCTTGCTTGATGGATCGTAGTTGGTTTACAGCATAACGGTGACGATCTGGGTCGCCGTAAATTCTTTTAAGTTCGGCGAAGAAAGCCTCCGGTTCGCGGGTCCAACCCGGGCGTTCGACGGACGGTGTCGAAAAATGGCCGTCCCACCATGCCCCGGCGTCCTCTATCAAGTGAGAGGCGATCCAGAGCACCTGTGCTTCTGGAAGCATATTGTTACCTGCCATCTCTAGCATCATTCTAGCACGGGAGATGAAAGCTGGAAGTTTACCTCGATCTCCCTTAAACTTTTCCAGGTTGGCCATGGGTAACTTGGGAAGAGTAAATCCCGAGCCGGGGGCAGGGGACTGAGAATGACAATCGAACCCCCCGGTTCGGATACCTAACGTGTTTGCATTAGCTAGGGGTTGACCCCCCTCCAAATGTGCAGGGAGTTCGCGACGGAAACCAGGCGGTTGTCACGAACTACGTCGTGACACCTCGATTATTCCACCAACAATGACCCTCCTTTGACCATCAAAACCCCCATCACGTCTTAACCTCTTTACTCTACACGTAACTCAGGACTTCTGAGACCAAGTACGGCGAAGTTAGACGGAGTTAGGCTAGGTAGGGACAATGGGAGCAGAAGTACGGCGAAGTTAGACGGAGTTAGGCTAGGTAGGGACAATGGGAGCAGAAGTGCGGCGATGTTAGGCGGAGTTAGGCTAAGTAGGGACAATGGGAGCAGAAGTGCGGCGATGTTAGGCGGAGTTAGTCGAAGGAGGAAGAGGATGGCCGAGGGCTCGGGGAAGTTGGACGAAGTGCGTTGAAGTACGTCAAAGCGCGAGAGGGTTGGATGAACGTCTAAGAGGAGTAGATAATATTAGCTGAGAAGATCGCTGAAGTTCTTCAGCGATCCTTGATTGTTGTCAGTAGTAAAAGACAGATAGAGATAGCTATAAATCAAGATACATCGCCATCAGTAGATCAAAACCCTAGTTAGAGTAACTACGCCGAAGTACGCCGTAGTTACACCCCTTTCGACGTCTGCGCCCTCCTGGTTGGGTGAGACATCGACTCAGAGCGTGAAGTTAGCCGAGGTTCGTCGACCGTCGGTCTATTAAGAAGTAGTTGTTCGACGGCCGTGACAGTATCAAGGATCGCTCTTACCGACGACCCGTGCGAACCTCGGAGAAGTACGAAGATAATATGGAACCAGAAAGAAGAATTACACGAGGCATGAGTAGGGATGGAGACAGGATGGAGGAGAACGAGAGGAGAGCATTGGAGGAGCTTAGCAGAGCAATGGGGCAGGACCTTGGAGTTGAGGATAGTGTGGGGGGGTCAATTCTGGTTGTTGCCCCCCTTGAGTAGCGGAGGCTACATTACCCTCAGGGTGTAATCTTGTAACCCGACCACCTGGAGTATTGGGGACGCTCGACATTGTTTTCAGATTGTCGGGCGATTACAGTTCGGGACTAGAAGAGCAACCTCGTAGAAGTCGGTACAAGCTAGACGAATGTATCTTATGTCAAGACCAGACCGAAGGTCGAAGGGTCTGCGTCGAGGGTGATAAACTACTTGTAGGGACTTGTACTAGTTGCGAGATGATACGAGGATCGAAGCAAATAGTTCGAGGAGTGAATAACAAGTTTGGCAAATGTATATGAGAACTTGTATGTTGAGACAGACAAGATACATTCGTCGAAGTTGTTCTAAGCTATGCACTACCTTATGTACATGGAATGAGAGTGTAATGTAGATAAGGGTGGCTGGTAGTGTTTATCGGTGGCGGGTAATGGAGGTGACTGGATATTACCCGAACTAGCAACTTCGACGCACGTGGTCATGACAATAATGAATTCATTGAGGAGAACCGCAATCTAGAAGAGCTTACATTCTGGCCGTTATGACTCTTTGACTACCTGGGGAATGGATAAGTCATGAAAGGTTCTGGGATTTACAAGAGTCCCTTCCAACATATCCTGAACCAGATTGGATGGACGGACATTTTTGAAGGGCAGATTTCTCTTCCCACGGGCCAAAATTCCCCATCATCCGATTACCTTCATCATTCAGGAGGTCCAGGGGTGGCCATTGCTAACACCTCATCAGCTGATGTCTTTAAGGAAGAAGTGATCGGTGTCTGTAAGAATAATCGCCAACTTGCAGAGAAAGAGATGAACGGTCCACAATTGTTAAACTTTGAAGAGACGTACTGTGATCCTCAGGTCGTCGATCATATTCCTTCAATTTGGGTCCTCAAGCAGTGTTCTTCTCAGTTATGCATACTTACTGTATGTACATTCTCAGAGTATTGAGCGATATACTTTCAAGCACATTCTCCCTGATATCTGAAACGGAACCGAGCGCCCGGATCACCAAACGGGAGTGAACCGTTCAGACATGTCTCTCATATCCTTAGACTTGTTATGATCTGGAATGAGGTGCTTGACAATTGCAGACATTGTCAAATTATCAGCATGTGCTGAATCTGTAATCCTTCCCATATACTCTCCTCCAAACTCTTGCTCTAAATTTTCCCCTCTCTCATTGGAATCAAGCACCTTGAAGTTATTCATGATTGAAGGAGGGAGAGAAGTAGCTATGAGTTCTGGATCTGTACCATAACGTTTCATAAAGTCATATGTGACCCCTCTTGCCTCAGGCAGACTCATCTCATCAACATCATTAGGATCAAAAGCAAAGGATCTAGGTTTGAGACCTTGTTCTATCACTTCCATCTGACGCAAAGCCAATCTTCCAAGCATATTCCGATAAAGTCTATGAGTGTCATCCAATGGCTGATCTGAAGGACAACTGATCACTTTTAAAGCTGAATAAAGTGTTCTAAGTTGTCTTGCTATTGGATTTTGTCTGATATCCATCAAATTGGAAATATGTTCATTTGTTGGTACCTCTGAGGAAGAAAGAGAAGGACCAGAAGTAAGATCAGGGTTTTTGAAGCTTTTCAAACTCTTCTTCAAATGATTATCCCACTCTTCTACCGCACGAGGTAACTCATGAGTCAATGTATGCTTTTCATCATCCCATTGTTCAGTGCAAAAGTTTCTCAATGCTGTTTCAACCTCTGGGAGCTGTCTACTCCATTCAGTGTTGCTGTTTGGTATTGGAGGTTCTGGGTGAGGTTTGTAACCTGACTGATAGAGTCGTTCATTTATATCACTGCTGATTAATGCAAAGGTAGATTGAGCTTTGAGGAGCTCAGCTTTGAGGTCCATCCCTTGATCAGAAAGTTTCGCTATTGACCAGGCGAAAGAATGGGAGTATATGTCCGCATATCTCGATACGGTCACTAACTTGCGTGCGTACGGATTTGTTCTGTGGTCCATTCTTGGGGGAATTCCGGAAGTCAAGATATTTGAAATTATGCTGTTGCAGTGTTGGTTGGCTTTGTAACTGACTGATTGGTAGGTTGGGGAAGAGTTTGATGGGTTTTTATGCTTGATTTCCTAGCCTTCCAAAGAAGAGTCATGACCTGTACTCTACCTATCATGAGCATTCACCCACTGCTCCACGCTCCACTTTCCACTTTCCACCTTCTATATTGCTCCACGCTCCACTCTCCACCTTCCATCTCACTCCACGGAATGTCATGAATGACCTGTCATAGTGGAGATGATGTACTGATCGAACGGGTTGTCATGGGCCGTAGGACGTGTGAACCGAAGGCGGGAAGTAGGACGTGGGAATTCGCTGGAGACGAAGGTGGAGGGTGAGTAGACGATAGACGACAAGCGTCCCCCCCCACCCCCCCTCCTGCCTGAAAGTCAACCATCATCAAAGGTCAAATCGGCAAATGACAACAACAAGATCATAGTATATTCATCATTACTTCTGCAGCTTTTGACGGGTATACAAACATAATCGACAACAATGTCCTTGATTTCTTTCTACTTTTCATATTCTACATCCTCCGATCTACCAGAGATCTTACATTTCTTCACCTTCCCTTCCATTCCCTTACAGTTTACTACATGTCTCGATTCTTGCGTCTACTTTCCAGCTCTGATTCCTTCATATCGTTGTTCTTCCTTGTCATATTTGAACCGGAATGCGTGAAGGCGTACATCCCTGACGAATTCCGCCCAGGTTGGCTATCCGCCGATCGCTCCATTGTTTCGTGACGTCTTTGCCGAGTTGAAGCTCTACCAGGCCCGGCACGATGTCTGCTTCATACAGCTCGAGTGTTTCGGTCGAGGTGGAGATTCGTAAAAGTCGAAAACATCGAGGAATCTATTCAACGACTGAGAATGTATTCTTCCGAGAACGATGGGGAGAAAAGCTTGTCTCCTAGGCGTGACAGGTAGGTAGCTTTTCTTGATATATACGAGTCGAGTCGACGAACGATGGATAGAGCTCTAGTGAAGTGTGACATCATGAAGGAGAGGGGTGTTTGAATTAAAGCGCCACACCAACCTCATCCAAAACTTCTTCCCCGACCAAAACACCTCTTCCCACCACCACAGGACTACAAACCACCTTGACAATACTTGCCGTTCTTAGATCCTCATCACTAGCATCACTAATCATTGACATACCTCCAAAACTATCCCTCGCATTTCGATGTGTGGGTGTATAACGTCCTAAACTATAAACATCATCTTCTTGTGTCGTTGCTAGAGAACCGAATGATGTGGAAGGTGAACATGAGAAATTTGATCCGTTTTCTCCATTTATATCTCTGCTCATCCTTTTCATACCATTGGATGTATTATCGTTACTTGGTCTTCTTCCAAAGTTTGATCCGCTAGCTATCATATCTGTGAGATCATCAGCCAAATTGTCGCTATTGATAGTATGAGACGACTTACTGTTGATATTGAAAGAACCATTCATATTAAAGGAAGATCCACCCATATTGAAGGAAGATCCGTTGAATGAAGAAAATGTACTCGTACCAAATCCGAATGATGTTTCCGGTGATACGGTAGACATTGCTTGTATAGAATTTTGGTTTCTTCTTAATTGAACAGCGGGATGATCCGCTTGACTCGCACCTGAATATTGCACCCTCTCGCTTGATTGTCCGAAGGATTGAGTCGAAGTGGAAGGTGAGAACTGTTTGACTAAAGTTGCTGGAGCAGTGGTAATTTCTTGTCTTTGTGATAACTTAGCTCGACTGATATCAAGAGGTTCAGGTCTACCTTTTCTCCTCGGAGAAACCACTAGAGGTTGAGTGATAGAAGATGGTTGTGACATATCTAAACCTAATCCAAGACCTGGATTATAATTTTCCAATTGGGTTTTACCATTTGATGAATGAGATTTCGAAGCGGAATTGATATGGAGAGATAATTCTGGTAAGTGAAAAGAAGCCATAGAAGAAGATGAAAGTGATTCTAACATTGTTCCTAAAGCTTGTTCGACGTCGATAGAATCGACCGAGATGACTGATCCATCGGAAGAAGAACGAATCATGGAACAATCCGAATCGGAAGAAGGGACAGAGGTAGTATGATCCGATGCTAAACTAGGGAGGGAATTGAAAGATTCGAAAGGTGGACTAGGTGGAAGTGGGACAGTAGGTTCCGGACCTGGGGATACGGGATTCAAGAGATATTCTCTCAAAGGTGTACCTACCCCCACATGAGCTGATGTGAGAGGAATTCTTGATCGAGCAAGAGGAGTACGTTCAAGATCCATTGCGTCCATGATTATGTCTTCATCAAGTATCGATTCCATTGTGGTTGTATGTCTGTCGAATGAACTTGGTTCATTTTCCTCTTGGCGGATTTCATTGTCAAGTTCCATGGGATGAAATTCGTCTGTGGAAGACATTGAAGGTAAATCCGACATTGGAGAAAAAGGAGAGAATTCGAAATCCAATTGAATACTTGGAGATTGATCTCCCAATGGAATTTCTTCCATACGTTCAATATCCAAATCTGTCTCCCTTTCCAATCCCATAACACCTAATTGTACAGCTTCGCCTAATAAACCTAATCCCATTGTCTGTCCTAGATTACTTAATCGTCTTTCCGATAAACCCGATTCACGTGGACCACCCCAAGCACCATCAAATTCATCCGCGTTATCTTGTGGAGTAGCAGGGATGACATTGAGTACAGGTACATTTTTGATGGTACAGACAGAATCACGTTTGTTATTTCTATTCCCCATCTCCATATCGAGTGGTGCGAATAAAGAAGAATGTCTAGGTGGTCGAGGAGCGAATTCTTCCATTCTAGGTAAAGCTTGTGGCATTTTTCTTGTAAGACTTCTTTGACGTTCATGTGTTGGTCTATAAGGTGATGGTGGTGGTGGAGCTTTTGAATGCATAGAAGATACATATGCCATAGGAGGTGTTGTTATATGCATTACTGTTGGAAGTGGAGGTGTTGACATTGAATCGGAATGTTCTGTCATTGGTGCTCCTGGAATTTGTCGAGGTGAAGGTAGATTTCCAAAATTAGGTCTATTAGCTAATGTTTTAGGTCTCGAAATGGGTGAAGAAGCAGGTGCAGAATCACATCTTGTTCTATTTCCCATTATTTGATGAGGGAGTATAGCTTGTTGAGAGTTTATAGGGGATGGTTTTCTAACACGCATTCCGAATGAAGTCGTAGAAGGTGAATGAGGTCTTGAAGATTTAAGTGCTGTTATCGAAGGATTTGAACAAACACTATTTGAGGAAGTAGTACTTCTTGAAGAAGATTGTCTTTCAAGTGTTTGAGGTGGTGTATATGCTAAACGTGAAATAGGAGTAGAACGAGGTGTATCATAATTCGTTCCAGGACTGATAGGTGATGGGAAATTTCTAGAGGTTGATACGGGTGAAGGAGAAATACGAGATGTTGGGATTGGAGATGGAAAAGGTTTGGGAGTCGGTGCATTTTTGGGAGAAGGTAAAGGAGATGGGTAATTGGATATAGGTTGAGTAGTGGCGAATCGAATGGAAGGTCCACCTGTATCGGAAACAGTTTTGAGTATAGGTCTCGGACCGGGAGAGGAAGGAGAAGAGAAAATTGAGGTCGAACGGGAGTCGGAGTTTTTACGTTTCCAGGGGAACATGTTGATACTGGTCACACACTGATTGAGAAGAGTGTAGGATGAGTATCGGAACGAGGTGTAAGAGGGAGTCGAGCGAGTTGCTACGATAAGGTCGAGAAGGATGTCGAATAAGAAGACACGATAAGGTCGAAGAGGAAGTAAGAGTGAAGTAGTATGAAGATGAAAGATGAACGATGAGGTCAAAAGTGAAGAATCAAATGATAGAACAAGTGGGTGAACAATTGAGAAAGAAAGTGAACCGAAACGAACGTGGGTAATTCAATGTAAACAATGACAAGAATAAAGACGGAAAGAGAAAGTGTAGTGTAGTGACTCTGTCACTACTATTATGTTATAATTAAAATATTATGAGAGAAAAACGGAATTGATGATCGAGTGGAATCTAGTCGAAAGATTGAAAAAAGAACGAATATGGAAGAAAATGATAAAAGTGAAATATAAGAAAGAAAAGGGAAAACAATGACAAGCATGTATATGACAAGCAACTAGCAACGTAGCAACAAGCATTCAAGGAATAAGCATTAGGGAAGTCACAATGGTCACAAGGGTACAAGGGGACGAGGCTGCGGGTGAAAAGAAAAGTAAAAAGTCGCGTCGCGTGTCTTTCTCTGACAAAACACCCTGAAAAGTAAATGTGACTTTACCCTTCCCATGGTACATACACTCGTACTTGATTGACAGACGGTCAGGTGCCAAATGAAAGGTGACTACCTCTACAATCCCACATGCATATTTCACCAAAATTACGACTACTGTCGTATGTACTCTTCTACCACTACTGTAACAACCCCTCTTTTACATTTCACCGAATCACGAAAGAATCACACCCAGGTACCCCAAAAACATAACATATGTCAATCTCTCTATTGATTACCCCTCAACACCTACTTGACCAACCAACACATCACGAAACCATTTCTTCTTTTGTCTTTTTCCGTCTGGGCTTCTGTCGTCCTTCTCGTTTAGCCACTTGTCTCGACAGTCTCAGACCGCATCTGATGATTAGTCATGACCACACCCGAGAGATCCCTCGACTGTTATCTCCTACACTACACGCAAGCCCTCGCCCAGAGCAAGCTGCACACAAGGACCATACTGGTAGATCGGTGGGAGATTACTGTACAAGTCATGGCACAGGGTAAGAGTGTAGTTGAATGACAACTCACGCATTGCACAAATCTTTGATGCCCGATTCATTCCTCCTCCACTCTGGTGATTCCAAAGTACCGCAAAACGCACATCTTTCCACTCCCGCCGGTGGCCTTATCATCGGTCTTGAAGCTTGTGACCCTCCTCCTGAATGTGACATTGGTTGACGTGGTTTCTCCATCGAAAGACCCCGTGAGACCGATCTAGACGATATCCGGTCATATGGTTTACCCATCGGCGGGGTGTACGGATGTGCCAGACGATGATACGTATCTGATGATTCTCCCAAATGATCCGGATGAGGTGTAAAGGGTATCGAATATGTCGAATGAGGATAATGTGAATGAGGATGATGGGTGTGAGGAGGTGTATGAAATACATCTTCGTATTGCGCTCTAGGCTCGGACCAATCTACACTACTTGGAGTCATCCATGGTTGATGAGTAGGTACGATAAAGCTTTGACCCGGAGATGGACTGACCAAAGTGGTTTGGAAACATGCGAAGATGAGAGAACCGTATGGGACAAAAACCGATTGCACATGTCGAACCTGACCTTCGGTGGTTACGCTGTGTTTGGCACCGAAACGTGTGGTGCAATTGGTCCGCATCTCGTTATCTACCGTAGCCAGCTGGGAAGGATCCATGTCGACTCCATCCATTAGTTCCGCAAATTCTTGGGGACTGTAAGATCCCGCTTGGACGGGAGGCCAAGAGAAAACTAGTTGGGGTGGCTGAGACGGACCGAGGACTCTGTGTAATTGAAAGACTCGTCGAGGGGGGATACGACCGGAAGTGGGAGAGACGGCGATAGTGGTTGAGACGTCATGGTGTAGGGCTTGAACTTGCTGTGGGGTCAGCAAAAAGGTCACCACGACAAATACACATGTAAATCACACGTGAGTCTTCAACAGAGACTTGATCAATGAGGAAGGTCTGAGGAGGTAGAAATGGAAGTGAAGACAGAAAAGCAAAACCCACTTCATCAGACATGAACGCCGTACCGCAGAAATTCGACCATTCTTCGTTTTTGCGCAGAGGATCGTTGTTCGCGACTTTATCTTTATCCTTGATGGCGTGAAAGAAGGCGAGTAACAGGCCGTCGGCGACCTGCCTGTCAGCGGACTGGCACAAGACGAACGAGGATGATGTAGTCATGACCTGAACCCCATCTCCCTCCTCAACGAGGGAGGAAGCTCAGCAGTACAAACGGAGAGGGTAGCGAGTGAAAAGTAGTAATCACAATTACTCACCCAGTTCAGTACCAAATCCAGAATCAGATATTCGTCATCCTCCACAAAAACCTCTGCGTCATAGGGAACATCAACTTCCTCTGGCGGGCACCCTAAAATAGTCCTTATACGCGATAACCTCGCAAAACGCATTCTGCGAGTCAGAGCCGGGCCAAATTACATAGGTGTCGCTCACCTGGTGACGCTTCCTTGGAGATCATCTACGGCAATAGCATTTGCCAAATCTCTTCTTGCCTCTGAGAGTCAGTGATTTCTTTCTTTCTTTCTTCTTTTTTCATTTTGATATTTTCTCGAGCGGGATTGAGATGCTTTTGCAGTATGTTTGACTTTGAGGTGAGGGTGACCTCCCCGCTCCAATCGAAATTGACAGTGACGGCGGAAAGGAGAGAGAGAGACAGGGGAGAGATGGTCAAGATTTTGTGAAGCCAAGTCTGTCGCCGATCGCAGGCCCAGAAGATTGTGAAGATGGAATGGGAAGAAAAGATCACGAAACAACAACTCACGCTCCCTTTCCGCAGGATGTATAAACTCTATCACCCCTCTTCCCATCAAAGAATATTGTTGTCTTGCCAGATGTGCACCCAAAACAGGGTCGGGATGTACGAATACCAATTCTAACCTATCGTGTGTTTGTCGAGGGGTGACTAGAGCCCAATAACATCTCACACCTCCGAGACGCTGGGGTGAGCGGGGTCTGGGGGGATGGGAGTTCTATTGGTTATCATGTAGACGATTGAAGGGTTGTGGATGCGTTAATCGTTCCATGATCTGAAAGGTTGTATGGGTGTCTGTGAGGTTCAAAGCGGTCGTTTGTGAGATACATGACAGCGGGTATAAGGGTGAGTGATTGAGATGGATATAATTGCACTGGAAGTGGGGTGAGGTAGTGTTGCAGAGCTTGTAATTCAAAGTGGAAGCAAGATAGTACTCGACGGATGATGCATGGAGTTGAAGAAAAAGGTGAGAGAAGAAGGACAAGAGAAGAAGAATGAAAGTAAGAGTGTAAGATGGAGAGAGAGAATGGGTGAGATGGATGCTTCACACACGAACGACTAGGTGACCAGAGGATAGCTCGTCAGATCGTCAGGAGACAATGTCAACCCAGTGATTCGATTGACCAGGAATAGTGTACATGGTATCTGATGAAAGAGTAAATTCTCACACTCCACCTGATCTCTCTCCTACACAGACTTTGTGAACACAAAGAAGAGAAGAAAAAACTCACTGGTATTCCCGTCGAACTGGTAGAATCATCCGAAGCGATCGACATTGTTTCTTCTCTCTTAGTCTGTTGCGCCTGTCCCTAGCTGTACTCGAGTAGAGTAATGTGTGTCCTTCTCACTAATGACGGATCACTGATCACTCTGTACGAACCCACTTGTCACTTGACGGATTAACGGCTTGACAGATAGACCTCCTGGTTAATCGAGACCAAACGATCAACGATCGTCGATTACCTATCACCAATCCTTACCACCTTCTAATACTTATATACCTTTCTTTCTTTGTCTTCGAATGTCAAGTTTATCGATGTGAGAGTCGTCTTTCTGATAGATAAAGAGTGAAAGACAGTTGTGAGGTATGAAGTGAGAATAGAAGATAAAAGATAGAAGATAGAAGGAAGAAAGACGAAAGTCGAGTTGAGAAATGCGGGGTTAAGGTAGTTGCCGGATTTGTGAGATAACGTATAACGTATAACGTAGTAGTAATAGTAGTAGTAGTGGGGTAATAGTGTATGATGTTTATCGTAAAGATATACGGAGTACGGCAGGATTATATCAAAACTTGGGTTGGTTTTCGATTGTCACTTGTGTTGTTCCGTAGTCCGTTGTACCGTAGTACCGTAGTGGTGTTGAAATGTTTTTGAGAATTCCACCAAAGTAGGAAAAGAGGAAGAAGGAGAGAGTGATCGAGCGATCGGCGATCGAACACTTTTTAGTCACCCACCACACTACCACCACACGTGTCACCAAAGCACTACTAACCACTGACTACTACCACTCTTACTACCACTACTGTCAAGTACGTCGACAGCTGTCACTTCGAATGACCAGTATCTAGTGGTTCGGGGAGGGGGATGGTTTGAAGATGTTGGATTGTATACAAGGACAGGACGAGAAGGGGGAAGAGGAGAGGGAGAGAGGTGAGGCGGTACAGAAGCGGATGGCGGATGTGCGTTTGATGAAAATTACTGAAAGAGGTAATTCTGAGGGGGTTTGTATCACTTGCGGCTTTTGGATGCCTGTCTTTCATACAAGTACCTTACTCGTACTCTCACACTTCAATCACGCATGGACTTGCGAATGAAGATCGACAGAGACGACTGATCCGGTGATACCCCAACATTCTATTCATCCCAGAGAAGATATATACTCGATACATGTCAACACAAAAATACCGATACAAAACAAGGGGGGATATGACCTAGGGAGATGGCGCGGTCTCAAACAAAGATTCAAAATCATCCACTGAAGGTTGGTTGATTACTCCAAATGCATCTTGCATGAGACTACCCAGATAGTCAAGCTCAGCAATGACTTCCTGGTTTATCAGTAATGTCTCTCAGCTTCTATAATTTTACACTTTAGATACTTGGATACTAACGCGCGAGGGAAAGGGTTAAGAGTGGGATTTACAATAGGAAGGAAACAACCAACTCACTTGCATGGCCAAAGCATAAGCAAAAAACAATAAATGTCTTCCTCCTCCACGGACAGAACGTCTTTTCACAACGTCCAATTGACGTATAGCACCTACCAAAGCTTGACGAGCCTTTTCAGCCGGAGGTAGGTATGGTGGCATAGGCGTTCTAAGACGGAAACCGGCGGACAGGACGTAAAACTGTACAACTCAGCATCCAAGATCAAAATACGAAAGATTTGACTGACGTAGAGTATCACACTACCTGCCATCTCTCGACGTTGACGATTGACAGGAGCGACGAATGCGGCCCGAATACCATTGTCCCTATTTGTCAACTCATCGAGTCATCGGGTGGATAATTCAACCAAGTTACAATCATAGAGTCCAAGGGGTGAACATAGAGAGCAAGAAAAAAGAGGCCAAAACAACAACAACCCACCATTCATCCCTCGTAGTCACACATCTCATACTGTGTAACCTATCCAACATCCTCTCGCAACTCAACAACACCTCGCGATAAAAATCGAATGCAAACGGTCCTTTCAATCTCGGTTCGGTTTTGGTGTCGTTCAGCAGTTTTCTCAAGTCGACCAGTTGACTCTGTAGGTGAAGTTCCCTCTTGGTCAGCTGGCTTTATACGGGGATTAGAGTTCATGATCTTCCATGTCTTGGCACGAAGGAGGCATCCACTGAGGGTAAGGGCCAGGAGTGAGCTGGACCGTAGGGGAGGTAAGGAAGACGGGGGAGGGGGGGGGGGGAGAGGACAGTAATTGGGGAAAGGGGAACGACCAAACTCCACGTTCACTCACATAGCCATAAAATGTCTCACGCCAGGATTCAAATGTGGCGACCGGGGTGATCCCACCGGTAAGAGTGGTTCAGACTCTTCACTTGTATAATTTGATGGGGGCGGAAAGTCATGAATATCCACACCTCGACTGTATGTGGCAACTAATTTCGAATACAGATATGATAAGTCTAGGCAGAAACTACTCATCAGTCTCAAATTCCATTTACACTGTCACTGTGTCGACGAAGCCGGTGGATTCATCGAGATACAGACAATCATCGCGAGTCCTGTGACTTGATAACAGAAGAACGAAATCGAAAGAGGGAGACTTTAGGACAGAGGATGTCACGAGTCATGGGGGTGAGATGTAAGGTGAAAGAGAGGTCTCACTCGCTGACTCCCATACGCAATTCTCGCCGAGCAGTGAAGGGCCACCAATACCTAGAAACTATAGCTGCCCATACTACACCTATTATGACGCTCGTCGATCGATGAAAAGCTATCGAAGTGACCGTGACTGAAAATTCGTCTTCTCTTTGACGGGAATTGTATACGTAAAGGCAAGATAAGTTCTGTCTTGTTAGCCCAACAGCAGTGTAGATTATACACAAGGCCGAATCGAAGGTGATAATGTTTTGCGGTCAAGTTCATCAAATTTGGATACCAGGGAGGATAGATAAACATACATATGTGAGCAAAATAAATCGACCTGCAGCGGCATAATCAGGCATTTGCGTGATGACGTAAAAGCAAGGAAGCGAGAACAAGAATCCCAAGATAGGCAAGACAATAGCGTTCCCAGGAAAAAGAGAGTAAAATAAGATCGCGACGGAGGCTCCGAGTCTACTCGTCAACCCGAAGACTGATATGGTTGAGCGATGAAGGTGACTTACATTGTGCCAATCACACGAAAGAAAGATCTACCGAATCAGCTTTGGAAAGTCAGATGAATTATCAAAAGCTGACAGAAAATTCGTCTGGCCCACGGTAGGACTCATAGTAGCGAAAAAGGCGATCAGAGCCCATTCACCCCTGTACCTCAAGAATATAGGACGACCAATTTCGGTGTATGCGGGAGCGGCCAATATAGCTGTCGTCGTCAGCTTCTCCTGGACAACCTGCATGACGAAGGGTAAATAAGAGGAAAGGTCATACAATGATAAGATAAGACACACGAAAAGTCCCAGATAAAAAGGTACAGAACCAACAGAAGAACCTTGACTCACCACCTGCAAGAGCAACCTTGATAGCATATTTCATATCCGGCTGAGCTAATCTATCTCCCAAGCCCCAAAAAGCCTTTTTGACCTTACCAAGCAAGTTCAGGGACCTGCTGGGTAAAGGACGTAGAGCACCTTGAGTGTCAGGGCGGTTTTTGGGAAATAAGGGAGGTTGCGTCTTGCTAGGGTCAATAGGGACTAGTTGTTCTATCGTATCAGCTTCGACATACTTCGTTCACAACAATTGACCCCGTGATAAGGCGCTAGGGAGGACTGACGAAGCTGCTTATACAGATATTGGGGCCTACTTTGATCGCTCCCCCTTCGTTTGAATAGAGAGCGGACATGATCTAGTGTGGACACTTGCTCGGCGAAGAGGATCTGTTCATCAGTTGCCATATCGCCAGTTTGTGAAAGCAGAGTGTACAGATTGTACGATGAACAAACTATAGCTTACCTCGTTCATGGTGTCTAAGAGAAACAACAACTCCCTCGAGAACTCTTCAAGGGTGAATAGGAAACTGACGCGTCAGCTGAAAAGATAAGTCGCACAACACTCACAAGTAAACAAAGAAAACCGTTTCGTTAGGCCCATGAGCCGTTTCTGCCAAGTCGATTATTTCCGTATCATCTGAATCGCTATCACCATCTTCTTCATATATTCCCTTCTCCCGTCGAGGGCCAGCATAAAGTCGTTTGATAGCTCGACTAGACGATTTGTTGAACTCCTTCAGTGACGTGGCGAGTGAAGATCGAGTGGCGTCCAAGTCCATCTCCCCCAAATTGGAGGAATGTGCCACTGCCTCGACGCACTCTAAGGCATCATCACAGCGGTCCTATTTCTCAGCTACATTACAGTATCATCAAGTCGCTCATAGATGATACCAGAAACAAGGCAGCCGCAATCTGATCGAAAGTTTTACCGGGGGACAGGGGGAGGTAATGATTGGATTGGAAGGAGGCTGACACTTACCACTAGTGTGTTCATACTCTCCCCGGCGATTCTTCGGAAAGACATGAACAACCTGACACTGGCCGCAATGTCAACATCACTATCCCAACCTCCCGGACCGGGTGAAGTGGTAGGTTGTACCATTGACATGGACACAGCTTGACCCCTCCTAGCAACTAACTCCAGATTCAATTTTCCCTCTCTGCTAGCTCTGATGAGACTCTCCTGCAGTCTGGTACTACTTCTCAGACCTGCTAAGTGTTGTGCCAAACGACCAAGTGATCCTATGGCAGCTTCGTACAGGCTCAGACGTCTACCTCGTACACGAGTATCGAAGACACGCTCGTGTCTCGCCTCGGCAAGATTCGCCTGAAGACCCTTGAAAGTCGCTGCGTGAGCTTGGATGGCATCTTTGAGGGAAGTGCGTTTCTCTCTGAGAACCGATTTCTCGAGAAGGAATGTCGATGTGAGGAGGTCCAATAGGGTTGAGAAAGAGGTTACAGAGTTGGAGATAGAATCTTGAAGACGAGTGGTGGCGGACATGGGGAAGACAAGAACGCAGACCAGGGCCGTGAGACAAGCTGGAGACCAGTCAGTGACCATGATCGATGTTCATGAACGAAGCACAACTCACATCCAATCGAAACGATAAGCAGGATTTCAAGAAGCTTTGGCATAGCGCCTTCTTTGATGACCACGGTGTATAGAATCATAGCCGCCATAGAGCATCCTGAAAGAGTGAGCTCGGAACCATAAACGATAGGCAGCTCACCAGAATTGAAGCTCGGATTGTTCACCCATACTTTTGACCATGCCAAACCGCCCATACTTCCTCCGATCCACAAGACACATACGATCCAATCTCCCATCTCACTGATCCAATCCCATTTACTCCCGTGCGACGGGGAGAAGTTGTCAAATAGTGCTATGGTCCCCATCGCCATTAGTGACACGGAGGTAGCAAAGACCGCTAGGATCAAGCAGAATCGAAGAGCGAGAGTCATATTGCCCAGAGTTTTTGCAGGATTAAACTGCGCATCAGCGTCGATCCTAGGGGAGGTTGACTCACATATACGACGATTGTAGCGAGCATATGAGCGGAGTAGGATGGTCTTGGGGTCACACGACCATGTGCGTCGGTCTCGGAGGATGTGGAGAGAATACGAGCTAGGGTAGGGACGAAGGTGAATAAGGAAGCGAGGAAATAGGCCAAGGAACATTTGACAATGGCGATGACCCAAGGTGGTGGTGGCCACCATTGTCTCGGCACTAATATCAGCTGAACATTCAAGGACTGAGGAGCAGTCAGAACACACCTTTATTTGGAGGGCGCGGAGGTGGATCAGTTCTGCCATCGTCTTTACTGATAAGAACGGGAGTTTGGGAACCCTGAGTTTCAAGGTCATCAAGTTCTTCTTCCATTTGCTCCGGCGATGCCGGTTGAACAGGTTCATCCATCTCTTGCTCTATACTTCCTAGTCCGGTGTTGTACATCTGTGACGGGGAGCTTGAAAATAGGCCGAGGGCGGAGTCTGACTGACGAGGTACGATGGGCACAGCCTTTGAGTTAGCCCTGACTGTCTCGAGTCTCGGCGAAGAAGGGCTAGGCGTGAACATTCCTCTCAGACTCATTGGTTTGTTAGGCAATTGTTGACTTGATCCTGAATGTTCCTCCAGCATGTCCTCTAGTCGATCCCAATTGTCTATACCTTCTGGCCTCATGGTGCTTCTGACAGAGCCCTGTGGGAAGATGGGGGAGGAAGATGCGGCGCATGCAGCGTCTTGTGCTCTCCATTGTCTTGGATGATAGGTGAGCGGAGAACGTCGGCTAGAGGATGCTATTTCTGGACTGGGATAGAGTCCGAAGTAGGAGGAAGCACAACTGTGGGAAGCGGGGAGAGCAGGAAGGGATTCAGTGGGATTTGTAGAGTGGAGTAAAGGGGAAGTCCGGGATGATGAGAGTTTGGGTCCCTCCTGCTGGTCCATATTGTGATGTCTCCCATATGGTGAGTTTATATCAGAGGAATGCGTGTATAGTAAGAAGACAATGACAACATGGCAAACATGTTGAAGGTACTTAGGTAAGTACGGGAGGTCCGAGCGCATCCCGAGTGGGGCCCCGCAATCCGCACCATTCAGACACACCCCATCGACATTCCGAGAACTGACTTACAATTTTGATACATCGACATGTCGCAACAGGCCAAGACTCAGAAAAACAAGTCTTACAAGTGGCAGAACCGTTCAGATTCTCGTGGGGGTAGAGGCGGCGGTGGTGGTAGAGGAAGGGGAGGTGGTAGAGGAGGTTGGCATGGTGCATCATCCGGATCAATGGGTGAGAGTGAAAGTTCTAAAGCTCAACATCTTGGAAGATATCGAGATGATCCTTTAGTAAGTTCAAATTGATCTCTCCATTTTTCGTTCTTACTGCTGATCAGATAGTCCGAAATGCTCAACGCTCCTGGGATCATGGTGACCGCTGTACAGAACAAAGAACGTTCGGCAGAAAGGGAATTCATCGACTATTTGGAACAAGTAAGTCAAATCTCTCTCACCTTACTTTGCAATCCCTGTTAGCTGATGGAGAAGGTAGTAGATGAATTATACCCTGAAACTGTCGAGGTAGATGTTAAAGATGACCCTGAGGAAGAAGAAGATTTAGAGAAAATGTTGAAAAAGGAATTAGAGGGTATGTCTGGAAAAGGAAAACAGATGTCAACCCGGTTTAGTAAGTCACCATCCCTCTCAAGCTCTAGAAGTTGACAAATAGGATTATGTAGACATGAAGTAGCATGTGGTGAGTTTTCTATCTTCTCAATTGCCATTACATGATTGACTACTAGTCTTTTACGTCGTTTGTCTACCACCTTTAGAACCACTCAAAATAATCTTACACATTCTTGAGAAAATGGAAAAGACAGCTAAATGTCCATTCAAGTGAGCTTTTCTCTCCCTGCTGATTGAAATAAGGGTGTATCAACTGGATATGAGCTCATGATAGATTCGTCAAACGTACTATACCTATCCAAGCTGCTAGTGGAGCTACGCTTGTACAATTGAAAGAATCTTCCAAGTCCATCATCGCAAGAGGTTTTGAACCGGTTTTATCGGAGGATAAATCTTTAAGAGTGAGTATCCCACATCTCCCCAAAGAAGCATCGTATCTTGAAATATTTCTTACATACCAATCTCGATGCAGGGACTCTTCAACGATGATAGATAGATAATGTGAGAACATTCCCTGACGACAGTTCGGAATCATCGTCAGCGCTAGACATTGGGACAAACTTCAAAAATTAGATATGATCAAAAATCTGGCTGAGAATGTCGAAGAGCTAGGAATGGGTCATAAGGTGGATTTGAATAACCAAGATAGGACTATATTAATAGAGGCGTATAAAAATAGTCTGGGAGTTTCTGTGGTGAGAGAATATGAGAGATATAAAAAGGTTAGTTTTGATGTTTCCTGCTGGCCCTTCCTTCTCTTACCCTTTGCTCACCATTGAATGTTACAAATCCCCCTGAACCGCAAGTAATCTTTCATATCCTTTGCTGGTGGACATTCTCTTTGGTCAACTTTGCCTTATACCGCTACACCGAAATGTGACGTCAGCTGAGAATCAGTATAACCCCTCCATGGTCGCAGAAACAGCAGCCAAAGCCTCCCTTCCCAAGTCTGCGGCGAAATCTACAAAATCCTCCGCTCAATCTGCCCCTTCGTCACAAACCAGCACATCCCAAGCTATCCATCTCTCTCAACAGTCAAATATATCCCAGACTGCGAGATCCGAAAAATCACATGTCGGAGAACGAACGACCTCTGAAGACCCTACGACTTCAACCACTCTCAAACGTAAGTCCACAGCGGACCAAATGGAAGAAGGTCAAATCCCCCGGAAAGACGACGGAGAAGTTGGGGAGTTCGTAGAAGGGGATGAAGAACTCGGAGAGGATTTTGATGAGATTATACAAGATGGAAGATCTGTAAAGGTGCGAAGAGTGGAGTAACAGTTTTCATATAACTTATTAATCCTCATCTCCCTGGCATGTAAATACCATGTCTATAAGCTTTACGAGCGTATATCATGGTTAATGTCACATGACTGGCACAATCGTCTCGGTTTCAGCTGCAAAGATACAACATGACCATTGGGTTTCATGGCAGCAGATGTTATTCGATTGAGTTCACAGACTCGAGTCATGAGTAAGCAAATGAATAAGAGGGAAAACGAAAAGAAATGCCATGCCAGATTTGCACGCTATACAACCCTATCTCTTGAGTCTAAACCTCCCTACCCATCTCAAACCTTCTCTCTAGGGCATCTTCCACACCTCTCACAATCTCATCCTGAGGAACAGTGATTGTCTCCCCATCCACCTCTTTCTGCAACATGCCATGAGTCAACTTCGTATCTGGTGAGACGCCAGGACCGAGGGGTTCTGTGAGATCTGTCGCTTGTATCAGATGAGGATCAGGGGGAGACATATGGTGGGAGGGTGAATGAGGGGAATGGGAGAAATGAGAAGAATGAGAGGAACCGAGTGATCTAGCGGAATGAAAAGATAATGGAGAATGTGGGGAGAAAGAGTGAGTTGTATGAGGTCTTATGGTTGGAGATTTTGGAGTAGGTCGGGGGATATCAATTGGTTTTGTTCCTCCTGTTCCTCTTGCTTCTCTGGCCTCCTCTACTGCACCGCTTCCATTCGCTCCTGATGTAGCGACGGCGGTAAGCTTTGTCTTGCCAATCGTGGGAAATTGTTGGTTTGATATCTCAGCTGAAACATTGTTCAGAGGTGTAGACAAAAGAGGAGAAATCATATCATTAGTTGAGCTTAGCTCGGGATGATCAGAAGGGGGAAGAGGAAAATCTTCTCCTCTCATAGGCGGACTGTCGAGCTCCAAATTTTCAAGATCCTTCTCTAACTCCGTTTCTTTCGCTTTTGGGGTTTGTCCATCTTCACTCTCATCATCTTGATCTCTGGGTGTACCTGTCAAACTCCAGTCGCTCCCACTTGACAAAGAACTGACACCCTCGAACTCCGCATCGAACCTCGTCGCCCAATCTTTCGGCGTGAGAGGCTCAGGCGTGGGGTTGGGATAGGGGAGACCGTTCGTATGTCTTTGTGGGGCAGCGGTGGGTACGAAAGCGGAAAAAGAGTCTCCGAATGGATCTTCGTCGTCCGCCGGGGCAGGGGCAGATGCGAAATTACCCCATCCGTCGTCCTAAACTGTCAGCTGGCAATAAGGCATTCAACAAAAAAAAACTTACGTCATCCGAATCATTTGCGGCTTGACGAGGGGCTCCCTGGAATGCCTGGTGATGAGCCAGATTCCACGTCAGCAGTGTTCTGCGCGAGATGAGGCCGCAATAGAGTAACAATCACGTAGAGCAAATGATAGACGACTTACGGCAAATTCATCATCGTCATGTCTAGGTTGTAGCCAATCGGCATCGTCATCCTCTTCATCGCTAGAGTCCACATGTCTGCCACCTGATTCAGACGTCCACAGCTGACCGTCAGCATATGTCACCACACCATCGGAGTGGTACTCACGCTATCGTCCTGTTCTTCATCGAACATTGTCCTCGGGGCAAACCCATCCTGAGCTTGAGTCCTTGTCAACGGCTCTCCAATCTTATGCTCCTCCTCTTCCTCATCACTACTGTCGTCCTCTTTGGCCATCCCCTCGGTAGGCACCATTTGCACCATGGGTTTTCCACCAGCTAACAGCTGCATGTCGCGAGTCTTAGTCTCGAATAGAGGCCCGTCGACGAACGCCTCCCATTCGGAGTTGTTAAACGAGTCTTGAATCAGGGCGTATAATTCGGGCGGACAACGAGCGAGGAATTTGACCACGTCTTCGGCGATGAGGATAATGTGACCCATATAAGCCAGACGAGGCTGTTTGTGCGATTTTCTACGTCATCAGCGTCCGATCCGCTCGAAATGCCCCGAGATGAGCGTCATAGTACAAACGTGGACGAGCAAGAGGGGAGGATGAGTTGACACTCACACCATCTGATCGTTCAGTCGCTGAGCATCAAGGATCCGCTCTATCAACTTCGCCTCTTTGATGAGTTCCACTGCCAGCTCTCGATTCAACCCAGGGCCCAATCGTCCATTCAGAACCTGTTGCAAAGTATCGTATACAACATGATGCAAAAAATCGTTCTGCGGATACTCAAAGAATAGATCGACGATAGTTGGTAGGACTCTGAGTTGACTGTATTTCTGCTTCAATCGATCTCCCAACGGAAGTACCAAGGGACCTTCGGGCGCCTGCTCCAGCTCGGCCACCTGCTCAGAAGTGAGTGATTGCGCATTCGTTGTTGCCGTACCTCCGGGAACGTGACTGACAGACTCCATGTCGGAAACAGCAGACTCGGCAGGTTGTGAGGCAGCGCTTGACGACGGGGCAGGAGCAAAGGACTGCGGAAGTTCCATGACGTTTCTCAATCGTTGTTCGTCCGCATGAGAAGGGGGAGGGGGAACGGCGTCGACGGCGGGAAGAGTTGCAGGCACGCGAGAAGGGAGAGAAGGTATTTTCTCAGCTTCCATCTCGGCGATGATCCGTTCTCCCTCCGAGCTGACATCATCCGATCCGAAAGAAGCAGTGGACTCGCTGCTCACGGGCAGGTCCCGTGCCTGTGTGATTTCCCCTTCAGAGTTCATGTCCTCCTCATCCTCACCCATCCGGTCACCCTCGATGGCCTCACCCAGTGCTTCGAGCCCGCATAATCCGCCCGAAAGGACACCGTCGGAGGAGTACACGGGGCCGGAACCAGGTCGGCGGTTGAACATGGACATGTTGGATGAATGTAGCAGTTCGGCGTACAGTTCAATGATACGGAAACGTTCCAAGGTGAGAGGTTTGAGGTTGACGGGAGAGTACACGCGGATCTGAAGGTCAGCGCTGAACTCTGGAATATAAACTGCAGTGATCACATGGGCAAAGCGAGCGGGATAAATTGGACTCGCCTGAGATCTAGGTTCGGTGAGAAGACGATGTAGCTCGTCGAATCGCTCGCAAATGACATCGAGAAGATTTCCAAGAAAAACGATTCCCATTTGTTGGCTCATCTCCAGCATGGCCTCTTCCATCTCCTCCCGATCTTGATCGTCGGTCAGTGGGGCTCGTGCTTCTGCCCTATGCTGTCGGATAGTCATGAGACGATTTCTAAAGGTGTGAAAGAGATGTGGCTCGGCAAAATCTGAATTGTTTCTCCTGATCACCTCGGTCAGGATATGACAGATATGTGTGAAGGATGTCGTGGCGGATGCGATGGACGGTAGCGGATGAATGATAAATGGGTCTTCGGGGGATATTTTGGAAAGATCGTCATTAACGCCTTTCCAGTCCTTATCTGATAGGGGCAGCTCGTCGAGCATGTAGCCGATAAGGGTGGTAATACTCGGTTCACTGACAAGTTCACGGATGAGCCGGTTATCCCGTGCTCGGTTGAGACCTTCGCCGTTCTGTTGTTCCATCCCGTTCCCGCCGCTGGGGTTGAAAGGTAAAGGTGCACAAAGGGTGATGACACTATTGAGGACTTCGGAAGCGATGGAAATTGTCGTTTTGGAGTTGGCAGGCGATAATAGACCGATGAGGGAGGATATGAGCCCTTCATCAGCCAGCCATGTGTTGACACCATTGACACCTGCTTCATCGGAAGAAACTATCCGGATGATCATGTCCTGCACGGCTGGCGAGTTGATCTTGGCGATCATCCGGTTCACTATGTCGGGTATGGTCTGGATAAACTTGATCATCTGATCTCCATCAGTGACGAATCTCAAGTAGAGAACGTCGTCCTTACCTCGGAGGCACGTTTGGCCAAGAGAGCGCCGTTGACTCTGACCCACATCCCACGAATCATTTCTCTTTTACGATCCCGATCTTCGTCCTCCTCGGACCACAGTGCATCTCGTGCTCTTTCGCGTTCATTTTGCTCATGCCGAGAGAAAGTACTCTCCGTACTAGGGGTAGAAGGTTCTATGGGGGGTAGGATGGCATCCCAGAACGGTGTCAGAAGGGATTCCTTGTGATTCATAATCGTTTCGGTGATCGTCCACAATTCGGATGTCAGGATCTCCGTAGCTATCCGAGGATATCTCAAGGGTCAGTACTGAAGGAAAAGCTTCAAAAAGCCTACCTGGACTGAGTCACGTCTTCTTGTCCACCTAGAGGAGTTCGACCGAGTCCCTGTCCCAACCCGACGGCTGCAGGCGATGTGGGTGACGCGTCCAATCGTAAACCATCCAATTCATCAACCATCTTTGCAGGTTCGAGTGGAGGAGAAGCCGGGCCGGGTCCTGGTACGGGAAGGGGTTGAAAGTTGTACGAAGTGAACGGGTCTGCGGAACCCAAGACATGGGTATACAATGCTGAATCGGCGTCTGCAGCTTCCTGATCGAGGTCGTCAAGTCCTGCGACGACCCATTGAAGGAGACTCTTGACACAGTCTTCCCGAGATAGAAATGCAGCGAGTCTGAGTCAGACGTCAGTAGTCGTCCAAAAGCTCTGAGACGATTGACCCACTTGTTATTCTGTGCTTTACACTCTTCGAGGATATCTTGCTCGTCCATGAGCTCCTCGAGTGATGGAGGGGTTTCCCTACTGAGTAGCGCCTCCAGCATCGAAGTCGATGCAAAGCTGAAGCGCCACAACATCGTGTCCGACTGCTACTCTTGAGGGATGAGGGGAGAGGGGGGAGTCGGAGGAAGGTAAAAGAGGACGAAACTGGGCGATACGCGGAGGACGAGCGGGACGGGTGGTGGAAAGACACAGAAAGGGATGGATATGAGACATGTGACCGGCTCTGTCGGTCACTGTATCACTGCAACGTGATGGATAAGATGAGAAAAGGCATGGTGCGCGTCAATACGGCAGACACATAGAGCAGGTGGGAGCAGGGGGGTCGGGGAGGGATAAGAGGGGCAAGGAGGGGGGAAGGGAGATTTGCCCGTTTTGGGATTGAAAGCGACGGAGATGATACGGATCTCCGTCACGTGACCACCCCGGCTCCTCTCCTCCAACCAGCCAGCGTACCAGCTTTGGTGTACTTATGCTTCGACACTCCTCACCCTACCTTACCTTATTTCTCTTGAACCCGGTGACGTCTTGTCGAATCTTGTCAATATGGATACACGGTCCTCCCGATCAGAATCACCGCCTGTCCGACTCCCTTCACCCAAAGCCGGTCCTTTCGCTTCGACTTCTCGCCGTCCTCTCTCACCATTGAATATCTCCGCTCCCCTGTCCTCAGATCCTAACGGCAGACATTCAGATTCTACTTCTCCACTCACTCCTCTTCAATTTGAATTTTCCGTCTTACCCGACCGAGAGGCAGAGAGTAGGAGACAGAGGCTTGATCTCCTTCTTGGTCGTCTGCCTCCCGCGCCTGATGCCTCTCCGCCTCAACAAAGCGACAAGTCCAAGCTAGACCATTCGGAATTTGGTGTAAACTCGAAACATATTGGCGAGGGTCTGGATGGACTCGAGGATCCTGCCGCCTCGCCAGCTCACATGGACGAGGTCGTGGTTCGACCTCTGAATGAGCCTATGTGCGGCAGCGGGCCCTCACACTCCCTCGAGATCAAAGAGGCAGATGCGGAGGTCAATATGACCGAGAAGACTCAGCATAGCAGCTCACTACAAGGCGATATTGAGATGCCCGAGGAACCTCCCACTTCCCCCAAGGCTGCGGCGGAAGTCGACATCTTACCAACACACCCGGCACCCAAATCACCGCTAGCCTACAAGTCGGCGTTCGACTCTATGCTTGCCCCTGGCCACAGTCATCTAGCAGACATAGGTGTCTCCAGTCCCGCTCATCCTTCGTCAGAGCTCTCCGGTCTTCCACCAACTCCTCCCCCGACCCGCCCAGCACCACTCGATTCTCGTGATCCTGCACAAATCGACTCCCGGAGTCAACAAACACCTATGGAGGAAGATCCCATGTCCGACCTTCCGCCGTCCCCGGCGTCTGCAAGACTTCCATCATCGACACCTCACCTCGAAGAACGCGATGGGCGCAGTGCGTTCACACCTGGCCCGCCTCTGGTACTTGAGGAGGGCGAGGAAGAATTAGAAGAAGGTGATGATGAGATCATGGCGGATGATTCGGAAGACGTAGTCTCGGTGAGGGAAGCTTCGGAAATGTTGACCCCCGCGGCTGTCAAATCGAAAGGCAAGGCCAAGCAGGGTGTGAAAAGCAAACCTGCAAAAATTGCTCCGGTCAAGAAGGCCGGTAAAGGGAGACCAGCGCAGGTCAAGGAGGCAGCCAAGAAAGCTATGGTCAAGGGAAAGGGGAAGGTAAGCTCGTCCGATTACGTCCTTCACTGTGGGCTACATCGCTGATGAAGCAGGCTGGTAAGACCAATGGAGCTCCCAAGGCAGATCGCTCCGTCAGCATAGCTGTGAGCCAATCCAGCGCTCTGATACCGGGGTCAAACTAATAAGCAGGACTCGACTCCTGTGGCCACGGTGTCCGTGGTGTCTGCTGAAATCCCGGGTCATCGGGAGGAATCAGTTGATTCAGATGACAACGCTGTCTATTGCATCTGTCGGAAACCGTACAGTCAGGAACCGGAGAATGTGGTTATGGTAGGATGTGATGCGTGAGTGTTGTGTGCTGCACAATGATGTCGATCATTATTTCAGCGACAGCGAATGAGTCGCAGAGTGCTGAGAAGCAGATGTGACGATTGGTTCCATCCTCCTTGTGTAGGTCTTTCCGGGAAGCAGGTGGAGACTCTCGATTCGTACATTTGCAAATCATGCGAAGCGCGTGCGTCATCCGTCGTCAAGAGATGAGACCCCCAACTGACGTCCAGGAACAGGCCAGAAGCCAAGGTACAAGCTTGTCTGTCATCGTGCGGAATGTGTCAATCCGATCATCGGGAAGCCTTCCAAGTGAGTTCAAGCGTCTCTTCCATGCCAATTAGCTAGAGAAGTCAGCCTTACGATACTCAGATACTGCTCCCCGTTATGCGCTTTCAGGCATGGACAATCTCTCATTCCTGCCGTCGCCAATAAACGTCAGCTCAAGCAGCTACACGACGCATTCGTCTCTTACCCTCCTCCTCCTCCCAAAACCACAGTCAGTCACCACATCTCCCGCCCAGCTCCGGTGTCCACAACAGCCGTTCCCACGTCCGACATTCTTAATGCCATTTCTAATCAACTCATCGGTGTCAAATCAGCATTGGAAGTGGTACGAAAGCGACAACGCATCCTCTCTCAGGCGATCGAGCGGTGGGAAACCCTAGGCAACGTCTTGCCTCCTCCTGAGCCGGAAGACGGGACGGAGGAAAGAGGGAGGTGGAAGAGGAAACATGCTGTGAAAGAGGAGAAGATGTGTGGATGGGATGAACGGCTCTCTTGGGATGATGTGGAGGTGAACATATGGGACGGGGAACAGTGGGAAGGAGAAGTGTGTGGGAAAGGAAAAAGATGTGAGAGACATCTAGGGTGGCAAAAGACCGTAGGGGTATCTTTAGATCTTGAACAGGGAGTGTTGGTGAGTTCGTGAAAAGCCTTTTTCCATACTTCATGCTCCTCACATCTGTCCATTCGCCTAGTTTGTGACGGACCGATGCTATTGCCAATCGGTCAGAAGCAAAGAAAGCTGAGGACATGGGTGTCGAGGAGCTTCGTCATGAACGACGCTGACTAGTGAAGGAAAAACGACAAAAAGACCTTTCAGACCGACGACAACAAATGGCCGCTTTTCTCGATTCTCAAGAAGCAGGAAGGTTAAGCAGGTACGTCCCAGCCCCGCCGACCTACTCCCTTGATGTCACTCAAGATCACTTTCAAGTTGTGCTCTTCGCAACATCCCCACTTGCCAAACGTGAGGTATGCTGATAGACAGAGAGACGATGCTTGCCAAACTGGCAGCCGTCAAATGAACGTCTGCAATTCTTGCATCTTCCATAGCCTGTTCCTCTGCTCGTGCCATGCAACACTCCTGAACTACACCGCTTAAACCTTATGGTCCGGCCGGTAGACTTAGAAACTTTCTGCACCCCAAGATCCGAGACTGTATTCTTCCCACCATGATCTCCGAAAGTCGTAGAGGGAAGTTCTCACGCCAGGGAATTTTCTCACTTCAGAATCTCAGAGAGGAAATCTTGTACGCTACCGTCCCAAATAGGAAAATTATCACAAACCGTCGGAGTCGATATCGGTTCAAACCTGTGCAGGCCAGAATGCAGGGAAGGCAAAGGTTCTTCTTGCGATGCAATTCGTCATGTACATCGCGTCACCTTGTTGATCCGGCCGGGCCGACTTCCAGCACCCCGTTACGGAGGAGTATCTAGACCCTGACAGGCTAGTCCAGGGGCGTGGACGCCGAGACCGCCACATAACATGATAACATGATCGACCATTCGACTCGTCGCTTGACAAAGGATTGAGGGTGGTTTGAACTTCGTACCTACGACTTCTCACGTTGAAATGTCGAGCTTTCCCCAATGCAGATAGGAGCAGGGAGATGAGAGAAGGTTATGGAGGAATAGGTGAGAGGCATCCTTTATCACTCAAACTTACCGCTTGCGGAGATCTTCCCACGGATCTCACCTTGATCTTGAAATGCAACCCACCAAATAGACTGAGTTGATAATGCTGTGTTGAGAACAGAGGATAGCTCCACAGCCTTCCTGGGGCGGTGGATACATTGATTGATGCAACAGGCAGTCAAAAAGGTTAAATAATTGAGGATTTTGTTCTACCTGAAATCACCGGTTGACTTCTTCATTCACTTCCTCTTACTTCTCACTTCAACACTGACTTCTGACTATACAGTACTTACAACGTTGCCTCACATGGCAGACACATCCGAGGAAACACAACTTTCAGGACCCTCCGTCCTCAATACCATCACTATAGGGGGCACTCAACCGGGTACTCCCAAATATGATCTTGGCAAGGTCGTTCTAGCCTTGGAACTGATTGTTCAATACAAAGATCAGGTTTCATCATCGCCAGTATCACATCCGCTCCCTAGCATGATAAAGTATAGAGAATCGTCATATCGTAAGGAAGCTGACACCGTGCGCGAAGAGTTACGTACACTTGGCATAACACTGCCAGATTCTTGGGGCCTTTCTCCGGCTAGAGATGTCGTTGCAACCGTGTCTGCTGCTCGAAGGTGCGTCGCTGCGTTTGTGTCACGCTACCAAGAGACCTCTATCACGAATTACAATCCCGTCAAATATGCCAGTCATCTCCAGCTGTTCGACAAAGCACGGAGAAATTGTCTAAGCTTGCTTGACGAAGCCGATTACACAGACTGCGAGTTATTTGGAGTCAGTGACAATGTGAAAGCTGTGAGAGGAGAGCCGTAGTAGACCACAACATGCCAAGGCATGTAAAGTCTTCAGAGGACACTTGGCACTAAATGATGACGGGAATTATTTGAAGAGAGGAATCATGCATTGAGAGTATTGATATTACCTGTCTTTGCATGTCAGGCTCACGGGTATCAATGCTTCTCAGACTTCCGCGTTTCCACTCTCCCTCCATGAGCAGATTTGCTTTCTGTCACGGCTGCGGGTAGACTGCGGTAGCAAAGTACTGCCTTGGGTACTGAAGGGTTTTAGTCTCTGGCTTGTAGACTTGATGACTGCCTTAGGTACCGAGGGTACTGAGGTGTTGGGTTAGAACCAACTAGGTGACTTTCAAAGATGAAGTTCAACTTCAAGATGAAGCTACATTGCTAAGAAAGAGGGGGGAGATGTGCTCCTTTTATACCCTTCAAAACTAAAGTAGGTGTACTAATGTCATGAATCACAAGTATCAGTTTCCTCATGTTTTAGTTCCGCTCTGATGCCTTTGAGGCAAGAGACCTGAACCTTTAGTTAGTTATGTTATTCTCAGTTATGATGTGTTTGCTGATAATTAGATGGTAATACAGAGGGGAAAAAGAGCATGCATCAATTCTACATGTCTCTATCTATACTTATCACATTCCACTCACACGCAGTAAACCAGAGACAATCGAATAGAGTTCAGAGGATAAGTTGAACGGAGAAATATTTGACGGAAGGGGTGATTATCTGACGGTGGTTCGGCCGTCCTGGCCCGATTCTATCGGCTAACACTCCCCCACGGGACAATGCACAACTCTGCAGTAGTCCCGGACAATTTACCGATGGACGACGAGGTTTGTGATGGTGTAGGAGGTAGTAATGATGAAATGTTGAGTGTTATGTGTGTGGTAGTAGTGGTAGGTGAAATGGTGAAATGAATTTCTGTGGGGCCCCCCACGGGGCTCCGCTCTGACACGTGGTTACCACTCACTACTGACGACTCACTCTTCTCTATCTTTCCTTTTACTTCATCACTTTTACCTCCAATTAACGGTATGTCCACCTTTCGTCTTTCTCCACTTCTATCACTTAATTCTGACTCTCTGAACTTCCTTCTGTCCTGTCTACTTCTGAAAACTTGAGGTTTGCTAGTAGAGTCCCGAGAATCGATGAATTTCCTTCGTGGTCCTGGCTGACGAGATATCATAGTTTCGCCACTCACCGAAAATCTTTTATTTTTATAAGAAAAATCATTATGTCTCGTCGTGGGTTTCTCCTGATTGGTCTCTGGAGAGAGTCCGAGCGAAAAGGTACGTTGTTTATTGATTCTGTCATCATCTAGACTGACTTTTCAAATTCTCTGAGGTGACGAGGTTTTACCTCCAGATGTTGGTGGCCACCTTGGCCTATGCTCGGTTTCTCTTGGCGGCGGCCTCTCTGTCACGAGACATACTGACCAGCATATGCACGATATAATAGTGCCCAACGGAACAGTGATCTTAACCACTGCGACGAAAAGGCCTATTAATCGGTGGTCAACCCTACCGCCGATCGCTGGTTAAATACCCTTCCCCGACTTTCGCTTGACTTGTCACACGCTTTGTGACACTCTCGTGGAGGCCAAGGGGCTTCGTCCCCTTTGTTTGATCTCCTCCACGATATGGAGGCTTGGGAAGGGGCGGTGTCACAATTGTCGTTTCTTCTCCTCTACTGACCGACGGTCGGCAAACCTCGGCTAACTACGTCGTAGTGGGGTGTTGGTGTCTCACTAGGACAGGGTACTCGTCGGGGCAGCTACGGCTAACTTCGCCGTAGTAATACGTCGAGTGGTAAATGATAAGATGGTCGTTGATGTACTGCGGCTAACTTCGCCGTGGTACGTAGAACTGCTCGGTGGTAGCTCTCCTTAACTCGAAGGTTGTAGCTACTGAATATATCGCTCGCTACTGACAACAATCAAGGATCGCTGAAGAAGTTCAGCGATCTGTAAACTATCTATACTACTCCTCTCCTCTCATAGAACGTCCCTCAACTCCTGCACTGCCTCACGCTCAGTCCTCTTCGCTCAACTTCGCCGTACCTCGCCATATCCCCAATGTCCTACTCCGCTCACTTGGACTAACTTCACCTAACTTCCCCTGTTCTGCTCTCCCTCGGTTCCCTTCCCCTAACTTTGCCGTAGTTCTCCGCTAGGCGGGGCTATTGTGACAAATACCCTCTTGGTTCTCGTAACTTCGCCGTAGTTGGTCTCAGTGGTTCGAGTGGAGGTTGGTGATGGTGAACGGAGGGTCGGTGATGGTGGTTGTCAGAGTGTTACGACGTAGTTCGTGACAGGCGGTGAGGGACGTCCTAGATCACGAAATGAGGGGTCGTGATGAGGAGAGGGGAAATACGTAGTTTTCTCTTTCTTCTCCCCATGTAGTCGTCCTTCCCTTCTCTTTTGTCCCTTCTCTTTCATCTCTCTAACGACTCTAGGTTCTACTGGTGGTTTCTGACCTATCTTAGAATTACTCACATTGTTAGGTACACCTGAAAATTTTACATTTTGGCTCACAAGAACTTTTCCTTCGGTGGTACCTTTTCCTTCGGTGGGTTTCTCTGAAGTTCCTTCAACCCACACTTCTCTCTCTGGTACTACTTCTCTCTGGTGCCACTTCGTTCTCTGTACCACCTGATAGATCTCCTAGATCCTCGAAATCAGAATAATCGTAATCGATAATTTCGTCATCGTCTAATTTCATGTATACTGAACCAATGTTTTTCTTCTTCGGTGGTTCTACACGTATTGCTGACATATTCACTGAATGTACTGGTCCACCTAAAGCCTTTGTGAGTACATCTGTTCTCTGAGAGACAGTGCTGACATATTTTAGTTCAATAACTTTGTTACTGACTAGATCTCGAAGAGCATGAAGTCAAATATTAATATGCTTTGTCCTCTGGTGAGTACCAGGTTTCCTCGCTAGTGATATCAATCCTTGATTATTGCTATTTAATACAGTAGGATTTAGCTGATCGTAGCCTATCTCCCTCAGTAATCCTCTCAACCACTGAGCTTCCTTCGCTGCTTCAGCCATCACGATGTATTCTGCTTCGACTGTCGACGACGATACTGTAGCTTGTCTTTTTGAACTCCATGTTATCGGTGAGTCGTTCATCATAAAGATCCAGCCTGTCGTTGATCGTTGTGTGTCCTTACATCCTGCCCAATCAGCGTCAACCCATCCTGCTAGATCGCTAGCCTCGCCACCGAGACGAATACTATGTAACCGAGTGGACCGAAGGTAGGTAATTACCATTATTCCTTCTTCTCACACTTTCTTCATCGGTTTCGAGAGGTACCTAGCGAGGTATGAGGCTGCATAGGATATATCTGGTCGAGTACATGTGGCTAACCACTGTAGACATCCTATCAACTCTTGAAATGGTCGAATTTCACTTTCCACCTCCGACATTGAAGGATTTTTCATGGTAAGGGGTAATTGTCACGGAGGTGGGGCTTGTCACGAAGGACAACAGAATACAGGGCTGTAACCTGAGAATGGGACTATGACCCAATGAAGTCTCCGGCTCGTCGAGAGAGTAACAAAGATGACGGAGAATGAAGTGATGACGTCAAGGGGGACAGGGATAGCGAGGACTAGAAGTGCTGGGCTTGGACCAACTGTGTTTGACAAATAAAGAGGAGATTCATAACTGAAGAAACTACTGAAAAGTACAAGTTTATATAGACTAAAACTAGTTACCGTCTGCGAGTACCGTTTGTCACCCTTGACCACCTGTAGCTACCATTTGTAACTACCATCTGTAACTACCATTGGTAACTACCATCTGTCATTATGTCACGGACGGGTAAATCCCCTCCATGACACGCAAAATACACGTCATAGTATGACTATGCTCAGTGAGAATCTACATATCGGTATGAAGATACATGTATTATCCATGATAATATATGATAATACGGTTATTCTCATTGAGAATATATAGGGATAGGTGAGAATACACGATAATACATGGGAATAGGTAGATTATCCATGAGAATATGTCTATCCTTGCTGAAGATACATGTATTATCACTGAGAATATCTGTATTCTCAGTCTTGGTGTGCGAAGGAGGATATGGATTAAGAACGTATGTAGACTATATAAACAGCGCATCTACTTTGCGTTTGTCTTTCTTCTCAAGGATCAATATATTGTTTGCCACACACAATCTAGACCTCACTTTGCTTACCAACGTCCTCCACCACATCACAACCTCTCTTATTGTCATCACAATACCCCTTGTCACCATCTCGACTTGCCCGGATCCTTTGCAAGCCATCTTAGTCGTCCGACCACATCACAGGTTCACGGACTACATCTATATTGTTGTAGTCCCTGCCTAGTAAACCATTGCAGTCCTCCTGTCTCTGATCTCAGAGGTCTGTTAGGGACAGGGTCGTGACACATTACCATCTGTAACTACCATCTGTAACTACCATCTGTAACTACCATCTGTCATTACCATCTGTGACTACCATCTGTAACTACCATCTGTAATCACCATCTGTGATCACCATCTGTGATTACCGTCTGTACTGTCCTTATCAATCCTGATTAATTATGAGTCACTATTACTTTGAGTCCATACTTATTCTGAGTCATGATTACTGATTCATGACAGCTAGTTCAGCAAGGTCCAAAGGGTGAAAGGAAGTTAAGACAAGCAACTGTCTCAAATTTTACTGTCGATGGTTTACCTGCTCCGTCAAATAGGTATAGCGGAGTGGGTTCTCTTTTTATCAATTGTAATCTGTTTTCTCCAGCAAATCTTTCATCAATGAAATTATTACTAGCTCCACTGTCTATGAGAGCGTGATATATAGTTTTATGGTTGTGCAAATGAAACTGCAGAGTCAACTGTGTTTGGGTTATGTGAAAGTTTTCAATAGAAGGAAATGTGGAGCCAAGTGAAACGGAGACCTGTTTCTGGTTACCTGTAACGGTACTGGAAACACGATGACTAGGTCGCAGGTTGGGTCGAACTCGAT